ACAAGATGAAAAAATACCTTGACCTATGTATCTAAGATGATCAAAAGAAATAAAAAAATACCATTTTCCTCATCTTGAACAGGTACTTATTGAAATAATTAAATATATTTGAAAGTGGCCCTGCTCATTGATTATTATACACTGACACCGGACAAAGGGGAGGGGAAAGGCCGTGGAGGAAAGGTCATACACGCCTTAACGGTTCATACTTCTTGTTATTTATTATTATTTTTTTTCCAACGTTAATAATTAACGAAACTCAATCGGTTAACTCGAAAGCGGAACGTCCCATCACCTCTTGTCATTTATCTCTGTGAAATCTGTACAAAGTGCACACACCGTTTAGTGCATAGACAAGCTGAAACGCCCATGGAAAGTTTTGACTCGGTGGCCATACTACAGGGTGATCAACATCTAAAAGTTTTAAAAGTTGATAAAACTCTAAAATGTCACCAAAAATAAAAATAACTTTCAAAGAATATGAGCGTCTTACGTTAAATCGATCACTCTGTATTAAAAAAAAAAAAAAAGCTCTGGCTATAAATTAAAACTGCTTAAACTAAAGGAAAGATCTTATGAAACAATTGTAAGATGTTACAATCTAGTCCACCGTTCCTCCTGTCCTAAATGTTAAACCTTGATAACATTAAAAGTAATTATCTAAAACTGCGTAACGACCAGTCAAAATGTTCAGTATTCAGTAATTTGAAACCTTAATTAAGTATACATGTTGCCAAAGGTAGATAGAGCTTTAGAATTTATCGAAAACGTTAACAGTTTTAGTACAGACTAAATAAAACCAAAAAGTGCACTCTAAACAAAATTTTAAAAAAATGTAAACAAATTTTAATAATCTCAGGTCAGTGTGACAGGCCTATTGCGTATAAGGGATGATGTTAAAGTATTGTTATATATTTATAGTAAAACATTTATTCACGAGCTATGCAAGTCTATCTTCAAAATTGTCCTAGCATATCAAGTGTTGAGAAAATAAACGTTAAGGTTGGGAAAACCCTAAAAATTTGTTATTTTAAAAATAAAAATGAAATTGTTCCCATCAAATTGAACCGCTGTAAAACTCTAAATGATAATGTTTTAGAACCCTAATGAAAACCCTAAAACAGATTAAAAGTTGAACCAAGGGTTGAAATTACCCTAAAAATGTAAAAGTCTACCCCACGTGCATTGCTAAGGTTAATAATCAATGTGTTTAATTTTTTTCCAGAATTTTAAACAGTAAAGTGATCATGTTGTGATTTTTATGAGGCATTTAAGGCATTTCGGCGTTTCTATTTTAATGCTGATCAGTTTGACGGGAACGATTTTATTTTTATTTTCAAAATAGTAGGTTTTTAGGGTTTTTCCCGACTTTCGCATTTGATTTCTCAGAAACTTGACGTGCTAAGATGGTAATTTTGAAGACAGATTTGGATGTTCGTCGTTTGGACAAACCCGGTCCTACATTTTTTCGAACCCTGTAATTATTTTATTGTTTTGGTTGTATTTTAGAGGCGGAAGTGATCAAGTGTGATGGACAATGCGGCATTCAACAGCAGCCGTTGTTGTTCGGCATCGATGGAAATGAGATATCCGACCATAGCCGTGGCCGACCCCGAAACAGGAAAGACCAATGATAACAACCAACAGTGTCCGGTCAAGTGCCCACAGACTCCGGCGCCGTGGGATCCTCTGAAAACGCGGTTTGTGGTCATTTTGATGGCAGCCACGGTTGTCTGGTCCCTGTTGGGAGTAGTCAAGCTGTTTACCCGTGTGTTTTAACCGACCTGTCCACCACCAAAGTGCAATGATAAGTTCGGTCGTTTGTAGATTTGTCACAGAAAAACACTGTCACAACACTATTTGACTAAAATTTAGGATGGGTTTCGTCCAAACGATGAAACCTTGTCCCTGTTTGATAGATTTTTTTCAAAAGAAATCCAAACCTGTCTTCAAAATATTGTCCTAGGGCGTCAAATTCCTGATCAAAAATAAATTTGAAAGTCGGGAATACCCCAAACGGTTTTATTTTTTAATTTATAAATAGCCGGTTGTTATGGTTTTTCCCGGCTTTAACATTTATTTTCTCAGAAACTTGACGTGCTAAGACAATTTTGAAGACAGACTTGGATTGAAAAAATCTTTTGGACAACGTTGGTTTCATCCATCGGACCAAAACCCATCCTAAATGTTGTCTAACAGTGTTATTTTAGATACTTTAAATCACTTGTGTATCTATGTGACATTGGGTTTGTGGTTTTTGGCCGACGACCAGAATTTAGTTTTCTGTTATAAACAAGTACTGATAATTGTGTATAAATATATATATATTTTTTTAAATATTATGTAATTTTAATATAAATAATATGGCATTCGTGGAACTTGTCAAACCAAATGAATAACGACCCTTTCATAATTATATTATTATACATTGTTATTTCCATACAGCTGTTATTATGCTATATGAATATGTTAAGCGCTAATAATACCTACCTATTCAATTAGAAGGCTTATAAGTAAATAAATGGTTTATCAAAAAAAAAAAAATGTCTATAAACTAGACTAGTTAATGCCTTAATTGTTTGATACATCTGAATAACTGACAATGACTAATTAACGACTAATTAAGACTTCCACGACTGGGATAAATGATAATATAGACTGTCATCTCATTCGACTAAGGTTTTTAATTTGGGTTTTTAACGCAAATTTAAAGCAATAACCCTTTTGGGCGTTTCGACCAAAACGGCAAAAACCAAGCACAATATTATTTAAAACTATAGCAGCCAGAACACTATACAATACAGTCCGAAATGAAATATTTGACGGGCCATTAAGTAAACGTGACAAGGTCAAACAGTTTTAAAAAAATTAAACGTTTATTTTGTTATACTCGTAAGTAGAGATTAGATTTTTTTTTTAAATCGACCAGCTAATGGAATTGTATGTTCTAACTTAATAATATATTACGCGTTAGTTTTGTCTATCAAAACCAAATTAACAAAAACCTTAAACCGAAATAAGGTCGTTGTTGCACAATCTGCAAAATCTATTCGATCAAGTCCAAATGCAATTTAAAAAACATATTAAAAAACATATTTAGAGGTTTATGTATGAAAATTAGACCAAAGGTAGATCTAGAATGGGGCTATAATATATCAAATTTCCTCAAAAATCTGGAAAACCTAAAAAATAGAGAAAAATTACACTTTGACCGTAGTCAATCTTTTAGCTAATTATTTAACTACACACTTCAAACGGATATTAATCACTTAACAGTAAGTATGGAAAATAAATTCCAGCTTGACATCACAGTTAAAAAAAATTATGTTAATACTATATTTTCATATCTATTATTATTATTTGTTTACTTGAGTCCAACACTTAGGCAATGAGTAATTGAATTTCAAGAGTGTACCGTAATTGCCTACACTTAGTGCCTTATTTGTCAGGTACATTTTTTAATTATTATTTATTTTATAACAAATAATCTCAAACCGAACGCCATGAAACAGTTTTTTTTTTAAACAAAACTTGTATTTTTTTGCAATCACTAGTTTTTTTAAAAATGTTTATTGAAAAGTGATTTTATTCGTTCAACAAGAATCAAATTAGTTTTCATTTTTTTAACGGTTTTTACAAATTAATTTTGAACTCAAAGACAAACAGAATAAATTAGGTAGTTAACATTTATTAACTTGTCAAAAGTGTACTTAGCAATCGTTTGAAATTTCTAAAAAAAAGGTTCTTTTTAACTGACTTTGCCGCAAAATAAAAGTCGGCAATAAACAACGTTTAGTATTAAACGAAAAAAAAAAAAATATTGGCTATTTTTGCAAACCAAAATTTTACTTACAAGATGTAAAATTAATTACTACCAACTCAATATTACACAAATACAAAACGTCCACTTGTCAGAATTGGGAATTTCACTTTTCTAATACAAATTGGATTGTGAAAGACCCGCTGGTGGCTTATATTGTTGTTTTCTCAGAACCACCAACGTGTCACGACCGGTTTTTATTATCTACGATAGTTGTGAAATAGGGTTTTCCCAACAAAAAAAACTAGTGCCTAATGACAGTATAGGAATTTATTAACATGACTGTTTCCAATAAAATTTACTATAAACATACAACAAAAGATAATAATGTTGAATATACATATTTCCAGAATGATCCCCAACCATAAGACATATCCATATCAAAAAAAGTGATCAATAATACTTCCTTTTTTTTTTTGTTAATTTTACAATGATCTTTGGCCAATGTAATCTGAACAGACTTACAAAGCACTCGAGTGGCTTCCCCCTCATTCCGTATGTGCTTCTTATTGGTACATTTTGACTTGAGTTAAACAAGTCAATTCAGAACCGTTCAACTCAAATTGATTGTGCTTCTGATATTTCACGTAAACCAAGATAAGTCTGCGATTCAAATGTTTCAGTAAATTACAAGTAATTACTGAATGTAAATTGTCCACTGTCGAATAGTTTGTACTTCTATGTTTCCTCAAGGCCCAATGGGCAATAACAATCGCTCTGCTTGTGTCTTTATTGTTGTAATAACGATTAAATACTCGATTTCGCAATCGGCGGGAAATCCAAATCGTATATCATAAAGTTATATTTATAATATTCATTAGACAGGTGCGTCAAACGACTGGTATTTAAATATATGGTTAATGTTTTATGTATAACACGTCAATTATTAGATGCCTTGAAGCAACAACTCACAACCTGATGGAACGCAAAATAAAAACGAGGAAAGTCGTAACGAAAACAATTTGAATTAATTAAAACTGATTTGTCGAGGTTGAATACAGTTATTTCACGGAAACCAATTTGCCAACAAGCCTCATTTGCTCGCTGTAACTTGAAAATATTAGTTTTGTTTGAGCAGTACACTGTTTATATGATAAATCAACAATACATTTTTTATTTAGCACACAAACAAATCGAATAAATTAATCTGAGGTCAAGGAGCTAAACAAAACTGACTATCTAGTATAATATACTAATTGGTATATTATTATTATTATTAAAAAATATAAATTATCTTAAAACTATAATGATCTTAAAATTATTTGATTATAACGTCGTGAAATAAAAAAATTAACATTTTTTTTTGTTTTGGGATAATTTAAATTTAATGTAGGTGGTCTCGCTATTTCTTAATTCGCAATACACTCCAACTTAACCGTTGAGAAGGTTCTGTACTGATCTCAAGGCTGAGATGGGAATCTGAAAAACAAAACATTAAGCTCGTGTTTACAAATACATTTCATCAAAACGTTTCTGGTGCAACGTTGACATGGACATGTCTTTGGGCTGGGGGAAATACAAATTTTCGAGTGGAAGAAAGTGAAGTTAAGAGCAGGGTTGAGGGATAGACGTGTAATGCTTCTAAAAACAAAGAGAATCGGTTGATATGAGATGGAGAATTTGCTGATCTTAAGACATGTACATGATTCAACTGCTTTCGTTAAAGTAACTCACGTTGAACACTTGATCGTAGTTCTTCGGTCCTGAGGGGCCAGCACCACTTGCACCGGATCCAGCGCCACTTGCACCACCATTCGACGGTTGTTGTCCATAGTCAAAGCCGGAAGCCGAAGCTGCACCTGCCTGGGGTACCTTGCCGGATTCTCCTCCGGTCGCCACGAAGGCACTTCCTCCGTTGGCTCCGTTTTCGCTGAACACCACGGCTTTGCGGTTTCCTAAAAAAATTGAGGGGGAAATATAACATACAACTAGGTTAAGCTTCTCTCCTCAAAAATTACACACCTTGTGGCTTTTGGTTCAGGTAAGTGTTGACGGATTGCAATACGTTGATGGGGATCTGGAAACAAACGAATTATCGGTTTTATAAAGGTCTTTCGTATAAAGCAAAACCCTAAATGGACTCTGAGGAAAATATCATCGATCCGACAATCTCCTCAAAGGTTTGTGTCGTACATTGGTATGACTTACGGCGAATATTCTGTCGAAAAATCCGTTTCCTTGGACCGCACTATTGTGGTGTCCCGGTTTGCTGCTCACGATTCCAACGCTGGATCCAGATCCAGTTCCGTATCCGGATCCGGAGCTCGATACGCCGGCACCCGCTCCGGTTACATCGTATCCTGCCCCAGCTCCTGCGCCACTTGCACCGTAACCAGCTCCGGCACCCAACCCGTTACCTCCGGCCGTAGCGATGGCGCCCGTGTCGGACAGTCCAGCGGCAGCCTGGAATCCACCCCACGAAGCCGATACGGATTCTCCGTTCTTCTTGAAGTCTACCGGCGGAATGATTTCCTACAACATACACGAGCCAATCATGAGTTAATGTTGTGAGCGTTAGGTTAGGTTAGACGAGGTTCCTGCTCGAGCCTGGCCGAGGAAGAAGCGAAGCTCTTCCCCGAAAACACCATCTTTAAGATGATGGAGTGTAAGGAGATTTGGAGGGAGTATGCAATGGGGCAGAAGAAGTACCACCAGGCAAAGGAGTAGGCTAGTAGTGCTAACTGGGCAACGGATCCTTAGATCCGAGTTTAAGGTTAGTGGTTATGACTGGCGGACCAGAGGGGAAACAAAGTGTACAACAATTTCCCCTCTAGTTTTCAATAATTAAACTAGATGAAAAAAAAAGGTTTTGCTTTGGTTAGGTTCACACGATCAATGTTAAACGACTTGTTTTCATAGATTGACAGCAGTTTGAATGATCATAGCTGATTTCCATACACGGGCAAATCGACCATTTTCAATCATCATCATTAGTAAGGTTAGAATCGTTCAAGAAAATTAATATTTTTATCCCGACATAATCTCTTCGAAGAATTGAGATTGTCATCGTCATGTACCATGCAAAGTTTTTAGAGTCATTAGCAATGATCACGGTAATCAGACAGAAAAATAGTTTTATGGGAGAATACTAAGATCTTAATGTGTTGATTGTTATTTGGCAGTCAACTGTTCTTATAACCCTCACTTTTCACTTTCCATTTAGCTTCTTAAAATTCATAGCTACACATGGTCAGTTTAGGTTGTCAATCCATATGGCTATCAAATCTATCAATGACATCCCAAGTCGTACAAATGCCAAAGTTATTTCTAAAAAAAAATACCATCAGCTCCAAAACTCCAGTGGCATACACCCTTATATAAATGTGCTCCCATACACTCCAATTCAAACCTCTTAAGATTTCCATAAGCTAATCTCTTGTCTCGTCAAACACTTTCCGCTTTCGTCGTGGACAAAATTTGTTTTCTCATTTCTTCTACTAATGACTCGATCGAACGACCTTAGCTCATCGTTACTCACAGTCTAATGACTCTTTGGGGGTGTGATCGAGGTTTTCCCACTGTCATTTGTATTTACTGAAAATTTGATAATAATTACATTGCGGATAGTGTATATTAACACGGTTCATTATTTTTTCTGATACATATTTTTAAATTAATATCCCCCATATTCGTCATAAGGTTTCCGTCGGGATACAAGACACAAATATCTTAGTCATTTAACGTTAATGTCGACACATTACCGCTGGCAATAATTGTACAGCGTTCAACAAGTGTGATGTCGGTTGGCAACCGATATTAATAAGGTAAACCATTAAACTACGCCGCAGAAGTGCTGATAATTCTAAGAGCGTGGAAAAAAAATGTAGCTAATGGTGTGATTTCAACAATCTGCTGGTTTTATACAAACAGGTTTAATTATCATAATATGTATGTATGTGCAATAATTTGTGTATACGGATTAACGCGAATAGGGTTCGGTGGTTATTGCGTGTGGTTTTATTTCTTTCGCTATTTGCACACAACATGGAAACTGAGTCTAATATATTATTGTGATCTTACTCATCCCACCAAATCCGGCTCTTACCACGGTAGGTATATAAGTATCGCATTGTCGTTGTATGACACCTATTGTCTTGTACAAAGTCGAGCCGTCTCCCGAACCGTGTCCGCGGTTCATTGTTGTGATGTCGGGCCAAGGTAAAAACAATATGGAATCGAAATTTAAATTATTATTATAATGATAAAGGCACGGCATTATGCATGAAAGTGGACGAGTGAGATGTTCAAACGTTGCGACAACGTTTCCAGTCACGGCCCTTGTCGTTACCGAGTTTCATACTTTACGGTCGAGTTGGGAAATCATTATTACTATTTCTTTTACGAGCGTTTTAAAAGAAAGTCAATATTCAAAGGAATATTAACAATATTGAACGTCAAAGCACAGATAAGAGAAAATCACACGGTCCACGTCCTAGTCTTAATGAGAAATTTCATTTCTTAAATGTGGTCACACTGAGTTCAGGAGGGTTTCTGTTATCAATAAATGATGAAGTGAACCCTCTGGTTTTATCTAATCTGCGATCAAAGTGCTCAGGACACCACCGAGTGTGGCAATAACACAGACTATACGAAAACAGATAGCTCATTCGGCGGGTACACAAAAACTATGACTCAAAACGAAATCAGTGTGACCGCAGATTCAAGCGTGAAATTTCATAAGAATATCGCAGATTGGACAAAAATAAATTGTCTCATCTGTGTTAATCACAGATAAATATTTAATAAACTAAATAACCATGTGTGAAATGCCGCCAATAGAGATAAATTTAGGTACCATTTTCCGTCATCTTTGTAGGAATTAGAACATTATCACATGAAAATGTGTTGATAACAATTATGAGTTAGGCTGATAACACAGAATCACAGATATTTATATATATATATATTTTATACACACATAAATCCCACAAAAATGGCGGACGTCGACTTCCATTCTTATCACTAGTCGACTGTATAACGTCAAAACACAGCAATGTTTGTATTTATCATAATTTTAAAGGAGAACAATTTTTGTAAAACGATTCAGGCGTCCAGCAGCCAACAGTAACAGTGTGGTAACTCTTGAAATAATTGTGAGTTTCCAAAGAGGATAACATTATGACAGAAAAGATCATCATGTTTTACTGACAAACACTGTATAAAAAAAATGAACTTTGATAAGATTGTGGGTCACTGTGTTCATTCTCGAGATTGATAAGGAGATTGTACAATAATAAAACCAATCTGATATCTTCCTTGAAATGTCTTATTAGAAATTTCGGCCTTTGTATTCGGTCGAATGAGCTCACTCGGTTTTCACATTAAAGTCTGTGGCAATAATATGCCTGCCATTAGTGTTCTATCCGAATCCGTGCAAGACCAATGCCGGATCGATAAAGCCCACGCCATAATAGAGGTACATTTTAATGAGAATTTTACTATTATTTTATTATTACTGTTGTACTGCCATTGCGAACGGGTAATTACGGACAAGTATTATAATTGCCCGCGCGCTCACGTTACGGATCGTTGTGGCCCAGAGGCGCTTAGGAGGTCATCGCAATAATAAATCTTTTATTATTATTTTTTTGTTTTTTTGTTTTTGTACAGTTCATTACAAAATACACCATAACGATTTTCCATGACGTACGAGATCACGTACTATGTGTGTATGCAAAAAAATAAAAAATAAATTTTACTACCTGACTTGCCCGCACATAAATAACGTTTAACTGTCGCATTTAAGATTGTTTGGAACAACTTCACTTGTGAACACCTACGATTATTATTTGGATGTTTATGACTTTGCATATTTTTTCAGTGAAATCAGAATTACAACCAATTACGGTACAAAATTCAAGTTCACAAAGACTAGATTATAAATCTGCAAACTCATATTGCATGTAATACTTGCCTGTAATGATTTTTTTTGTAGATTTAGTAGCATATTTACAAGTATAATTGAAGCTATATAAGATACATCCGAGCTCAAAATTAAAAGATGGAGCTACAGAACGGTCGGTTGAGTTACTACTGGGTCTATATAAATCCATATTACCTAAGTGAAAATGTATTTATCATTATTCTTTAAAAAAAAAAAAAACAGAGAAATCGCTACATTTATTTACTATCAACGTTATTATTATTAGTACTCTATTTTGTCGGTTTTGTTGAGTTATTGATTGTATAAACATAATTTATTGAACTAGTCGGTTTTCAAATAAACGAGGGGGTCAAAACCATAGTGGTGCAAGTCACATTAATCTCGATTAAAAGAAAACAAGGTTTAGGTAAGTGCATATAATTAGGTTATTTATATTGATATAATTTATTGATTATGGTTTCAACTATCGATTTTCAAAAAGGATTTTTATCAATAGAGTGCAGTAAACACATAAAAATGGCATATATATTTTTATTAAAATTAAAAAAATGCATGCGGTGAAGGTTTAAGTTATCTCTTTGGTATGAGTTACGGCTCAAATTACTTTGCCTGTAGATAATAAAATATGTACTTCTTAAGATAATATTACAATTACAAAACTATGGCTTTCAATCTCCTCAATAAAAAATACCATATACATATTATGGAAAATGTGTCATAAATCGTGTCAATAATAACATATCGAATCGAATGCGATTATTACTGTGTATGATATATCTACATTTTTATACACATTCTCCAACGACATATTATACTTTACGAAGCGGTACGAATCACTCGCATCGTGCTACGGTCTACACTAGTTGGGCAATAATTAAAATTTTAAATAATTCAATACAAATGGAAGTGATAGGAAATGATCAAAAAAAAAAAAAACATTATATTAAACTCACATTGCTCAGCTCGGGCTTGTCTTTCGGTGCGGCCACAGCCAGGGCAGCGGTGGCGACAAGTGCAAACGCTAAAGACACGAATTTGTTCATGTTGTGTTTCTGTAAAAAAAAAAAAAAATCAAACAAACATAAAAACACCGTTTTGATATAAGATCATTTATTCTCGAGATCAACGCCAAACTCACCTTACTCTGTACACCACACGTTATACGATCGACACAGTCGGTTTCTTCGGTGAGACTAATACAATACTACTGTGGGAACGACTTAAAAAATTCTCACGAAAAAAATTAAAAATATATATTTTTTTGTACTAAACAATATTATATCTACTTGACCGCCGCGCGTGCAGTGTTCGTATATATACTACCTGCGTATGACTGACCGCCGCCAACGGGAGAATATAATATAACGATAATAATATTATTTTTTTTTTTTTTATTAAATTACACCCATTTCCTTCTCTCTATACACACACACACACACACACACATACAAGGTCATCGCCGTTTATCCTAGGCTATAACTATACCACCGCCACCGCCACCACCACCGCAGCCATCGCCTCCACCGCCCAAAGTTCCTCTCCGCGTGTACAAAACCGGCTGGGTCGGTGCAGGAAACAAACGACGATGGCAAGCTGCGGTCGACTTCCAAACACAAAGAATACATGCTTTGCGCAACTATATTGAACAGAAAGAGCAAAAAAAAAAAAAAAATTACAATACACTTGGCTACTGTGAACGTGTCGGGATAAACTTTTTTTTTTTTTAGCGGGGGGAAAACCCATTGACGTGGGAAAACCGGCTCCGATAACGTGTACTACCACTCGGCCGAGCGCTATGACGCGCGGGGCGGTAGCCGATGTGCGTTCTTATTTATGCATCTGGACTCGCTCACATTTCCTGAACAGCCAAAAACCGATTGGTATTTGATTCGTGCGGCCAATCACTGGGTTCTGGAAGTACTGGACCCGACCCGTTAAACCCTGTGATAAAAACCAAAAGGGCAAAAACCTTGGCAAACGTTGTACCTTACCCTTTTGAGTAACGAATCGCGAATTAAAAAAAAAAAAAAAACAATACTGACGACATAATTTATGATAAAACACAATACGTTGTTTCACTTTTTCTATAACTATTACATTTTTTTATATCAAAAAAAAAACGACACACTTTTTTTCGTTTAATATATTATGTTATTAAATTTAACGAAAAAAGCATGATTTCGCGTTAATTAAATAATATATTATATAAAACGAATGGGCAGCGGATTCGTCTTGAACAACCCATTGTCTCACGATGGCGGCGTTGGCCATCCAAGGCCTGTTAAGCTTGCACGATGACGATATCATGCATTAAAATATAATATAAGCAAAATCATTGAACATTTTTAATTTTAACATAATTTAAACACATTATATCCATAACATGTCGAAAAAATATGTGTTTTTGTGCCCCCCCCCCCTTTTTAGGCCGAATTTCATCTCTTATCAGCTTATTTCTCAGTTCATTACCGTAACGGTCACTGATAAGAGTGAAAACAATTGATATCCGTGGAAAGCGCTGATAAGAGATAATATGATAACGATAAGAATGACGGATGACCGTGTAAGGGCTGTGGCGACAGTCTCAAATCAGCTGAGAAGGTATTGTTGTTTTTACAATCAAGTGTTTTTTATCGATTTTGTATGTTTGTTTCTGGACCAATGAACCGATATCTTCAGGTCTATACAAGAGAAATCTTATTGGTAAGTACTTTGTTGGACCAATCGTGGTAAAATTACAATTTTTGTTTTAATCACAACTCCTCGCGAGTACCACCGTCCTCGTTATGCCTATTGTGTTGGCTTTTTATTTTTTTTTAATTGTTATGTCACATACACACATAACGGGTTGGTTTCGAAATGTTGCATTACAACAATAACAATAATAATAATAATATGTTCGGTCGTTGACGAAATCGAAGAAATATAATAACACAATATAAAAACGTTCACACCACACCACATACACATGTCATGTCGGCGAGCGCACCTTTCGCTTTTCCATCTCCTCCTTTCATTTGAAAAAAAAAAAATAGGTAGACACTACCGAAACAAAAAATTATTTAATAATAACATAAGAAACCAAGGTTTTTCCTACGCACTCCCCGAAGACGGAAGATTGACGGGGCCAGTCTTGTCCGTGTCCTTAAGAGCTTTAGTATATGTTTTTTTTCCAGCCCAAATATCGTTTACCAGACCAACCGCGGCGATGACCTCACTGATTGTGCAGTAATACTAATGATAATAATAACAATTAAGTCCTTATCCGCACAATAATCGTGCACATATTATAACATGCGCGTTTTTAAAATATTCTATTAAAAAAATTAACCCATTAGGTTTATTTTTTGTAACGATAATAGTTAGTGGAAATCAAAATATACTTACCACACGAGTGTTTCGACGGTACTTCCTGTATTTTATGAATATGCCAACATGAATTATACATGAATTATTTTATTTTATATGAAAAACATTTATAGTCAAAACTGTACACACAAAATTATGGTGCGAATAATTTATACAATATTCTTAGTCGCTAAAACCGCCCAGAAAATGTTTGCAAAAATCTTTCTGGTTTTAAAAAATAAGATAATATGATAAACCGCTGTAATTCTGTCTGATTAATAATTATTTAGGAATGGCGCCGAGATTATAGGATATGATATTAAAATCCGGATTATTCGGATTTAATTTGTTTTTTATCCAATTAAAAATAATAAAACAACTGTTATAAGACGCGGTCACGAGCTACGCTTTTATACCGTTTATTCAAAAACAATAATTATTGTATTATTAAGTTTAGCAGAAAAAAAAATATGTATTTAAATTCTAAAAACCGGATATTCCAGTCAGTACTTCTTGTTTCTGCTTCTCAGACATGACTCACAATAAAAAATAATAATAATATTATGACAAACATTAAAACAATGTAGTTGTTTTGTATAATAAAATATAATATTGCGGTACGTTTTTATATCTTATAATTATTTTTATCCTATAAAATATACAGTTATGCTTCGTTTCACACTGCAAAAGTAAAGTATATTTTAAATTATTTCATTCGACATATTATTTTTGATGACCTCAAAATATGTTATTTAGGTACATCTTGTTTTTAACAGTTTGACGAATTTTCTTATAGTACAATAGGATAAAAATACAGTTTTATGATATTTGATTTGTAAGTTTAGACAATAACGAAATTAGATGAGTTGTCCAAATAAATAGATTTACTCTCAAAATATACAATGACCAAATATTTAGAAATTCTTGAAATGTATAAAATTTAAATAAAAGTATAATATTTTATTTGTATTAATTGCCAATCCGAACATTTGAAACATTCACTATACAAATATAGTAACATTTAGTAAAAAAAATATATTTTTGGTGATTTCTTTGTTCATTAAAAACAGAGACCGAATTGAAGTATAATATCTGTTGCTATGAATAAACTTATTAACCAAATAACTTATTATTTCAAACTGTAATATACAGAGTGATACATTTAACATTTGCACTGTACTGGTTTAAAAATTCCTAAATATCAACCTAATTTATTGTTTTCCAAAGCTCTTTCGACTTTTTAAACTTAACCCTTTGTTATCAATATTTTAACTTTATAGCATACAATTTGTTTTGTATAGTTTAATTAGTATTAAGTTGACAGTTATAGTTACCCATATACAGGGTGATTAACAATATAATGATAATATTTGCATTGCCTGTTGACTGTTAATTCACTCACACATATCAACCTGGATGCAGACTACGGTCAAAGTGTGATTTTATCTTTTTTGGGGGGTTTTTCTTGATAAAAAAAGGAAAAGGGATTCTGAATTTTTTTTTTTTGGTTTAGTCATGACTCATTTGTAGTACTATGTCTTGATAATATTCAATACAGGTGTAAAACTAATTGGACTATTTTCAAAAGAGTAATGGAGAACCATAGTTTTAAGTTGACGTATATGTAATTTTTTTTGGCGTTTTTCTCTATTTAGATGGGGAAGGGATGAACTTTTTAAATTTTTGGCTTCAACAAAGTACCATACAGGTATGATTTCTGATCAATTGAGTTGCTACAAAAAACACATCATTGTAAAACCCACACTTTCTCAGCTAAGCTAGACATCTAGTGTAAACTGATCAGCCTGTATTATACAATATGACTTATTACTATTGGTGTTATTGTTGCAATCCTGTTGAGTTGATATCATACTATTGTACTTGGCATTAGACGGACAAACCTATTATTAGTATTGCCATTATTTTACATGAGTGAAATTTAACGACAACATATAATATTATCATATTATTACATATGTCGCGTCCCGTTTAAACGGACGAGGTCTGCATACCGAAAATCTTGTATAATTTTGCACTATAGGAAAAAATAACACGAGATATTATTGTTCATTAATATTAATGACTGGCGACCACCTAACGAAACGAGCATAATAAAAAAATTATACATGTACATCCGACGAATGGCAAAGCGAAAAACCACATCCAAACAACTTAATATTGCGCACTCGTTTGGTCGTTAATTTCCAAACGGATTTCTTAGTTAACCTATCTGCTTTAGCCTACCCTCCCTGCCTCCTCCGACCAGGAAGACGGTACGGGTTCAAACTAGGAAAACGTACGGATAAAAGAAGATCTTCCGGCGATAGCGAATTACAAGATTTGCCAGAAGAATTATCGCTTTGGTTCCCACGAAACGATGGTATGAAAAAAAAAAAATACAACGATCATGTCTTGTTAATAAAAAAATCTCAAGACGTTATCCACTTGCCGACGACCCGAGACCGAGCGAGTCAACGTACCAACAATAATGTTACATTATTATCGGCCCACCATATAGTTTAGAAAAAAAGTTGAAATTTTTACAAAATATGGTCTACCGAGCTTTGGTGGTAAAAATTGTGAGTACAACAATACAGTAATTGTTTGTGGTGATCAACATCCCCGTGTCTTGGACACTGATCATCTCCAAAGAAACAATTATTATATCTTATTTAATTAACATTATTAAAATTGAAAATAATTTACTGAAACTGTTGTCCGGTCGCCCACCAGTTTTAAAAAATTGTTTTTGAACTTAAAATTAAGTCATCGTTCAAAATTGGTAAACATGTTTAGTAAATTATTCCTAATTTGAAAAGTTAACAAAATATATGTATTGTATATTGTCATTTGAGTTTAAAAAGTTGATAAAGCTCGAAAAACTAAATACAATAATGATCAACATTCGACCGATTATTGTCTTATAATTTGAAATAACATAAATTAAAAAGTCTCCATACATCTACAAAATAATTTTCCAAGAAAATCAGTGACACTGGCTAAATTGATCACTTTTAAAATCTCTGGCTTATTTAGGTGATAGAATAATGACGGTTAGCCTAAATGGGAGGTTTTTTGAAATTGTTGGAGATCATAAAAAAAATATTACTTCTTAAATATTAAACAATAAACTCTGTGGATTTTTTCAGATTTGTGTGGACATTAAACGATTAAATCCAGCTAGTATTGTTCAAATGAAAAATATTATTTTGAACGGCAGATTTTTAAGTAACTTTTAAAAAGTCAACAAAATTTTTACAGTCCTAAAAAACTACATAATTTTATAAGCAATATAAAAATAAGAGATTGCAGAGATGTTAATTATTTAGAGTATACATTAATGTTAGTTAGATAGCATATTTAGGTACTATATGCCTACCTATTGTAGCTATTATTTCTATTACTTCTATTATTTCAGAAAAATTAATAAAATGTTTCGGTTGATTCTTTGACTGGAAATTTAAGATTAATTAAGTTTCAATCGAACGAAAATATAAAAAATTAAATTTAAATGTAAAATTATATACAGTTTGATAGGTATTTTTGAACGCGTTAATGTACAATTCAAGTTAAATCCATTTTGTTGTTATGAGCTTGAAATATCTTACTGCGTCATATAATTTAATTTTAATTTGTTCTTAGTGCAATATAATTACTTGAATACAAATTTAGACGTTTTCGATTCGACATTAGTTTATAATATATTATTTTAAGGTCTAAAAGTTGAACAATAATGCCGCAAAAGTGTCGTTAAATTTAAACGTTATTTGATTATTTTTTAACCTTGTAGGTCTTCTTTACACCATTGGTCACCTTGACAACTTTTGGCTTTTTTGAACGATAAAATAATGTTGGTTGGCCTGGTTAAAAAATATTACTTCTCAATTTCTCAACAATTAACCGTACAGACTTTTAAGAATTGTATAAACATTAAATTAGCTGGATTAAAAATCCAGCTATTGGTGTTCAAATGAAAAGCACTGTTTTAAATGGCAGATTTCGAAGTAACTTTTGAAAGGTCAAATTCAAATTTGTATTTAAAAACAAAAAAAGAAATCCTCATCGTTAAAAAAGTAATAAATGAAGGCTTAAATAAGTATTTACAGACATTTTGATTTATTTAAAGTATACATTAATGTCGTTAGTAGAAAAATTATTAATAGTAGTATGGTTGATTTGTTAAACGAAAATTTAAGATTATAACTAAGTTTCAATCTACTTTGCACACAACCTATTTTTAAGCACAACTTTCTGTGATGTCATACTATAGATTGAAAGAAATCATTGTCCTTTGCATAATTATGATTATTTTTGTTTTTTATACAGGAAGGAAATCAAGTACTAGACAATATCTTTCAGGTAACACTACACATCTTTTAAGTATACATTAATGTTATTTAGCTAGTACTTATTTCGGTAGACATTGTTTTAAATAGAAAAACGAATAAAATGTTTTGGTTATTTCTGTAACCGGAAATTTGAGGTTATAATTAAGATTGAAATCTAACGGAAATATTGTGTAAAATTGTATATAATTTGAGAGGTATTTTTAAACGCGTTAATTTCTAGTTAAAGTCAAAAACATTTTGTTTATATGAGTTATATAAAATATCTTACTGCGTTATGTAATTTTTTTTAATATGTTTTGAGTGAAATTTAATTACTCGAACACAAATTTGACACAATGTCGATTCGACATTACTATTATATTTATTTCAATTATTTTAAGGTGTAAAAGTTTAACAACAATGCCCCAAAACTGCCATTAAATTACAAATTACAATTGCCTTGTATGTATTCTTTACACATATGTTTCTTTTTTTTCCTTGTAATTTAATAACTAAACACTAAATGTTTATATGATAGATACTCCTTTGTTTTTTCTTCTACAAATCATACCAACAATAAGTTACATAAGATTTTAAAAAAATTGTTTGCAGAGTTGTATTGTTTGTCATACTATATGTGCAATTAATAATATTTTTTGCAAAATAATTTAATTTAAATTTATAAAATGGTATTCTATGATGATGTACATCATCATATCAGTGTGGCTTAGAGTGTTATGGTTATGACTATGCACAATAAGGATATAACCTTGTTGCATATTTATACCGAACTCACAACTACGTCCACTGTCTTGTTATTACCGGCTTTATTATTTTACATATTAATATATTTTGTGAGTAAAACGCTAAGAAAAAAAGAAAAAAAATTATAAATGTATAAATAATTTTTTTAAATATAAGCTTATACATTTATGCGAACAAGCAGTAATTGTTTTAATTTAAATAGTTTAAACAGTTAACTGATGTGTTTAAATTTAGGTAAAATAAAAAGTAATATATTTTGTTAGGTGGACGAATGGGGAAAATGTTAATATTTGGTTTTTTTTTTTGTATGTTTTTTCCGATTCTTGTATTAATGCATAAAGAAACTTACTCTTATTAGCAATCTCATTTCAATGGTAACATGGCAAAAACTACAATGAATATTTTTTCCAGATATATGATATCTTGATTTTTGTTTTTATTTTTTTAAATACATTTTTTCTGGTCTATTGTAGAAGTAATGACGTGTTATGTAAGTACATATCAGATTTCATTGCAATTAAATCATAAGCTAAGGAATATTACCAATGCTTAAGAAAAATATTTTAGTGTACTTTTGAGGGTTAATATATTAATGTTTTCATAAATTTTATTCATTCATTTACTTTCTAAGGCTTGAATTAATTCAATAATAGTTTTTTTGTAAAAAAAGCTATTTTTTTTTCTACTGACGATATCGTTTATACAAACAGCATCTGTTTAAAATTAATATTTTTAACTTAAACAAAAAAAAACTAAGAAACAAACATTTTATTTGGAAAACTGTAGCTCGCAGGCTCTAAAAATAAATTTAAAAATCTGAAAAAATGAAATATTTTTTTCACCCCCAAGGAACATAATATCAAGAGAAGAACAGAAAAAAATAGCGAAAAAAACATAATAGTTGGTGTTTTAAATTATTTGTATCTCCTAATAAAGCCACCCCTTAAATTTTTTTTTTAAAACATGGTTTTCTAAAAAAAATTAGTAAAAAAGTAAACTAAAAAGAAAAAAAAATGTTCCTACAAGAACAATTTTCCAATTAATTGGAGCGCATTTTTCTTTTAATGTCAAAATTAATGAAAACAGTCGAAAATTAACTACAGTTTTAAATAATGTTGAACATCTTTAGTTATTGACCGAAAAGAAAAGCGTGGGGCCTATTGAACAAAGTTCTTAAGAAATTTATCAGATAATGTTTTATATTGTAAGTTTTATTTGATTAATTTAAATTTGGTTTAATTTTATTCAAATACATTTTACAATACTTAACTCTGGACTTTGTTAAGGGTATGGTAACTTTAATTTAAAACTATAAGGGTTCGCCAAGAATTTCAACCCGTCTCTGGCAGGACCGTCTTGAATTGGTCTAATTTCCCCACAAGTTTGACCCTGTAAAACACAAACTAGACAACAAAACAGTCTATTGCTCGATCGATGACTGCGTGCAAGTATGAAGAAATCGGTTTGAGTCACAAGAAAAAGAAAACACATCATATTATTATAAAGCCATTAACTCCTCAGCTCCGTGCCGTCTCAATGCTGCTAATAATAGAACTTACTTTTGTATCATATTTCTGTGGGTTTTTTTTTTTGTTGGGCCCCTAACGACACTCGGGCTCAAGGTTCTCCTGGTGTCGGTTCTCAAGTGGCAATCATTGTTGTACATTAAAATAAATTATTATATCACAAGTAGTATTACCCAGGCGGTTACACCACGGCTGCGCTTACTAATTAATTAAGTCAATCTGAATAACTATTATCGGTTATCTTCTTGTTCTACGCGGTCGACCTCGAAGACTGTCCATAATAATAATATTACAATAAAGAAAATGTAAAAAATAAACTCACAACAAGACGGTGCGCGCGAATCAGGGTTAAGCAGGAGGATAATTATCGCAAATAAATAACAATTACATTCTTACAACTGTACAAGAATATATTATAATAATTATCATACATAAAAACAGAGTTATTATTGAAATAGTTTAAAAAAAAAAAAAAATTAAAAAATGCACATTATATGGTAATTGGTAACTATAATTATAGGTAGGTAGTAGGTACGTTTTTTGGTTAATCAAAATAGTTATCACATGTGGCTCCCGTACAGCGATTGATCAAAAATTAATAATAACATTTTTCAAATTATCAGAGAAAATATTTTAGCAAGAGCATTTTTTTAAACGCTAATATTTATAATACAATTTAATAAAAAAATTGGTAAAATAATATCATACAGTTGGAAATATATTTTCACAACATTTTGAGGATTCCTTTTGGATACAATAAACTTCTGGTTAGGTTAAGTTGCAAAAATGATTAATAAAATTTTAAAATTTTTAGAATACTGTGAAAGATAACTTAACCGCAGGTGGATAAAATTGAGCATTCTTAGTAGGTTCAACCTTTTCTGACCTGAGTGACCTGAATGGATAGTGGTTTTTGAGCTTATTTAACATTTTTACTATGTTAGTTCTGACGTGGGTTAAATGTCTTACACATATTAAAAGTCTACAAAAAAAAGGGTTGGAACAAATTCAGTTTAGCTCCAAAGTGTGAGTTGATGATTTTTAAGGGTTTTCAACCTTAACTATTCCTCTTACTCCATTGACGCAACAAGAGGGGGCTAGGGAAGTTCAAATCCTTTTAAACTTGCACGGCCCTCAATCCCGTTGAAGCTTTCAAAGTTTCTAAAAGGTTTGAACTTCCTTAGCAGCTCCTCTAGTTGCGCCAATGTCCCCCTCCCCAAATTATGTCCACCTATAGTTCCAACTCGGCGACCTATCTTCGCTGTACGGGACCCAGTTTTAGTATGCAATTCGTTTAAGGTACAGGTCGGACAGAAGGACATCAGTAGTCTGAATCGCTCAACCCTCGACCCTGTGGCCTCCTGTTGCCGGGTCTCCTGTTGCCGGTGAAGTAATACGATCCCTGTTGTACCGTAGGCCGGTTGTTGCCAAACTGTCCATTTTGCGGGGACTGCTGTTGTGTGTAATACTGTTGGATGCGTTCCCGGGTTCGCCTGATTATCGGCCGTGTGCTCTTGATCAGTGATCCGACGGCGTTCAGAGTGCTTATGGGAATCTGGAAGACAAAGCCATAGTCAGACAATAGGAACTCTACAACTCTTGGTGTCAACTGGCTAAGGAGATATGACGAAGAGTTGTACTACATGATGGGACTAACACCAGTGACGAGCTTTGTCAAAAGGCTACAATGGTTAGGTGTCACACAATGAAAAGAGTAGAGAATGAAACAGTTAGAATAGCGTTGGAATGGAAGCCAGAATGAAGAAGATCCAGGAAAAGGTGAACTGACGTGGTAGAAGAAGATTAAAAAAACCTAGGCGTTGGAGCGAGGCAGTTTAAGACAAAGACAGATGGCAGAGTATAGTAATGGTGGCTTAAAAACTCGTATAGAGAGTAGTCATGTCAACAGAAGAAGAATATAGTGTGCAAAGTGATGTCAACACAACCGCATTGATTGTCTTTCGTCAAAGCTAGGAAATAATATAATGAACAGCGTGACAGAAAAATCAATTAGTTTTCATAACCAGACGAGGTCAACGACAGCAGAGAGTTGTCATTGACCTTTTTTTTATAATATATACACGGTCAGGTTAAAAGTAGACTCTATGAAGATGTAGACGAGCTTTCAATACGATATTCACATATTTTTGCTATTTTGGTCAGGCACCCGACGGAATAGTAGGTTTACTTACTTTAGGAAGTAATGCCAACAGACATGCATTTAGCAGGCGACTTGAATCATTTGAAAGAAGCAAATATAGTTTTGTAAAATTCGATAGATAAGCAAAACCACAGGTCAACTCGAGTGAGTCCTAACCCGATTTAATACAAGTGTAAGTTAAATAAAGTTAGGTTAGTTAGGGTTGGTATGAACAGCAAAGATATGTAGTGTTACCTGAAATATATTGTCTAGTACTTGATTTCCTTCATCCAATGGCGGCAATTGTCGCTTTACCCTTGGCAAGTGTTTTTTATGAAGCTCCACGCCGTCAACGTCCTGTGTAAAAACCAAAATAATCATAACTATGCAAAGGACAATGATTACTTTCAATGTATAGTATGACATCACAATATGTTGTGCTTAAAAACAGGTGGTCTGCAAAGTAGATTGAAACTTAGTTATAGCCTTAAATTTTCGTTTAACAAATCAACCGTAATATTATTAATAATTTTTCTATTAACGACATTAATGTGTACTTTAAATGTATGCTTATAAAATTATGTGTTTTTTCACAGCTATTAAAATATTTTTATTTGAACACTACCAATCTAGATATTTTAATCATTGAGAAGTAATACTTTTTATGGTCTCAGGGAAATGTAATAAAACCTACCCTTTAGGCTGACTTTAGCATGTTGTACGTATGATGTTTGGGAGATAAATCTTAATAAAAAATATTATTTAAACTCACCGACGGATTGCCGGAAACCAATACCAGTGAACAGGTGGTCGTCCAGAGTAGTAGCAAATATGCACAGTTCAACCTAGTTGGCCGCATCATAGCTTCTGGAACCACGGAGTCGAAGGATAGGCAACTGAAAGCAACACTGTACGTTTGCTTGCCACCGGCTAATGCCTGTCAAACAAAAAACCGATTGCCCCTTGTCGTTACTAATTATCATTATTGTTGTAATGATCAACGTCCAATACATATTAATACGAACAATATGTGTCATCTATAACATAACATTTTTGATTATATAATGTCACCGTTTGTTGTGTAACGAAAAAAAAAAACACAGCGTGAGTGTCGACAGAGTGGGTCGGACGTGCTAGCTAACACAGGGTGTAGACCGATAATGATAATGATCCAACACTGGAGTTTCTAATGTTAGAGAGTACATAATATTAGTTTGTCCGGACCTTGTTTGTACACATTTACCGTTTGAGAATCGCCTATTTGGCAACCGAATCGAAAAAGAAGTTGGGATATGCTGGTAGGGTGTGCTTGTTACCCCTAGTTTGTGTATTAGTTGATATTATTCCTTAAATATGTACAATTCGCACTGTAAAACAGGTAAACGCCTTAGTAGAGCTGATACTTAACTATGATAGATATATTACTCTACTGTCCGACTTTGTAACGATTTTGGAGTCTATTTTCCATTTATTAAAAATGGTCATCAACATTTAAGCACAATCACAATATTAGATCCAAACACTAATTTGTTGTCCAATTAAATTATTATTGTAATTACTTAATAAATTATAATTAAATCAAGTTTAAAACTGTCTTTGATTGGAAAAGTGTGATTTTTTTTAGGTATATATAAGATAAATCTAAATAAAATTACCATTTATCAAGCTTGATGGTTTATTTCTCTTTTTTTTCTTCTAGTTTTATTGATTTTAGTAAATTATATGTATTAAAGTTTGTTTGTTCATACATACTTTTATTTTAATACACCACCCAAGCCAAGTACAGCTTATTTAGTTTATTCGTTTATTTTACTTTATATTTACATAATTTTGGTGTGTACATTTTCTGATTATACTTAATACATTTTATAGAAAACTAATAAAAAAAATAAGAAAATGCTAAATGGTAAAAACCACATTTTTGCTTTAATGCTATCGGTTCAAAGTTTTGGCTTTTTTTCCACAAGTTTTAAAATGCATTTAAATATATTAACCACCTTTTTGTTATCGATGAAACAACATTTCTTTAAATTTAGTTACTTGACAATTCATTTTGGTTGTTGCCATTGCGATTGAACAAGTATTTTTTTTTAAATTTTATTTCTATAAAAAACATTAAAAACAATCATAATAATATGTTGTACGCACCATAATTATGTAAATAAAGTAAGTTTTTTTCGAAAAAATAAATAAATAAACTAAAAAACTGTTGTTTTCTCTTAAAACTTTTGGCCTTAACTGGACTTGATGGACTTTATTTTACAAATATTTAAAATGCACATCAATAGCCATACCATCAAGCATGAACACAATACTAGTGCCAATTTAAATTCAATTGAATTTAAAACCGTCTTTGGAAGTCATTTTGAAATATTAAGCAAACAACAATCATTTAGATACAAATAAAATATATCTAAATAAAAATGCCATTTATCAAGCTTGATGTTTTATTTTTTTTTAATTTTCGCTCTTCTTTCGATTTTGCTAACTTTAGTAAATTACATAATATAAACGATATTTATTTTTTCATACATACTTTTATTATCAATTGTGTTTTATTCTATAATTATTATATAATAAACATATTATTAATAGTATAATCTATACGCTGCTTATTGGGAAGGAGCTTATTTGTCATATTAATATAACGTTTTTATTTGTACAATTTATGTTTGTATTGTTGTTGTGATTGATAAAATATAAAAAACCTATACCGTTATTTTCTATAAAATATGAAGTGTTATGAAAACGTCAAACCGATATTTTTCATGAATTTGATTCCAACGAACACATTTGGGAAGCTTTAATATGTGCACAGCTGTGGTCGTGTGGAACTACTTGACACCGAGGTAAAAAGTTAATGACCCGAATGCATTAAAATCACAAGACACGTTAAGATAATATACCGTTAAGATGGCACACGTTCAAGCGTTCCGGATTGGTTTAATTATTTCAATTTTTGTAGTGTCCACAAGAAAAGCGTTTCATAAAGTAATGGGATTCGAACCTAACTAGTTATTTTTTTGCTGGAAACGAGATTTTCAGTTAATTTTTTCAATACAATTTTTAATATCTCTAGTCTTTCTCACAACTAAATTGATTGGATTAACTTCTTTAGATTGTAGTCTAGTTTGGCCAACCCATTCGTTAAGACTTTGTCGATTATATCCATTATTTCTGAATAGTATTTCAACAAGTTTCCTAGTTCGAGTAAGTTAAATTAGTTAACATAAAGGGAGTGTGCCCTTGTCCCCCCTCTCTCCCTCTTCTACCATAGTTTTAAATGGAAACGACTATAAAACTAGGTATTTGCTCAAAACTGGTTTGCCACCAATTGAAATTTGGAGAAAAATAAACAAGTACTCAAGAAATTTGTTAAAAATAATTAATTATGAACCATGTATAGCCTGACTATATTTAGCAAATCCCCTCCCCCCCCCTTTTACCATAAGTGCAACTTTCTAGGAGGTGCTAAAGTTATTTATACCTCACTTAATATTTATTTATTTATTTACGGAATTAACTCCATTTATAATATATAATATTACAGCAGTATAGACAAACAAGAACAGTATAAGAAAAACTTACAAACTAACAAAAACATTTTTACAACTACACACTAAATTTTGACCTAATGTCACTTATACTACAAGAAAATAAATCTAATTTTACTGAATTTGAAGTAGACATTAAAATATTTACAACTGAGGATAAATTATAATTAGTACGTATATTTTTTAAAATAAACAAATAATTGTTTCTCGTAGAGTTAGACTTAACTTTAAAATTTAGTTTTTCTAATATTTGATGGCAATCAATTTGATTGTTTAATAATTTAAAAAGAAAAACGAAATTTAAATATTTTCTACGATTTCTTAAAGTAGGAATATTTAAAAATCCAGAAACTCCTTCATAACCCGAATGAGGAAGTCTTTCGACTATAATAATATATATAATTCTATATAATTCTTATTTTCAAACATTTAGATAGATAATAAAATGTTTAAAAACAAAAATATTCTTAAACATAAAATTTGAACAGAGTATATGTACGTTATTTAAATTTTATGCATAAAATTCAAGGATTGGGGTTTGAATTTTTGGAGGTGCTAATTTAGAGTCTGAGGGTGTTGAGCTAGTTGATAGTCTATGCCTATTCCCATTGTATTATAGTTTTATATTTTTCATTTTTTTTTTTTTTTTACTTGAGTAAACTATATGAGGATAAGTATGGAACGAGTTCCAGAGCAACAGGTTAACATAATTTATATAACGGTTAGGTAAAACGCACTCACTTCTGGCCAAGATCCGACAGACTCGAACACCGTAGACAGTTGATACACTTAAGACAAACAAAAGAGAAGTAGATTAGTTTACAATACTATCGATTATTATTTTTTATTTTTTAATGTATGTGCGTTGTGTGAAAGCGGGTTAGTGTAACTGTTTATTTAGTATTTTTTTTTTCGCAGTGAACCTGGCGTGGGTGTCATCGGCTCCCTACCTTATCCTACTTGTCCGGTGCCAATGATCACTGGGCCATACCCGTGTGTGTGTGTAGTATATATCCTAATGTTAATATTATTATGTATTATTATTATTACTATAGGTATTATACAACAGCTGTTGGCGGATAAACCGATTAACGGTCGACGACCGAGAACAGGCCAGAAGGCGGACCGGTTGTGCGTCTTGAGACGCTTACAGAGATTGTGTGTGCAAATTTGCAATAATATTTCTAAAAAAGCGTCCCGTTTAAAATACGTACAGTTAAATAATTTTTTTAGACTTACCGAAAAACCCACAAAAAAAAATATACACTTGTATCGGTGATCAGGTTCTTCGGGCTGCGACTGCGGCACTGTTACTAACGACCGTCGGCGACAATGATAGTATGATAATATTTATAAAAATATCATACTACATTGTATACCATTTAATTGTTAATAATTGTTTCCACCAAATATACCAGCCGCTTCTGTTGTGTTGAAAAATATACATACATATGATACACCGGCGTGCGTTTTGTAATAAACCGTAATAGCTGTATTGTCTAAGTATGTACCTACCTGCCTATACCAATACCGATATTGTTTATAGTATATTTTGTTTTAATATCAGACCGAAAACGGTGTCACGGACATTTTGGCGAACGACCACGCAAGGATGAGCATAGGTGCAATAATAATTGAATTATATAAGTACTTTGGCCACGTCCTAATTAACGGAAGGCTTTACATAAGTGCGCCCATGAGAAACATCTATTTGATCCGAACCAAGCGTTTCCTAGTCGTAGAACAATCGAATCGAAGTACCGTCAAAACTACTATATTATTATTGTTATTGTTTCGAGAGAATAAAAAACGTTTAGTTTATCATAACAGGTAGGTATTCACCTGTAAGTAAACGCCAGGAACAATAAATATCTCCCTTGAAGGAATTACATTGGACCATGCACACGTGCTATCTCGATTCTCTTATCAAGCATCTCTTATCAGTTAATTTTCTCGTTTAACAACCTCCTCTTTTAACTTCTTTAAACATTTCATTAAAGTTTACTACAACTCACAACAGTCGATACAACAACTTAGTTCAAACCAGTTGTACGTACAACTTTATTAAAATAAATAATATTTTTTTAATATATTATATTTTTGCGGTTCTATTAAGTAAAACTTTTCTTATCACCTGATCCTCTTATCAAACATCTCTTATCAGTTACCCAGGAATTAACGATTTTCCCTTGTCACCATCCAGCCCCCCTTATCCTACCCCTCCCCTTTAAAAAACAAATATTTCACTTTACAGTTTACTACATAGGTACCTACAACTTTATTAAAACAAATATATTGTTGAGGGAGAAAAGATTGTAAAATTTTAATCATGTGTAAATTTATACAATTTATTGTGTATTTTGAAAAAGTCTATCTCGATGAGTTCACTTTGAAGTGTATATCTAAATAAAACTTAACAAGTTTATATAAACTAAAATTATTTACTATTTTTTGTTTTTTTTTTGGCATTTGCACACAACCAATTATTGTGTGGATAAAAAAATCATCAGAAACTAATGAAATTCTACGTCATAGCTTTTTTTTATACGTTCCTTAATTATAAGCCAATTTAAAGTGGTAGAGATCAAAAGGTAATTTTTTTAAACTTAAAATTGAGTCACATAACATTTTTAAAATTATGAAAACTTGTATGTTCTTAAGTGTCATTAAAAAAATCATTGTTAAATAGATGCCATAAGATAATAATTTATCAATTGATTGTCAATCATAAAAATTGTATTTGTTTATAATAATAATTAATAAGTTGTGATCATAATATTATTGGAAGAGTACATTCATGGAAATTTCATTATTTTTTATTTAAAAAGAACAAGTAAAACAAATTTTCAGTTTGTTAAAAAACAACTTTTAAAAATGTTCAATCTTGATGTGCAGTGTGCATTTTTGAAATTTTGTTTTGTATTTTGAAAAGAGACTACATTAACTCTTAACTTAGCCCCTAACACTTTCTAGCAACCCAATTAACAATTATATGATATTTGCTCTATTCGAAGTTGGAATAACATATTTTAAAGATATTTTGGTTGTTTAAAAAGTATTGAGCTTTTTTTAGTAATGTTGTCAACATTTGTTTGCATAATGTTTTCCCAAATAGCAAAAAAATGGTTGTGTTATCAAAAAGTTAGTTAAAATTTTTAAAATTATGTTTTGGTTGGAAATAAAATATTAATAACAAATGGTTATAAAAATAGTTCCATAAATGTTTAAGACAATTCACAAATTGTAGAAATACATTAAATTTGTAACAATTATGTTAATAATATTAAAATTTTTGCAAAAATATGATTTTAAATTATTTTAAAAATATCAATTGATATTTTGATAAAAATTTTGTAAATATTAATATAATATTTTTGTTATATTACATGACAGAAAACCAAATCGTTTCAATGATATTTTCTAAACATTAAAATTCTAATAATTAAACATGAATTATTTTTTGAAAACATTCAACAAATATTATAACAACTATTTTTTCAACAAACTGTTTTAACTTTTAGCTAATAAATGTGTTTAAGATGTAAAGAAAGACCCCAAAAACCTGTAAACAGTTTGTTATATATTTAGTTTAACTCGATCAGGCAAATAAGGGAAAGGGTTGATGGCGGATTGAACCATTTAAAATCTCCATTAAGCTTCTAAGAAAATATCAGCAACCAAAGAAGACATCACAAAGGCATTTTAAAATTTGTCAGCGATTTCTCCAATGACCATTATACATAAAACAACAATATCTTTATGTTAATCGATCAATGGCAGTGCAATGTAATTTGTTTCATCTTTAACATATCTTACAAATATTTATAAGTTGCAAATACACTGTACACTCTATCAATACTTAGGTGTTGATTGAACGATTAATGTTGTATTTTTTTGCTTAATTTTGTAAAAGTGTATATTTATATTTACAATATATTTATGCATAGCAACAAAAAAAAAAATGACACAATAATTTTGCTTTGGAATTACATTTTTTTACTATATTACATTACAATAAACTATACAAGTAATTATTTATTACTATTAATATTAATTACTGTACAAAATTTGTCTACAATTTTTTATTTCGGTTTCTATACATTTTAATTTACCGTATATGGCCGCTGGTTAACAAATTTGACTACACTCGATCGGTTTTACATTACTATTATTATTTACACAATATAATAACAAGATCGGTGGTGTTCTTAAGTGGTTTTTGTACATTTTGGCTAAGACGCCGTGTAATGTGTAACCTATGTTATTATATTGATTTTTTTATTAATCATTTGCAAAAATGTGCAAACAAAAAGTTTAAAAAAACACAAGCTCGTTAAGACTAGCTAATTAAAAAAAAAAAAAACCCTAATAAATTAATTGAGCTTTTTTTTTTGTTTTCTAATAACTTAACAGATTCTACAACGTGTTTGTGGTCGTTCCGTTTCCTCGGCTGAACATCTGTGAAGGTCGCAAACTGTTCCTGACGGATTTGCCCAGTTCACGGCGGAAATCTCTCAGGTTTTTACCGGAATTCTAAAAAAAAAAAGGTAAGAAAAAACAATTTAATACACCACATAAAGCAACACAACTACTGTAAACGATCGGAATGCATGTATATACAAATATTAATACCGTGTGTTTTTTTTCCCAGCCAATATTCAATATATATATATATATATATTATTATTCCACCGTGTCGATTTAATTTTTTTATAATTTTCCAAAACGGTTATTGATATACCTACACGGGACCGTGACAAATGGTTTATTTCCCAACGGCAAAAACAATACAAACCGACAAAAGGAAACGCATTGCCGTTTTTATTTTATTTGGAGAAATTTACAATATATAGCAACAATAATAATTATCCTACGAAGAACTCACACAAGAGATGTGTGCTACTAGTTTAACCCTGAAAGGTACTTTTTTTTTTACTATAAATATTCCAGCTCAACGATAATGTATACAAACTAAATAAGCCTTACTAATAAACCTAACCTAACCTAATTTATGACTATAAATCAGATTAAAGTTAAATCTAACATGTACAATACATTTTTATAGACAGACGATCAGCTTTTATCGCATCTACCATAATACTAAATATTTATTTTCAAGCACATAGTTGTCATTAGGTACAATGATTTTATCGATTTTTGAATTTTCATCTGTTAACACTGGACGACTTTCCTTACTTACTCACTTACTACTACTATTCACTTATGTATAATACTTTCTTACTGTACTGGTTTATACTGTGGTTGGTTTGGACTGTACTGGTTTGAACCTACTATCCACGGATTCGAATGGAAGCGTTTGTTTAAAAGTGATTTTATCACTTCAGTCATCATGGTTTCCACACATACCAAGGTTACTAAAAATACCATAGTTACCATACATACCAAGGTTGACACACATGACACGGTTATCATATACCTAAATAACAAAACTAAAAATAGCTAAAGAGACCTAATTTACAAATTATGAGTTTTACCGAAAAATGTTCCCTACAAATGTTGTTAGTTTTGATAAGAACATTTGTTTGGTTGAAAAAATACATGGTTTCCTTTAGAAAAAAGGACCAAGTAGCCATTTTGAATTTTGGACCATATTTTTTTTTATAACAATAACCATACTGATAACGCCAAAGAACATAAAAAATAAAAACAGGTTTTATATTCTCACTGGAATAGTTTTTGTATCCTAACTTAACCTAACCTAGCCTAATTTATAAAAATAATCTCACTTTATTAGTAATTAATCGTTGCTAGATAGGTTTACATCTACCTAGGTATACTTGGTGTTGTCCATTATACAAGTTGAAAGTTAATGGTTAATTTGATGATTAACGATAATGATCATGATTGAAATATCAGTCAAGGCCGGTAATTAAATAGTTAGTTTGGTTGTGTTTAAACGAACGAAAGACTAGTAACACAATTACGGTTGATCTTTTTTTTTGGCAAATTTATTATATGCATAACATTGTATTCGAATAGTGCTCATCTTTGGGATCAGTGTTTATTGAAATATCTTTTATCACAGTTCACGGCCAAAACATTCATTATAATTATTATTTTTTAACAATAATCTACTACTGTGTCGAAACAAAGGCGGCAATCACAACGACCTCGGAGGGATCCTGCTGGTTTTCTTGTTTCTATGCCGAGCTGAGCCGAGGCTATTGGCTTTACAATGATGTGCTATTATTTGTAACTTTTTTAATATTGGACCAATTTTTCCAATCATTAGCGACTCTATAAATGTCAAATTTGATCTAGCCAGTACCTCGGAGAAGGAGGGGAAGCTACAAGGGGTGCTATACTTATTAATTAATTTTAGATAGTACAAGTGAATACCAGACCTTTTTTATTAACTGTATCTTATTATTTGTCAATTCGATAGAATCATTTCAGGTGTTGAAATGGTCTCGTAAATTAACCATATATATCTATAGCAGAAAAATGGCCTTTGATGGCTGTGCTTGAGAGAAAAGTACTCAGGAAAATTGATGGGGCCTACTTTAATGCTCTGACAGATGAATGGAAGAAACTACAATCCCTTTTTCAGCAACCAAATAAACTGAAAGAGATAAAAAAGAAGGTCTAGGCAGGACGTGCCTGGAGGAAGCATAATTCGCTGATAAGGAAAGTAATCGAGGAAAACCCAGTACGGAGGAAACCTCATGGGAGACCATGGTTAAGGGGGGAAGCCTGCGTAAAAAGAAATGCAGAAGCAGTGGAACCAAATAGTCATTGGCAGGAAATAGTAGAGGATAGAGATTCACTCTAAATCCAAACACAGTATAAACCAGCGCGTTGAGAAAGTAGGTATTTTTAGAGGTATTGGAGTTTTAGTGTCCACAAATTCGCATCGAAGCGTTTATTTCAAAGTGGTTTTATCACTCTTGAGTGGTAATAATAATTGCTGAAGTACTTTTTTTTTGTATTTAAACACTTACAGCCAAGGCGTTCCTAAGTTCCGAGTCGAACAACCGTCTTAGACCCCTAAAATTGCGGCCGACCAGTTTCGAAATGGCTTTGCGGGCGGCGGCCGATACCGTCACTTGGCCCTGTGGCCGCTTGGTCGTGGGTTCAGATTCCTGTGGGTTTAAAAAAAAAAAACAAAATAAGTAATAAAAAAACAATACCCCCCTGAGTTGTATTTATATCAATATTGCACGGTTGGTAGGTTTAACATGGATATGTTATTGGGCTGGATATAAGAAATCTCATGTCGCCATTTTTGCGTTACATTTTCATTTTCAGATAGAAAAAGTAGATTCGAGATAAACGATAAGAGATGAGTGATAAGTGATAAGAGATAACAGATAAGCACATACACGTATATATATATATAATAAACTAGATTGCTAAGTGTTCATGCCACCATTAGCGATAATTGAAGTTACTATTTTCCGCCATCTCTGTGGTAATTAGAACGTGATCATAAGAAAATATGCTTATAACAGTTATAGTTTAAGTTAAGCGGGTAACAAAAAATCAGAGATATAGATATATATATATATATACATTTAAATCCACAGATATAATATATTACAACTAGATGGCCGACTTCCTATAACAACAATGTCAAACATTGAAGTAGCGAAAATGGCCGACTTTTCTTATCAAAGAGCCCTTTGTTTACATTATTCTAGTTGATAAAATTGAAATAACGTATTGGAAATTGGAATTTAGATATCAGAAGGCGACAATTTCATTTCTATTACGCTAATGTTTTTTTAATTACTAAATTTCTATTTTGAATGTTAGTGATTTCAATTTGTATTTTTAATCGTTAAATAAATTTAAAGTTTTTCTTTGGAATTGATATTTTAGTTTAAAAAAAAAGTTTTTCAAATGTCAACACTTTGGTACATAGGTAAGGCACTGCATAGGTACATACATGCACAGCGAAACTTTTATAGCTATGTACATTAAAAACCTACCTATTATATTATTATGGTAAGTCAATTATACTGAAATTGAAATTTCTTAAAATTAATTTTACTACAATAATTGATATAATTCTTCAGTATTATTAAATATAAACAATGGGCTCTTTGATTTTCTTATCAAATCGGCCATTTACCTAACTTCTATTCTTAGTCGGCTATCTAATAGCTGTAATATAATATATCCGTGCATAAATCCCTCAAAAAATGGCCGACGTCGACTTCCATTCGTATCACTAGTTAGCAATCTAGTTTATTGTTTATCTCCGTGGAGATAAGTGATAATATATAAGTGATAAGAGATATGAGATAACATATCCATGATTCAACGTTTTTTTCACCCGTGAAACGGAGAAAATAACTAGGTTTTTTTTTACTAAAATTGTTTTCACTAGATAAATTACCTGAGCCGAGCCCATCATCTGTTGATCGTCGGTGGGAGCAGGCGGTGCATCGATGCCCTCTCTGAGGGTCTGGCCGATTATTTCGCTAATGTTTCGATAGGCCGTCCGAGTGTCGTTGATTGTCTAAAAAAAAATAAAAATATTACACCGTTGAGAATATCTCTTCTAATGACCTCGTTTGTCTGGCCGACTAATTTTAAGCAAACAACAAATGCATTACTGTGTACGGCTTGAGGCAATTTAGACAAACTGATAGAGCGCAAAAAACCGAGTGGTTCGCTTTCAGAATAGCAAACGGCATTGACCAACAAAGCCTTTGGTAAGTTTAATTGCAAAATAATAATTACACAATTTTCCATACCATAAAAGTCTACGCAATTTTCTGCAACGAATCTTTCTGCGCGCCAAGTTTTTCTTTTAATATTTTTTTTTACTTAAGAAAAAAACTATCCTTTAACCGGCTGATGTCCAATTAAAATATCAATATGGACACGATTATAAAACCGGTTGAGCGCTATAAAACAATACAGTTAACAAATACATTGACCTGTCGTGGCTCGGTTTCAACACACACAAACACACCTCACACAGCTTGGTTTAAAGTGAAAGACATCAGAAGATGATTTGTAAAAATCCGATGACACAACATGATGACAAGAGAACAATCTTTCTGGTGTCTCATATCCAATTTGGATAGCTCTTCGTAGGTTCGACCGAGCTATAAAATAATTAGATTTTCAAACGTTTATTAAAAGACTAGAAATAACTGTGTAGGTGTTTACTGGCTAATATCCAAATGAGTTTCTATCACGAAGGTTTAACGACCGACAAAAAGTATCAGAAATACCATTTTTTTCTTCTTCTAAAAACACTTGTCTGTACGGTCTACTAGTTCCAGACAGATGATTTACAAACGTTTCCTTATTCTTGATTAGTCTTGAGAGCAAATTACATTGAATTGTTTCGGCCATTATAACCATATTATTATAACGTAATCAAATATACAATTATCATTATATTACCAAAATCATGTTAAAGTAACAAAAAAAAAAATGGTTGAACAGATCGTTTGTACTTACTTTAACGTTACAAAGCATTTCATTTCAATATATTTTTCATTTAATAGGCCAATTAAAACTCATTTCAAACATGTTGTTGGCAAATTTAAATAATAGTCGTTATTTTATTAGGTAAAATTCAAACTAGACTTAATTTGTGTTTGGTCTAATGCGGTTTTCTTCCAAACACAATTATTATCGTCCAGCCTTAGGCAATGACAGATGGCAATGCAGAATTTTGCTTGAAAGTACTTTGCTGACAATTATGCTCTATCCAGAATATTAACTATATAGATTTAAAATAAATTATTTACCAATCAACTTAATTAAGTTGAATTCGATCAATTGAAACTAAAATGGTTTTAACTTTAGGTTGAGTCAGTTATGATGAAATAAAGGTAAATCAAAACACGTTGAATATGAGTTGATCTCATTTACCCGTTACATAAGTTCAACCTTGGTAATAAATGACTATTAATCGATTTTAAAACAGTTTTATTACCATGACATACAGTCACTGATAATAGTGCTAATTGAGAAAGAACTAGTTCAATAAAATATTATATGAATATATTACAAATTGTATTTAGCCATATACTTTACGCAGCAAGGTTAAACAAGGACATTGAACTCCAAATAACGATATTGTTTTGCTTCTCCAGTATTTTCTATAGGTTGAGGTTAATGAAAATCAGTACAGCTAGATGCCAAATATTTTTAAGCCAAGATTGTGACCATTCCCACGGTTACAAAACTGCGTTATGAAAGTGAACGAGAGACCACCACAGCATCACATCATTACTATTTGGAGGATGCATTGCCTAATCATTTGAAAAGATTCCAGACTCGTTGCCAAGGAGTGCATGCAATGAAGTGTGATGGAAATTATTGGGCAGCTAGAGGAACTTGAAGAGTTTGAGTTATAACGGGGAAGCACATATTAGATAAAACCAAAGGTTGCACTAACTGAAAGCCGAGACCTTCACGTAAGACAAGCTCTGCGACGTATGTTTGCGAAGCTTGGAGGAAAATATGTAAACTGGCGAAGGAGATACAACAAAGATATGATGGAACTAGCACAAATAGATAAGGGCCAAATGATACAAAGGTTAGGTCACATAATGAAACAGTTAAAATAGCAAAGGAATGGAAACCAGAATGAAGAAGACCGAGAGGAAGATCCAGGAAAAGATGGATTGACATGGTAGAACAAAATCTAAGAGCCCTAGGAGTTAAAGACTGGAGAGAGGTAGTTCAAGATTGTTTGTGGCAAATACTTTTAGAGAATAGTCACGCCAACAGAAGAAGAACCCTAATCGCATTCTTCCTGATACTTGAGATGCAAGATCTTAAGGATTTTTTCGCCTTCCCGATGCTTTTATCAATATACTTCTACCAGACCTCAGTGTGTAGTAGCTTTTTTTTTGGTTTCAGCTCCCCTGTGTTTGTTTCTTTACTGTCGGTTTCATAAAGATTAAGTCGAATTGGACTCACGTCTCGCACTAGGATTTTGGTCAACCGGAACAGACCCGGAGACTGATTGTTGCTGGCCGCTTTCTTGCGAAGCAACAGCTGCCTTCGCTGTCGGTTGGTCATTTCCATCGCCCTTCGCCGGTCGTCCAACTGCTGTGTTTTCTTGGACCGGACGCGTTCGGCCGGCGACTCGTTCTCTTCGTTGTAGCCATTGACCAAGTCGTTGACGCTATTGACGACCGCCGGGGTCTTGGTCGTGGTAACGTGAACCGTGGACGTGGTAACCCCTACCGTGGTCGTGGTATCGCCAACCGCGGCCGGCACGGTTAAGGCTATGACGCAGAAGACCACCAGGGACGAGACGACGGTCGATCCGGGAAAACGCTTTACGGCCGACACTCGAACGGGTGTCATCGTTGAGGCGTTTTGACGCTAAAACAAAATTCAAAAGGAAAATTATTATTATGCACAGAGCAATAGAGTGTGCCAAATGATGAGCTTAAGGTTAAGCTTAAGCTTAAGATTATAGTGTGTATAATCGTATATTGTACATGCGATACATTTTTTAACATGATAATAATTTCCTAAAGCACATGTCTACAATTTATTATTTGAAAGTCCCAAAATTGTCGCCCATAAATGATGTATTATGCCCGGAAAAGGAAAAATAAGCTAAAAGAACAATACCTAAACTTGAATAAAATAGACTACCTTAAATAGACCACCTATTGAATAATTGTCCATGTATGGATTTTTACGTCCGGTAAGGATATTTGGTCACATTTGTCAACATTACATTTGATATGGTTCTCAACGTGTCAATTTGAACAACTAACAAATTTCCTCTTGTAACCTTTCACAATTCTCCGACGAATTGACCGCCTTATATACTATGAAATCAGCCACAAATAGTTATAATTTACAAAAACAGAGGAGATAAATGTCCACCTTGTGAAACGTCTTATTTAAAAAAAAAAAAAATCTGATTTGTGGTTGATTTGTTAACATTTTTCTTTTTCTTAATACCATTTTTATATTATTTGTTAACATAAATTATCAAGTGAACGTCATCATTAGTGGTTAAGGATATGTTTTGACAGTTAAAAACTATCTAGTTTTGAAATATTGACTGATTTTTTTTTAGTTCTATAAATTGTTATTACTTAAAAAAAACAATTTCGAAACGACTGAAAAAAAAATCATGACTAAACAGTGTATTTAAATATTTACATGGTTTACAGTTACACCTATATTTACAAATTGACTTTGCTAACGTTACGGGAGCCTGACATGTTCCATCTTTGCTTCTCTTAGTACACATTTTGTGCAATGGGTTTCTTTGGATAAAATGTTTACATTTTCAAAGTTAACATATTATAAGGTAGATGAAAAGACTTCCGAAATTTTAGTAAACACAGGTGTAACTGTAAACCATATAAATCTTTCAAACAAACCCCAACCAATTGATACATAGAAATTAAATTATACTTATGTCCAAATAGGCTAGACGATTGAAAAATTCATAATGTATGTCTACTTTTCTTAACGGCATAAAACAAATTGGATTTGTGGAACGCCATCGACTTAGCCCTTTTGGGAAATAGAAGTGGAGTGTCATAAGTTTTAGTGAGTGTCACATTTTGAACGCCTAGGATTCATAATAACGCAAGGCAATGACCTTAAGACGGACGTGAACACTAGGATACAAATGGGAAACGGGTGTCATGATGTTGACCTAAGAAGCATGTTTGGCTCAAAGGTAAAAATTCAATTACACATGACCCTGATATGACCAGTAGTGTTTTGTGGTTCTGAGACACGGACATGGATAAATGCGGAAGAAACAAGACTTGCAGGGTTGAATGGAGCATACGTTACTTTGAGGAACTGAAAAACTTGACTCAAAGAGCAGACATCATTGCAGGATTTACAAGAAGAAGATTAATGTGGACTGATCGCATGCGTGGAGGAAAGAGGGCTTACCGTATAAAGGCGTTTATACGAGCGAGATCCAGTTGGGAAAAGACAGTGGAACCGAGGATACGATGGAGAGAAGTGGCAGAGGATAGGGAAAGATGAAACCCACAATAAGAAGATAAGGAAGAAGAGATCTTTAAACACGAGTCGTCGAGTTGAGGTTTGAAAATGTGTTTTACATCACCAAGTGAATTTCGTTAATTAGGTCTAACACAACACCGTGTTATTTTTGTTCCCACGACTAGGCAGATGCATAAGCGCAATAGACGAGTGAGATTCGATACGGGGAAACCCAAAACAGTTCCGGCGGAAATGCAGTAATTTGTACGAGCGTGTTGTGTGTGAGATAAGATATAATCACAACCTCGAGTAATAAAAAAAAAAAATACACTTATAATTGGCCTGGACCGCACACTGCGATGGGAACGTCTAGCCGTGCAAATCTAAATGATCTTACACGGTTAATTTAAACAGAACGCGGAAAAAAAACCGGCTTGTCTGTGTTAAATCTTACACCTTTTACACACCTGCAGTTGTAAAAGAAAGAAAAAATAGCATAAACTGTTATGAAACTCTTCACTGCACTTGTACTACATGCCAAATTGATTCTAATAACACCTTAAAGCGCAAAATCCGGTCATCGGTCTCAGAGATCTGCTTGGCTTAAAAAAATATTACCTAAAATCGACACAATTTTTAATTGTAAAAAACTAAAAGCATTTTTTTTTTAGCTCATTATTGTATCTTCTTGATAAGCTTTTTCGAATGAGCTTAAAATCGACTTTCTATCTCTTACAGTTGAAGAGCAAATCGAAATTCCAATCATTAAACGGCATGTGTATGAAATTCGATCTACCTGTATATATTGTCTTATATTATTGCCAAGACATATATCTTTCTTCTAGCTATTAGAGTGCACTTAGAGTTATCAACATTACATTTTTTTAAATTTTAATTACTTAGTGTTTTCAAAAATCAACAGAATAATACACTAAAGTGGTCAAGGCAGGTGTCGGGTGAGCCATAAAATATTATTCTAATGCGTTTTGCAATACTTAACCTACCAACTCGCGGCTTGTATCGACCTTGACTCGATTGTCTATTTCTTAATCTTAAAAATTAAACGAAAATGTGATTTTATAACGTCGGGTTGGATTTATATAAACAAAAAAACAATTTTAGTTTCGCATTTAACCCAAAATTATTGAAAAATGTTTTTAAAAACTACATGAGGCAATATTGTTAATTTTATATATTTGCAATGAGAACAAATAACTATGATCTTTTAAATTACTTTTACCATGGCAATAAAAAACTTGGATTACCAAAAAACCTCACAGTTAAAATCTGTCTAAATTGTGATGATAATGGTTTTTTTTTTTTTTACTATATTTTTAATTAAATATTATTTTCAACAAAAACATGTGAACACATAGTTATTACTAATAATTACATAGATTTGCTAACACAGTAGTTATAAGACATTCGGTTTTTTAATTATAAGTTTTTTATAAACCATTAATTAATCCAATATAATATATTTAAAAATTAAGTTGAAATATAAATTGGTTATAATACGTTTCCAGGGTGTGTTGTATAAAGTGTTTGTCTAGTTTAAATTACTTTTTTGTAACATTTCAATAAGTTTGGCAACAAAAACGAATATTCAATTTTTAATATCTTTTTTATTAATCTACATATTTTCTTTGTTGATTAACAATAGTTAACATTTGTTGGCGTTCCATCCAAATATAATATTATAATCATTTCTGACTTGATTATAGATCTATACGTTTGAGACGATTGAAATCGTTTTTTTTCTCAATATAAAATTAGGCTGCATGGAAATTGTCATAAAATTGTATATAATTGGTTATAAGGTAAAAATTTCATACTACAAAAAAAAAGTATACAGGATGATTTTTTATTTTTAAAGCGTTCCACTTAATATCTTATAAAACGTGATCTCGATTTTTCACAAACGTTTATCTTTTCAACCCTTTTCCAGATTGATTATTTTTATATCAACTTTTGAAACTTAATCGATGTATATGTATTTAGAAGAAAGGAATTTTTTTTTGAAATTATAGTTCTCACAAAGAGGTTGTCGTTAAAAATGTTATAATACGTTGCAGTCATTTGCAGGAAAAATACTGGGGAAATGTCAGGAAAATGTATACCTTTCTCGAAATTACTTAATATTTAATCAATTTTTTATCTTTTATACATTCACATACGGTTTAAATTTACGATAATATTATCTTCGGTATGTTGACAGTAGGATTTCAAAAAAAAAAAAGTTTACACAATCGTTGCCATCAATTTTGTTAGTATAATTTTATGTTGAAGCCAATACATTTTACTGTTACATACATAGGTAACAGTAATCCACATGATGTTATGCCGGTTTGCCCACGAGGCGTTCATAAATTAAAATAAATATATAAATGAAATGTTTACTAGGCGTATTAATATACATTATTTGGTGGTATTTAATGAGAGAGAAATTTTTTAGCAAACCTATTGAACGTTTTGGATTAACTATGTTTTAAATTAGATTAGACCTCGCATGACTAACCGTCTTTGAACGTTACACGCCGCTTTCATATGTATTGTACATACATATGGACTAACCAAGAAGCTAGATAGACTAACTAATACTTAATAATAATAATAATAATAATAATACAGTTGTTGTTGTTGTGGTGGTCGTCACGAGGTTTGCGTTTCATAAGAGTAGAACAACAAGTGTAACGTGCGTTTCCAAGTGATTGATACGTTTCGGATGAGTCCTAACCGTTTTCTTTCACTCACGGGCACGACAGGTCATCACGTCCTTGGAAAGCAATTATTATTATTATTCTCACCCGAAAGCAAACTTATCATAAGCAAACGGATCAATCACCCGGATTCGGTCGACACTGTCCAGTGATTCCAATAAATTATTAATTGTATATTTACCTAAGTAGAGCTATGCCTCGGAGAATGTAAGAAATCCTCTTTTGAAAAACAATTGCCAAAATCCAAATTCACACAAAATGGGTTATTGACTATTTAAACCCCCCATTTTTTATGCCACAAATTGTGTAATTGGGGTTTTCCTAATTACAGGGTGATCGTATTAACGGGAACCGCTCCAGATCTCATAAGGTTTATTGAGAAATGGGTATTAATGAATATCTTTTTATCGGTTTTAAATTATTATTTATCAATTCCACAGAATTGGTGTTGAAATGGTCTTATACAGGGTGATCATTTTAACGGAAATCACTCTCAATATCTCAAAGGTTTTAACGAGACATTTTTTCACAGTGTTTTTATTTATATAATATGTGATCTTAATTTCCAAAACAGGTTATCAGTTATTAATTAAACCCAATGAGATATTGTACACAACACCAGTATTGCAGCTACTTGTTGCAACAAGTAGCTGCAACACTATTTCACTGACCGGCCGATAACAGCTGTTATATAGAGATGATCATAATCAGGGATTTAAAAATGTGTGAAATATTTCAAAAAAGTTTAAAATTTTAAAAAAGTTTAATTTATTAAAAGTTTAATAAAATTAAAGTACATTTTGAAACAAACGATATGAAACGATTGGGGCCACATCGAGAAAACAAAATCATAAATCTACATAAATGATAAAATTGCAAATATGTGTACCGATTAACTTAATATTTATATTACAAAATAAATCAGAGATCGAAAACGTTATTAAACAAAAAAATTGACATGATTTGCTAGCTATAATTACAACTTAAGATAAGTCAAGCTTTTTGGGACGATATAAAAATGTGGTTTCAGCAAGAACGTTGTAACCAGGTTGGAACGCAAACATTGTATTTAATAAATAAAGTACTTTGTACATATTTAAATTGTAAAATCAGTGTAGCCAACTTTTCCAAAACAACGTTCTCAACGGGTAGACAATATCAATGAACTGACAGAGCGGTTCGGTTCGGAGTTGTTGTCGATTGATATGAAAATGGTCATTGAAAAAAAATGTACTTAGAATATAATATTGTCATTTTACAACTTGCCCCAGCATTTCGGAAATAAAATAAAAATAATATTTCAATGGGAAAATATATCACACGAAACGCCTCGCATGTCTTATTATAATGTTTTGTTCTTGTATATTATTATTTTCATATTTCTCATAATCATATTATTATTATTATATTATATATATATTTTTTATAAATATTTGAACTGGAATCGTGTTTGCCGGTTGTACTTTCACTTTTTATTGTGGTTCTTGTTTGTTAATAACTAATACGGCTAGTCGGTTGATGTAATGTTACGATTTTTTTTCCTATTTAGATATATATTATATTTGTACGAAAACTAATATAACTGTACCTATTTCATTTTCCGTTAAACAAACATTTTATTTCCATTATTATTATTTAATTTTTTTTTTTACGGTACAATCAGCGTGGCTTCTTCGGTCGTTTCACACATGGAATTGCACATCTTCATAAAAAAAAAAAAAAAACTCAACTCAACTATTAGACCATCAGATAATTATAATTTTTTTTTTCCTTTCTCAAGATAAACATTTTCTGATGGCAAAAACCGAGTTAGCACCTAAAAAGGGCACACAAACCCTATGGGCGATATTAGTAACTGCGTTTTGAGTTTTAAGGTCCAAAGTTTAGCGAGCGACAGTGTGACCGCTTTGTATGAAAAAAAAATACTTTTCCATATAAGTTGCACCAACACTGTACAGTATAATCCTTATCGATTGATAAGGATCAATAGATATGATTCACACGTTACATCGTGGAAACATCTTTATTATATTGTTATTGTACAGAATGTAACCCATTGAACTCAACACAACTGCGAGCAACAGACATTTTGTCCGGTATATGTTTTACTGAGATATGTTTAAAATTTAATTTATAGTAATATGTATTGTATACAATTATATTATGTAGAACTGAATTCGGAAAACTGAATGCTTTTATTGTCGGTATTAAATTGGTAATGGAAAAAAAAAACTATAAGTTACTAATATTTATCGTTAAACGTAATACCTTATTTATAAATCTCTAACATAATTTTTGTGTTTCGATACAGTTTTTGATTTAAAAAAAAAACTCTTATCTCCACAATAAGCTTAACTTTTATAGAGACGATCATTATCAATCATAATATGTGTCGTTCAATGCATACAAGTGAATTGTCTCCTTTGTAAAATATTAACGTGTATGAAAAACAACAATACAAGTATTCATTAAGTGTTTTATATTTTTGCATTTATTGGAGTCGCTTCTCGTTTGTAATGGAAAGACATGACTCCATTGAGCGTTTTGGAGTTACACCACTTTTACAATAAACGACCCATATATTGTTTATATTCACTTGAAATATTGTGATATTATTATATTTAAATTTGTTAAACTTCTGGCCTTTCGCCTACTTCGCGATAATATCAAATGTTTAAGTTTTGCCCGTCCAAAGAAACGGAGACAGTTATCTTACTAATAATATAATAGCATGTCGTGGACTTACTTACCCCTTGCACGTTGTTGTAGTTGTTGCAAACTTGCTTTTAGGGCGGTTTCATGGCGGCGAACCCCTCGACAGGCGGTGGGGTTGTAGGGAAGGGTGGTTACCCACAATAGGGGTAGGTACTATGCTGTTTGTGTTACACCGGTGGAATGGCAAATCGCGAATCCTAGTGACAGTAAATAATAATTGTCCGCACGATATAACGGTCTGATGTTGACTAGATTCGATTTGAACGAACAAACACACACACACGCACACAATCGTTGGCGGCAAACCGAAAAAATTAAAGACAGATTATTTCACTTCGGGGCCGGAGGGAACCGTCCGAGTACACTATACATATAGTGATAATAATAAGACACTGGCTACACAAGTGGCCTGATGTGTACCGTGCGGGATAATATAATGTGCCCGGGCGAACGCGCGGGTAGGGAGTCCGCGCGCCTGCAGACACGGCGGTGCACGTGGTGGGAATAACGTGTGCGCCGGTATTACTGTAATAGTGTAGTTAGTAGTATTTTTTTTATGTGTGTAATATTATACAACACATTTACACACACGCGGTTGTACATTCTCCACAAACCGAACGCGCGCTCGTTCGACTGACCGATTGATGCGCGTTTTCGTCCAAGGTGGTTTTAGATTAGGTAATCTAGTAGGTATGATCAGGCAAAGTCCGGTCGCCGAAGAGCCCACACCAAGACGGCGGTGGAAAAAGAAGAACAGTAGCCGACCACCGGGCTGACTAATAACGATTCGCACACAATATAATATTATTGTACACGGGTTGGGTTGACCCAGTTCGGAGTCGACCGGCTCGACTCGAGGTTATTCGCGCCGTTTGGAAAGTAACACCGGCCACAAGTGTCGTGAAATAATAATAATAATAATAATATGTAATTGAACGGCTGTGATAATAATCGTACATATTATCACTGTCATTATGAGCGGTTAAGCCGAATCCAGGTTAACAACGATAACCCACGGCCACTATAATAGCGCATCGCTCTTGCGGTGAGAGCATGACTGTCGCGCACGGGGAATTCCCTATTGACAAACGTCCGACCTCCGCGGTTGCCCAACTCGATGGATCTGCTAATTAATTTAAACAATATTATATTATACAAACGGCGCACACAACATAACGTGGCAAATTTTACCCGAGAACGTGTAATAATGTTATAATGTTGTTTTAGCATTCGCTGTCGATGAGGCGGGAAAACCTAGTTATTTCGGATACGTTATCTCTAATCTCTTATCATTTATCTCTTAACACTAATCTCATATTATATCCACAGATATATATTATATATAATAAATTAGATTGCTAAATGTACATGCCACCAATAGAGATAATAATTATTGATGTTACCATTTTCCGCCATATATTTGGGAATCAGAACAATTATAAGTTAAGTTGATAACGCATTATTATTATATTATTTTATACGCACGTAAATCCCACATTAATGGCGGACGTCGACTTCAATTATTATCACTAGTTAGTGCATATATCTAATCTCTTATCGCGTCTCTCTTATCTCTTAATATTTTTTTACGCAAAAATGGTGGCATGAAATGTATTGAACCCAGACCCATGTTCAAAAAGGTAAGGACAGGTTAAGTTTAGGTAGGATTCTGATTAGATATATAGTAATATTAGGGTTATTTGTTTGATGGTTAAAGTTAGGTTTGGTTGGATATAAGTTAGATTTAGGCTAGATAGACGGTTAGGTTGAGGTTAGATTCGGGTTAGTCAGGTTCTAATTATTGAACTATCGACAACTATCAATACCGTTTTTACAGTGGTCCACAAGATTTGTCTTTTCTCAACGTTTTTATTGTATATAGTTTGAAAACGCACAAAAAACATTTGACCACAGATTATCTGCTGCCAGAAATTGTAATCTTGTAGCTTAAAAGACAGATAGACTTAAGCAAAAGCATATTCTATGTTTTTCATACATTTAAGAATTCTCTCGTTTAAAAAAATAAACAACAATAGGTAACATAAAACGACTCACATTTTTTATTGCATATTCCTCACAACTTGCTAATTTCTAATCCAACTTGGCCAAAACAGACACTTATAACAATAATTTCACCCAAATTATTGGTCGAAACGTAATCTCCTCAATGGTTTTCCCAACAAGCGTAAGAATCCTCCAAACCACAACCACAGTTCTGAAACTATTCAAACATGAAACAAAAACCGTCATCAGCTGTGAAGCTATAATGACAGGACAATATTCCATGAAATCTACATTAGGCGGATTAGACTGAAGAGCTAAGCTCTTTTGAGCAACTTTGTATCTCCAAAAATAAAGTGTTAAGATTACATTAACTATTGTCGCGGTTACTTTTGTAACTTTTATTTTCAGGTAACTATTTTACAAGAGTTTGGCGGTGGACCAATTAATTTTTCTATTTCAGCATAATTTAACGTTTCCTTGCGCAACAGCTCTTCGGCAACCTGAAAAGTAAATTTTTCTAATAATAATTTTCAAATAAAAATAATAAAATGTATTGTTAATTCAAATTTGTTATTTTTTTTAATAGTCGGATACTTTTTAAAAATACAATTTAGAAACCGATAACAGCTAGTTTTGAGTAATTATAGGCAAATTTTTAAGCAATCTATTGTTATTGTTATTATCAATTTAAATTTGGCAACTGCGTAACAGTTCTACCAACATAAGACGTTGGTCCGAACCAATAATTAAAGAACCTACTTAAAAATTCTTATGATTTATTAGTAATTATTATTATTCGGCCAATTGATTACCAATTCGAGTTTGTCACGGTTTTCTTTCAATAGTCGTTCCGTCTTGAAATAAGCTTCGGCTACCAATTTGGAAACTTCTATTTCCATAAGTGCTGCCAATTTTTTACTATAAAGCGGTCGAATGGCATTGTATCTCTTTTTAGGGAAAGATAACAATCCGACATTGTCGTTCATCCCGAATTGACGGACCTGAACAAACAGAATAGTTAATATTTCAATGATAAAAAACCAAGTACAACAATACAAAATAAACTTTACCATAGCATTAGCGATTTTGGTAACTTCTCTAAATTCATTTTTTGATGTAGTTGTACAACTATTGAAAACTATTGACTCGGCCGCTCTACCGCCAAGTTTCATACACATTTTTTCCAATAACTAAAAAACCGAAACTAAATTCATAATTATAAGTTTTACAAATATTTTTTTGGTTAAACACGCTCCTGAATATTGCAGTCCAATCATATTTAATACTATTTAAATGTTCGGTTAGGTTAGGTAAGGTTAGGTTAGGTTAAGTTAGGTTAACACCATATAAAACAGAGATGTTATTTAAAAAAAATGTTTTAAAGCGATTCTGTTAATTTAAAGGAAAAAAAATAACGAATTATTAATAAAAATATAATTTAAAGATAACGTTATGCTTTAATTAAAGAACATGTGTTAAACATAAAATGCATACTAAATTGGGTTTTTAAAAAAAATTCAAATTAAATAAAGTCATATTCTTTCCGTTCTTACTGATTATTTTTTTTTTTTTAGTTTTATGATATTGTAAAAACCACTAATTGTAGTTAGACCTACCTTCTCCTACTACGAGCTTCCTTACAGAAATTACACAGGGATATCAACTTTAACTGTTGAGTAAATTAAAATTTGCCATTACTATATTAATGTTAAAAATTATGACCATATTTTTTAACGTTAGCTTTTTTTATAAAATCTTTAACAACCTTAAAAATAACAAGACAATTTGGATTTCTCTTCTAATAGAACTATAAAAAAACATTTAGTTTATTATTTTTACGTGATAGAAATTTATCTAAGTAACATTAGAAAACAATTGTTTGAACTTATAGTTGTGAAATCGTAGTGTACTTTAGTTGAACCATTAAAATTTTAAAATTTAAAGGGTTTTTTTACGGGTACTGTGAATTTTTAAATTATTTAATTTATGTTGGAGATATTGTTATTAAGTTAAAATATTTAATTCGTTTTAACTTTTACATTTTCTATTCATTTTTTCTCTTTTATTTGGCATATACATTTATACACATTTATAACAAATAAGAGAGAAAAATATTAATAGAAAATTTAAAAGTTAAAATTAATTAAATATTTTAAATTAAAATACAAATACGGAGTATGTATTTGTTGACTTGAGTTACTCCATTAAGTAGTTAATGTTAATTGAAATTAAAACTATTATAATAAAATTCTTAATAATCTATTTAATTCAACTTGACTTGGTTAATAATATAATTAATCATTAACTTGTCCAATAACTTAAATATTATTGACTGTTTTAAAAAAAAATCAAAAAATAGACCATACAAACTAACATAATTTTTAATTATTTCATATCGAAGTTGCCACATTTTATTATATTTTATTAAACAGCTAATGCTTGAAATATTCAAATACCCAAAACAATTATTTCTTGGAAATGTGTGAACCGTTGGTCGCTTTGGCCTGTTCAACCCCGAGTTAAAATGTATATTTCAGCAATCACATTGCCCTAATAGTCAAGGTGCACCATGTGGTTTTATCTAATCCGTGCCAAAGCCATGCATATCATCGGTGACTTACTGCTTGTTTGGACAATATATTGCGCTCCCTCTGAATGTATATGTATTGAGCGAAACCTAATGCCCCGTGAGTTCTTGGCACAATACTGATTTTGTGCAGTCGTTGCCGACTGTTGATAGTCGGCCACAACCATCCGACCAGGGCACGACCGGCTTGGTGATAGGCGACCATTTGTTTTTCTTCGGCAGAAATGCTATTAGATCTTTTTTCAGCACCTCCGATCATTCGTTCGACGGCGTAGTATAGATCATTTTCGACTACCAACTTTCTGTTGTTCCTCGCAGCATGCAGCGCCGCTTCTTTACAGACATTGGCGATTTCGGCACCTTTGGCATAAGAACAAAACATCTAAACGACCAACAGATAGTATAACCTAACCTGGATAAAAGTGTTTGGGAGACAGTAAAGTGGCAAAGAGATTGGGGAGGAAATGAAGTGAAAATGGGATGGCATCTCTTTTCTAGAGATAACTCTAATCTCTTATCAGATAATTATTTATCAGCTATTTCGTTCAAAAAAAACAACCGCTAGATCAAGCCACACACACACACAGATTTTCTTATTGACCCCGAGTCAAAAGACATATCTATGTCAAAGAGTGATGAGTTGTAGATGGGTATGTGATGGTGATAAGGTTTAGAGACGCAGGTCGGAATGTGGTGGGTACGATAGGATGGTTATTATATTTGAACGGGTCGGCGATAAGATTGAGATGGGATAATGATTAGGTTTGGGTGGGATTTAAATTGGAATTGGAAGGGAATGAGGTTTGGGAGTCGGGTTGGGACGGAATGGGAGTAAGGTAAACAATTTGATAACCTCTGAATCACAGATAAGAGACGAAAAATCAGCTGATCACATGTTCCGGGTAGTCTAAAAAATTTACCACTAAAGCCCGGAGTCAGTTGAGCCATTGTCTGCGAATAACTCTGCGGAATTTTGCTCAACCTGATCGTAAGATGTTGTTCGAATATTTCCTTTCGTTCTTGCAACGTCGGCAGTTCTACGACGATATGATGGTCGAAACGACCGGATCTCAACAACGCCTAAGCAATTGGCTTTTTTTTTTATCCGATATTAATTTTTTTTTTTATTGTCTTATGCCCAACGCCCAATTTTACTACCGAATCTAGTGTATCCACTTTGCTGGTGGACGCCAACAACAGGACGCCTTCTTTGGATCCGATCCCGTCCATTTCCACCAACAGTTGGTTCAGAGTCCTTTCGCCCTCGTCGTCACCGCCCAAACCGCGTCTTTGGCGGCCGATGGCGTCGATTTCATCTATGTATACAATACAGGGAGAGTACTGTCTGACATGTTTAAATATTTGTCTAAGAAAGAAAAAAAAAATTGAATTTCGATGAAACTTCATACGGGATTGTACCGGGTGATCCATCCGATATGAACACACTCGTTTCTTGGAGAATATGAACATTTTAAAACGAGTGTAACAGCCGTTTGTAGATGCGGGGGTAGCGGAGGTGCCCCGAAATGCTCACTCGTGATTGGCTACTGTCTTGCGCATGCGCTACGGCCACAATAGTAGGCTGCTTCGGTTGGCCACAGTTCAGCATACACCACCAAGCATCGGCCAATCAAAAGTGCGCAACCGCTAACTGGCTCCACCCCCTACGCTCCGACCTATTTTTCCTATGGTCACGAACGAAACTTTTTGAGACCAGCGGTTCGTATCCACCCGTTCAAACACAGTGGCAGGTTAGCTTAGGTTAGGAGTCAATATTGTTATTTAACGGTCAGTTGGGAAGAATATTCGCATTTCCCGAGGAACGCAGTGCATTACATCGGATGGATCACTGTGTCAAGATGATTTTTGTCCTAACCGAACTCTGCTGGCTCCGACTCCGACGCTCACGCCTACAAACTCGGGACCGCTGATGAAGAAGAACGGGACTTGGCATTCTTTTTGCGCGGCCTTGGCCAACAACGTCTTACCGCATCCCGTCGGTCCCGAGAGCAAAGCTCCCTTGGGAACTCTGGCGCCTAAATATTCGTAGAGAATCCGCATCAGCGGTCTGTTGAAAGAAGCCAGCACGTTGGACATTTCGAGTTTGGCATCGTGCAGACCGGCGACGTCCTTGAATTCCATGGGAAATCCCTGGCGATACAACGTTCTTCCCGTAACGGCGTACTTGGCTCTGGTTTTTCGAAGCTGCAAACACAAAAATGCCTATCTAAAATTTCTCTTTTAATTCAATTGCATTCGGTCAATCTGTTACAGAACACCGCACAACTCGAACGACACCGACCAAACGCGGTGTTATGTAAATATAATGCCACTACCGCCGAAGTGTCGGCTTTGTGAAAGTTCCGGAAATTTCGGTCACAAATTATAATATTTATTATATTGAACAGCACACCGGTCCGGTCGGATGCCGGCGATTCGGGTATAAAAAAAAAAAATCATTAATTTAGGTTACATGTTATTTTTTACAAGGGCTTTGTTTCCAAATCGGTTTAGCCAAAGGTTTCGCATAAAGCCGCTCAGAGTGCTGGCGAATCTCGGTTCGATCAGTTCTTTTGGCCGGAAACACTTGGAAATTGAATTCATCAATCGAAAGCCCATGGTTTAAAATAAATTTTTTAATATTTTCTATTTAACGTTAAAATTAATATAAATGAGTGGTAGTTCTTCTACGTATTATGTGTACTGTGTATTGAATCATTGTATGTTTATTATTATTGCCTTGGCAAAATATAACTATACAAGCTTGTCGAGTCACTCGCATTTCAAAACAATATGTTTACTAAAACTATAGGTTAGGAACTAACCTTTCCAAACGCTGAACTCTGGTTGAAATATGTCCTGACTGGGATACACCCATGTCGTTTACAATTTCATGGAAAATAAAAATGCTACCTTTCTCTTTCACGATAAATATTTAAATGTTATCTCTAAAATTTAAATTGTCCCATTTCAGTGATGATAACATAGCAATATATTTGATGATGTATAAATCATGGAAAAAAATCACAACTGTTCTCAATACGGCGGCCTAGCCCTAGTGGACATTTTCATTAAAAACAGCTATAAGAGATGACGTTCCAATGATTCATTATTATGTTTTTTTACACTTGAGTACAAAGGCAGGGAATTTCCAATAAACGGTTTGTTAGACCAGCTGTTTGTTTAAATGATTCCAACAGTTGGATAGTTGATGACAGTAATTTTTAATTCAAAATTAGTGCTTTGCAGAAGAAAATATGCAGTGTGAATTAATTACAAGTGGTAAAAATGAATAATAAGAGTAGGCTTAGGCGTGGCACCTTTCGTTGGGAAGATGAGAGAGAGAGAGAGATGATGGTATAAAACAAATTAACTTGGATATAATTGGTATGAAGATGAGTAATAAAATAAGAAGGTCGGTTAATGCTTCTTGATATTTATTTATTGACTTGTGCTTGGAGTGTTTGCACCAATCAATGGAACAGTGTCAAAATTGCCAGTGGCCAGTCGCTCGGAATGGTTTGCTTGTGCAATCATCTCAATGTGGAATCTTCGCTAACTGTTTAATCGGTTGTCTCTTTCTCGAGTGTGTTGACCCAGCCGTGTAGTGTTTGGATTATTCTAAAACAGTTTGGTCGGCTTCTTCCAATGGCAATTCCATCTGCTCTTTCCGCCTCGATAGACGTAGAGGTCGTGTGCTAACGTACAAGTACTAAAATCGATATTCTATCCAATGTAGGTGTGTGATATCCGTTTTGCAATACCGACGTTTATGTATTTTTTTTTTTTTTTTTTATATTTTAATTTTAACGATTAACATATTATGATGTACATTGAACACGTGTGTATGAGTGCAGCAACCTGCTCGAGTCCATCACCGCGTCGAGCCGGTCTACAGCAGCTGTTACGCACGTTTGCTTTGCTCTGACATAATCAGAAAGAGAGAGAGAACCAGTCTTGCTTGTAATAGCAAAATATAATGTCGCATGTACACCACACGCAAACGAATCCAGTTAAGTAGCTTAGTAAAAATGGTTATTAGCTTCCATGCGGAACTGAGCTTTTACATGTTGTGCTTTTCTTTTGTTTTTCATTTGCCTGCACCAACGACATCTCCAGAAATCATACCTGAGAGGTACTTTGTTGGGCCAACGATTTGAAAATAAAACGTTAAGAGAGTATAGCAATTGATAGTATTGCGTTAAAATGACCGAACCATGTTGTGATTAAATTTTTTAATTTTCACTAAAGTTATATAATACAATTTTTAATGTATATTGCGTCAATTTTTTTATTATATTGCCTAAATCATAATTCAATATTTTTATAATTAATTGTTTTTTATTCAGCGCCCAAATGGTCACACGCCGAAACGTCCTAGATCTCCAGTTGTGATTAAAAAATATATTAATAATTTTATAGAAAATATATTTTAAAAAATATATTAATGTGGTCAATCAGTTGCTATAAAAAATAGTATGCAAATCTACTTGTAGTCATGTTAATTGGTAAATATTTTATTTTAAATTCTACATAATTGGTATTATGGATAGGCATACTTGTCAGACAAGTACCTTAAAGCTAAATTTCGCATTGCCACAGACTAGACGGTAATACTAATTGTGTTTGGAAGAAAAATGCACTAGACCAAACACAATTGAGTCTAGTTTCAGTAATATGGTTGCCTACTAGAATTAATTGTGTTTACTATTGTTCGACTTGGAAATGTTTAATTGCTTTATTATTATTATGCACCTTATCTATTTATTATTTTTTTCTTGTCTTCGAAAATTATGTCATTCGACGGATTAGTAAGCTGTGCTGTATTGGCGACCCGAATTAATGGATTAAAAAAATTAAAAAAACCTTTTTGTTTCTTTTTAAATATATTTTAAAAAGGTATTGTTTTTACAACTATGTCTTATTTTATGTCAGGACCAAAATCTAATCAAAACTAACCTAACCTATCTGATTTTTTTTTGTGTAGCAACTCTATACATAAGAAATCGTACCTATAAAGTACTTTATTGGACCAAACATTTTAAAAAGTTAACCCTTCCCCTTCAAAATCAAGAAAAACGCAACATAAAAGGTCATATTTTTTAATTTAAAATTTAGACGCTATATACATTTTTTAAAAACAGTTTAATCCGTTTTAAATTTGTATGGAATATTCTTTAGACACAGTACTACCGATACAAATAAAAAAAATCAAAAACCCTTTCCTCAGTTATTTTTTGGTTTAAGACCCAAGGTAGATCTAGAATGGGCCTATAACATATACAGTCAACACGCATTTAAAAATGTTTTCAATATATGTTAATTACATTGTATGGGTAACTATGGCAATGGATTATTGTAGAAAAATTGTCGACCCTAATCGCATCCAACCTAATACTAAAAATAAAATTGTAAGCACATTGTTGTCATTGATTAATTAGTTCTTATATTGATAGAAAATGATCCACGAATCAGTCAATATCTCAAAAGATATTTTAAGACACTTTTATAGTAAATATTTACACGAATAGTAATCTTAAAAAGTCTAAAAGACATTGACTGGTTCATAGTTAATCAGCATTTATAGAAATTGAATATTTTGTAATTAATGCCAAACAACGAACAGTATACAAACAAAAGCTCATTATTTTCATATTAATTTTTCCCTTTAAAATTAATTTTTATAGTTTTAAAGTTTTCAAAGTAACAAAAGTGCTTAATTGAAGATAATCTCATGTCAGAAACGTAAACTTCAAAAGCATTACAGCTTGCCTAGTAATTTTTTTTTTGTAATGTACTTACTCTGACTTCCACCTGTGGTGTAGTGCATGCTTAAAAAGTTATCGTCGCTTCAGATAGAAAAAACGAAAAAATAAAAACCATCTCTTCAGTTTGGCTTTGATTTTTAGATATTATTTAGTATACTCAGTAATAATATTATCTAGCTTAGGTGTTCTTATTTTTCCTCAAGTTTGTCCAGTATATAAGTCATCCATCATACCATATAATATACAGACATACCAGGAGTATACAACCACCTCCTCGGCAGTGCTGGGCATAATGTAATCTGATTAATGATCAATGATCAATGATTAAGATTAATAATTTGTAATCAGTAATCATACGGTAAGAATAATGCAAACAAATCAGGAAAGTAATCATGTAGATATGATTACATTAATCATTCATTTGTTATCATGTTTACATTAATAATTTAATTATTGTAATCATGAAATTATTAATGAGTCCTCCAAAAAATATTCAGACTTATTTAAATAGGGCCCGCGCTTTTCTTTTTAGTCAAAAATTAAAGATGTTGAAAATTATTTACAATTGTAGTTAATTTTCGGTTGTTTTAAAAGTAATTGAGATTTTAAATAAAATGTGGTACAATTGTTTGGTAAATTGTTCTTGTAATAAAATAATTTTTTACATTTTAGTTTACTTTAAACTATTTTTTAAAATTTGTAGTCAATCATCAAGTCGTTAAGAAGAAACAAAAAAAAAAAAAAAAGGAAAATTGTACTTTATAAATCTGATAAAACCATTTTGAGCGAAAAATTATAATTTAACAATAATACAAATATTATAAGGAAATTATTTAATTGTTTTAAATTGCATATACATTTATAACGTAGATTTCTATTAAAAGATAACACATAAAGAATTTTCGGCAAACATTTTGAGGTTACTATTACTAATATAATATATGTATGCAATCTTCAATTTTATACATTTTTAAGTCGTTAGTTAAAAAATGTGTGTGTTGATTTTACCCTAAGCCGATGTTATCCGTAAATATTATACTTGACTATTGTTATGCTCACTTTGGAGTTGTTGTGGTAGTACATCACCGAGCGGTGGTGGTCCAGGGTCCGTTTCTTTTTTAAAGTAAAAGTATGCACGGTCCAAGATATTTTGTAATTCTTGTTCAAATTCGTAGTAACGCATTGGAAGTTCTAAGTTGTTATATTCGCCAGTTCTCACCAAGTCCATCATGTTACCATACCGTTGACTAAACTCCATGCATGTATCATTGAAGAATTTTTTCCGTTTTACCGCATTCGCCTTTACTACGTCGATAGCGTTAACTATTTGACGCACCGGCTCATTCGATATTAAATAAATTTTAAACATGTCGGAAATGAGTTTTATTACAGGATCGATCCTATCAAAATATTTTATAGTTTCTTCCCATATCATCGGTCTCATTAGTTTATTCGATATACGACATAATCTATACAACATCGAAATACCTTCGCTTTCGATCACGTTCATGAGCCGAACAAATGCCTCGGCGTAGCTATTACAAATCACACAGTCTTCCATCACTGCGCGCAATGTTTGGTTTACGGTCAAACCGCTATAGGAATCCCGTTTAAAGGCCATGAAACTGTCTACTTTTTCCGGATCGGTTGCAAACGAATTTCCGGTGAATAAAATGTTATCGCTCCGAACTGCAGGTACCGGAAAAGGTGGTATCACGCCGTATTCTGCATAGTCCAATACAACGTCCGGAATACTAACACATCTTTTCCACGGGGATTCGGGTTCGTGAGTGTAGCACGTAGTGCCCGAAAACACCAAACTCATAAATTTCCACTCGGTTTGATACAAATATTCAATGGTTTCCTTTATGATAATCGTTTGACAACAGCGAAGAAGACTGCACAGTGCAATAACACAGATTTGGAACGAAAACATTTTTCTTTTTTTTATTCGTTAATTGTCGAAAAAAATCAAAACGGGTCAACACGATCAAACGATAATAGACATAATAAAAAGGACACCCTAATGTTTTTCACAAAATTATAACTGTTCGCTACGAAGCGTGTGGGATCGACTGAATCGTCGGTACAACTTACGTGGTAATCCAAAAAACACTTTTCACTGTTACATTAAGTTCATTTTTAACGATAATAAATTTGGCAGTGGTTAGGTTAGATTTTTCAGAAAACTTGATCAAATAACAAGACGATATTGGAATGGTAGAACGATTGATGTTCATTTCGTCTACTTTACCATTGTTTTGTCGCGCGTTTCTATAAAATCGCAGCGTATTTTAAAGCCATTGTAATAAAGGTATACTTATTTGTTCAATGTTATGTTTGAAGTGCGGTTTTTTTTTCGCACGTTTGACAAAAACAATACGGTATAGTTTCTAGTACAACTGATGATGGTCAATAACATTTTTTTTTTTATTTTTTGTATTCAAATTAATATTTTCTGAACGAAAAATATCACCATACACTATTTTTGCCTCATACAATGTGGCTATATTGTTCAAGTTGGTAAATGAATCATGCTGCGATGTTGGGTTTATTTGTTTAATGTGTTGTACTAGAAATATGAGTGATAATATTACTTCTTTGTGATATAATATATGTTGTACGTAACATAATATGAGACTATAGTTTTTAAGCTACTCACAATCTTAAATATTAGATAAGATATAATTAATGAACGTTATTAAAACTCAAAAATGTTTTATTCAAGTAAAATTATTAATTAAACAAATTTAAAAATTACAGTAATGATTTTAGATTTTTTTTATTACAAAAAATAACCTACTCGTTGGCCAACGAAATATTTAGAAAAAGCAGAGTTAAAAAAATATTCTTTTCTTAGACATATACATATAGGTCGAATCATCGTGAAATACTCTAAACGTAATATATTTAAGAGAAGACGCTTTTCTTTTTAATAAAAAATTAAAGATGTTTCAAATTATTTAAAATTGTAGTTAATTTTCCGTTGTTTTAAAAGTAATTGACATTTTAAATAAAAAGTGCTACAATCGATTGGTAAATTATTCTTGTAATAAAATAGTTTTTACTTTTTATAATTTTTAGAAAAGCATGTTTTTAAAAAAAAATTTTTTTTAATTCTGTAGTCAATCATTAAGTCATTAGGGAGAACCAAAAAAAAAAAAAAGGAAAATTGTACTTTATTAACCGATAAAACCATTTTGAGCGAAAAATTGTAATTTAATAATAATACAAATATTATAAGGAAAATATTTAATTGTTTTAAATTGCATATACATTTATAACTTAGATTTCTATTAAAAGATAACACATAAGGAATTTTTGGCAAACATTTTGAGGTTACTATTACTAATATAATATATGTATGCAAGCTTCGATTTTATACATTTTCAAGTCGTTAGTTAAAAAATGTGTGTGTTGATTTTAACCTAAACCACACCGATGCTACCCGTAAATATTATAGTTGTCTATTGTTATGCTCACTTTGGAGTTGCTGTGGTAGTGCATTGGATTCATCACCTAGCGGTGGTGGTCCAGCGTACGTTCCTTTTTCAAAGTAAAAGTACGCGTGATCTAAGATAAGTTGTAATTCTTCGTAGATTAAGCACCTAAGCATTGGACGTTCTACGTTCTTATACACGCCAGTACTCACCAAGTTCATCATGTTACCATATCGTTGACTAAACTCCGTGCATGTATCATTGAAGAATATTTTTCGTTTTACCGCATTCGCCTTTACTACGTCGATGGCGTCTACTATTTGACGCACCGGCTCATTGGATATGAAATAAATTTTAAACATGTCGGAAATGAGTTTTATCACAGGATCGATTATGTCAAAGTACAATTTAGTCGCGTCCCACGACATTGGTCTTATTAATTTATTCGATATGCGACATAATCTGTCCAACATCGAAATACCTTCGCTTTCGATCACGTTCATGAGCCGAACAAATGCCTCGGCGTAGCTATTACAAATCACACAGTTCTCCATCACTGCGCGCAATGTTTGGTTTACGGTCAAACCGCTATAGGAATTCCGTTTAAAGGCCATGAAACTGTCTACTTTTTCCGTATCGGTTGCAAGCGAATTTCCGGTGAATAAAATGTTATAGCTCAGACCTACAGTTACCGGAAAAGGTGGTATCACGCCGTATTCTCCATAATCCAATTCAACGCCCTCCGGGATACTAACACATCTTTTCCACGGCGATTCGGGTTCGTGAGTGTAGCACGTAGTGCCCGAAAACACCAAACTCATAAATTTCCACTCGGTTTGACACAAATATTCAATGGTTTCCTTTGTGATCACCGTTTGACAACAGCGAAGAAGACTGCACAGTGCAATTACACAGATTTGGAACGAAAACATTTTTTTTTTACTTTGATTCGTGAATTGTCGAAAAAAATCAAAACCGGTCAACACGATCAAATGATAATAGTCATAATAAAATGAACCCTAATGCTATTCACAAGATTATTACTGTTCACTACAAACCGCGTGGGATCGACCGAATCGTCGGTATAACTTGCGTGGTAATCCAAAAAACACTTTTCACTGTTACATTAAATTCATTCTTAACGATAGTAAATTTGGCAATGGGTAGGTTAGATTTTCCAGAAAAACTTGATCAAACAACAAGACGACATTGGATAGGTACAATGTTTGATGTTCGTTTCGTCTACTTTACCCTTCCCCGTTCTTCTGAAAATGAAGAAAACAATTTTTTTTTGTATTTTTCACCTTAACGTCAATATCCAAGCATTCGCAAAGGCGTATAAAGGTTTTACTATTATTTAAATGTAAAAAAAAAATTGAATCACGCATGTGTAGATACTGGACATGATTTTGGTACAATCGCGCTATGCGGGTTTATACCTTATTTGGGTTAGACTGTGCCTATTTGGTTTAAGCTATTTATATAAAAAAAAATCGATAGTCAGATAATGTTGACGGGAGGAGGGGTGTGGAAAATGGGCAAATAATGCTGCACGCTATAACAGCGAGGAGTTGGTTTTTTTTCATAGCTTTGTCTCGATCCACACAAATCGTAAAAATTCAACGCTGTCTTGTTGTGTGTTGACAATGTAGACACAATGTTTATTTATTTTAACTTTCTTTTTTCAGTTATAAGCAAACTTCAGCGCCGAAACTAAAATTGGTACGGTATTAAACCAAGTACTAACGGTATTAAATCATTTGGGAAATTAACAAGAAGTTATATTTGTACTAAATAAGATTTCTATACGAAAAATTAATTAGAAAAAAATGTTAAAATGTTTAGCCGAATCGCAAGACATATTTCGGCGGCCAAAAGGAAAATATATCAAATATAATTTTTTAAACGCCATAACGAGCGTTTCTATAATATCACAACGAATTTCAATGCCAATGTCATGTTTGAATAGCTGTTTTTATTCGTGTGCATTTGACAAAAATAATCCGGTATAGTTTCCAGTACAAGGTGATGTTGGCTGTACAGAATGAAAAAGATATATTATTCTTTTTTATAATTTTTATAGGATTTAGTCCACTTAATTTTGATATACTTTGTCGAAAATAAATACATTAACTAAAAACTGTGAAAAAAAGGTCTAACATCTCAAAAGAACTTGAATGAGCCTTAGTTAACCATTTATCCTGTACAACGTGCATTAAAATATTATATTTTCAAAAAAATTAACAATTCTAGTAACAGTATTGCTTTTATGTCCATTATTGACACATCATTATACCACTCTATAGATCAGAAACCGTACCCGGAAGGTACTTTATTAGGCCAAAATTCATCCCTTCCCCATCAAAATTGAGAGAAAACACCCTAAAAATTTACAAATTTTTCAACCTAAAATTACGATGCTCTATAATTTTTTAAAAGTAGTCGAAAAAGTTCCAAATTCGTATGAATTGTTCTTCAAATATACATAGTACTATCGATAAACATTAACAAACAAAAAAAAGGTCATAAACCATTTTCCCTAGAAGGGATACAATTTTTTTCTTTATTTTACTTTTTCAAGCAAAGTTTTAGAGATTTAGGTCTGAAAATTAGACCGAAGGTAGATCTAAAATGGAACTATAACATAATATACAATTTTCTCAAAAACATGTAGTAAAACTTTTTTTTTATTAAGGAAAAACCTCAAAAATATGGTAAATTTACACTTTGGCCGTAGTCAGTTTCTACGTTGCTGTGTGTGAGTGAATCAACAGTCAACAGGTAATGAAAATACTTTCATTATGCTGTTAATTACGATATATGGGTAACCACGACAGTGCATTTTTATAGACAGACGATCGACCCTTAACGTATCGACCCTGCACAAGAATAAATATTAAATTTTAAGTACATTGTAAGTACTAAGTAGAGTTAAAAACAATTTTTTTCCCAGAGATATATGAAAAGGTTAAATCATCGACACTCTATGTATAATATATTTTAGAGAAAGCCTAGGGTGGTTAAACATTTAGCATTTTTAATCACTCCATGATTACAATTGAATGATTAACGGGATCATGTGTCCGATGATTATTGATTAATGGTTACATAATGTAATCGCGATTACAAATTGTTGTAATCACGATTATTCCAGAAACAAATAAAATATAAGACATGCTTTTTTTTATTATTAGAAAATTTGCATATTTTCAACGTAGAACACAATTTTATGTATATTTTTTTTTTTTTTCTTAAGTTTAATATCCAAAAAGAAAAGAAAACGCCGCCCTCGATGACGAGACTAGTGCACGTTCCGTTGTCGGGCTCGGTTTTTGCGGTTTTTGCTGTTCGGCTTGCCTTGGTTCTGTTGGTGTTGTGGTTGTGGTTTTTGAGTAGAAGTCTGTGGCTGTGGGGTGGAATTACTGCGAGCCGGCGGCTGATGGACCGAACAGTCCTCTGGCCGGACCAGCGATGACTTATCGCTAAAAAAAAAAACAAAAAAAAATAACAATAACGATTTTCAAGTATATTCTCGGTTATTTGATATCATCAAAACACCGGCAAAAACTGTTTCGAACGTCCAAACGACGGGTAAATTCGTGTACGTATTATTAGGATAAAACAACAGGCTTGAGCCCAAACAGGTGTAAAACACACACACAAAAAAAAAAAAAAAAAATAGTAGCTACAAATCATCGTTTATTGGAAAAACAGTAAAAAAGTTCTCGCAAAAAAACATCTAAATCTAAATCAGGTATAATTAGATACAATGGAAAAATGGTCACAAAATAAACGGGGGTTTTTTTTTTATGTGTCACATTTTTGTTATTATCTAGGAAAACTGGACAAAAAAAAAGGATTATAATATGATTTTTTTTGTACACAAAAAACGGTCAGACTTATTTCGGTATGATTCGCCGTGCAAGGATAGCTTTTTTTGGCACATATGTTTCCAACTTAAATGGGTCCAACTATGATTGGACAAGACCCGCATAAAGATTTTGGACTACATGTGTTTCTACAACCAAATCATTTGACTCTAGTTTTAGGTACATTTAAGTGAGGGAAAGTGGTGGTAAGGTACACATGGTTGAAAACATGTATTCACATACTCATGCTTGTAAAACCGTGGTCGACATCGGACGGCTGAAACAGCTTAAAATTTGGTTTTGGTCAATTAAATTTCACAACAGGAGTTTATCAGCTAATTAGGGCCGTTCGGTCGGCATGACCGCATTCCAGGCAAATACAACGCAGAACAGGAAAATATCAATTAAATATTAATTTTAATGCTTAATTAAAACTATAAACGAAAATTAATATAATATATTATATTATTTCATCGTCGATAATGTGATGTAACTTGTTGGCTAACGACAGGGTATGAATTTTCTGTCTTAACAAAAAGTGGGGTTAATCGTTTTTGCATTATCAACGAAGCACTCTATCGGGTGTTGCTTACTCGGGTGTCGGACTAATCTGGACGTTGACATTTGCATCCGGGTTTTCCTGCGGTGACTTTTCGAATAATTGGTCAACACACTGGTTGGGGTTTTCCACCACTTCTCTCTTGCGTTCTTCCAGTTTGTCTTGCAGCTGTTCGGTAAGGGCGTGCCACTGGACCAGTTGCCTGGCGTGTCGCTCCCTTTCGGCCGTCAGTCTTTGCCCGTGTTCCATTATCAGCTGCGCTTCTCTTTGTCTATGCAACAGAGAAAATAAATTTAAGTTAAATCCGCACAACGCCGTACAGTAAATAACGTACTTCATTTGAGTTCGCCAATGTTTTTCCAAACGCAAAAATTGACCTTCCAACAACTCGACGACGTTATCGTCGTCTGCACCGGCGCCGGTCGTCGTGTCGTTTTCTGGGGACAAAAAAAAAAAATAAGTTCAATATAAGATTTATCGGTATTGAATCAGTAAATACGAAATTTACAAACAAGAAACAACAGTTGTAGTTAAAATATCGTTAAATATTAGAACTCTTATGAATCGCATTTCTTATCAGTATTTCTTATCAGTATATCCTTATCACTACAATCTTATCACACCACGTCGTTTATTTCGTCGCGCTTTTGGTGAGGTCGTGAGCTCAGTGTTGAGACTTTGATTATTATATATATTATACTTATATCTTGATAAAAAAAAAAGATAATTTTTCTAGATAAGTCTTAAAACACATATTATCGCTTAGTAAATAAAACCAGAACATTTATTCAGTTTTGTAAAAATGTTTTTATTTAAAATTTAGATCTTCGGCTATAGATATAATTAGTAAACCTTGTTGTCTGTAATTCAAAGTATGAATCTACTCGAAATACATGTTGAAGCTGAATAATGCTCAATTTCAAGAAAAACCAATTTCGACTTTTCCTTTTTTGCTTGAACACCACAGCATCAATGTACTTCATATTGTTTTCTAGTTGGTTCGTTTTTACTTGGTTTGGGAGTATTTTCAAGTGTAAATTTAATCATATTAATATACTACATGGATAGTTTAAAAAATATATTTGCATTTTATCAGTATAATTTTTTTGAAATTATTTATTCAGGCATTTTTTGTATTTTAAGTTATCTAGTTAAATTTTCGTTCATTCAACTCGATCTCTGCCCTGATACATTTTTGTAAGGGATTGTGATAAGTGCGGACTAGTTGAGGATGAGATGGCGATAAAGGGAAATCGATAATTCCCGGATGACTGATACCCACTAAGCACGTTGCTTTAACTTTACTCACCCTTTTCCAACGGCCTGCTTTCGGCTTCAGTCCTTTGCTTGGCTCTCTCGGTCTCGTCCAGACTTGGCTCGGTCACTCTGCGGTCCAGCTCGGCCTGTATCCACGCTTTCAGTTCCGCGGTGTTCCGGTTGGCTTCCAACACCCTGGTCTCGGCCTGGCTGAGCTTTTGCTCGTAGTCTTCGATGAGTTTTCTCTCGGAATCCGTGGCTACCTTAGCACTTTCGCTCTGTTGATCTTGCATCTTCTTGACCTTGAGTTCGGCTTCGGCAGCCATTCTTTCGGTAGCCAACAACCGTAGCTCCACCTCTTCGACTCTGCGCGAGGTTTCGTACATCTTGCTCGTGATATCAGTCAGTTGGAACTGGTACTCTTCGTCCTTGCGAAGAGCTCCGTCCAGCTCGGCCTGGACTTCATTCAACTGGCTCTCGACTTCGGCGACTTTGGCCTGTGCCTCTTTTTCGACGGCCGCCACCCTCAGGTCGCATTCCTGGTGCAGCCGCTCTGCAAAATCAACATCGCGTTATCCTACATTCTTAGCCGAAAACAGTGCTGCCGCCGTTAATTTTTTATCCAAATGTTTTACCCAAAGCCAGGTCGTGTTCGGTTTGCTGAGAGTCCAACCGCTCTTGGTACCACATGTCCAGCTTGTCGAACCGCCGGCGCGTGTCCAAGGCTTCGATGTCGCATTGCGTTCGCACCTCATCCAGGAACACCTTGTGCTGGTCCCGCTGATTGTCCAGTTGTCGGGCTGCCTCCAGTCGGGCCTCTTTCAACTTCTTTTCGGTCTCGACCGCCGCTTGTTCCAGCTGTTCCCTGGCACTTTCCAACAGTTGGGTCTTTCTGTTCAGCTGCACCTCTTTGGTTTCCAATTGGGTTTGATATTTTTCCGTCAACTGAAATCAATAACACATTACATTACAGGGTGTCGCAAAAAGAATGGTGGGGTTTCAAACGGCTGTAGGTTGTGAAGTATTGGACCTACAGCGGTTCTGGTATGGCTTGAGTGAAAGAGGGAGTTGTTAAATTTTGAATGCCTGCCATTAGACATAACTGAATTACGCTTCACGAACTAGATCACTTCTCTTGTGAGAACGCCACCTTAACAAACTGAACAATGAAGGCTGGTGACACAAAAGGAAAAATCGGAGAGACATTTAGTGGCAATCATTCGAAACTTGACAGCTCCCTCTTTCATTCGAGCCCTACCAGAGCGCTGCAAATCCAATACTTCACAACCTACAGCCGTTTGAAACCCCGCCATTCTTAACCCCACCATTATTTTTGGGACCCCCTGTATATTGCTTCAAATCAGAGTTGGCAATGATCCGGATTTGCGACAAGAAGGAGAGACATGACAGTGGGATGGTGTCAAGAAGGGGAATCGATAATATTCCTGGACAACCGCTAAAATATGAATGATAAGAATACCAGATATTCACAAGACATGTTCATGATCATTCATTTGGGGGGAAAATTGAGTATTATTTTGGCTAAACAAGACCCAAATTTTGAGGTGACTACCAAAAGGTTGCTAAGTTTAAGCGAACTAGCTGGGTTTTTTTTTTGCCAACACTGTTTCATAATGTGTCAGCTAAAATATTAAATTGTAGATTTCGTTTATATTTACTCTGGCTTCTGTCTGGAATAGTTGATCCTGTAACTCCTGTTTGAATTTGCGTTCCTTTTCGTTCAGTTCTCTCACGTGTATGCCCTGATGTAAGATAAAAACATTTTAGCACATTTTATCAGGTCATTAAAACATCCGAGGTCTAATGGGAAAACAGCTTAAGGGCTGGGTTGTTTTTTTTTTACTTACCTGCACTGTGGCTAAATTGGTCTTGACTTTTTCCAACTCGCCTTTCAGAGATTCCATTTGGCTAGCCCATTCTTTCTCGTCGGCCCGCCATTGTCGGCGCACCGCTCGTTCCGCTTGTTCCACACGAGAATCTAGATCGGCTTTCATTTCGTCAGTCTACATAATATCAACAACACATTCAGAACGACAATTATATATATTTAAATTGTTCATAATATATTACACTATGATGACACGACCTCGACACGGAATCATAATGCGTGATAATTAAGACAATAATTAAAAATAAAAAACTCCAGCCGTAAGCCAAACATTATTGCGGCAATAATATGAAACAATAATTAATCGGTTCAGAATTCTGGTGTTTTAATTTAAAAATAATCCCAGGCTATATAATTTATTCGGCGGCGGAGAATGTCGTCTGACACTGTGACAACGGAATTTCGTTGGAATCTGTTATAGCAACACCAGAACAATTTTTTATTTAAAACAAACGGTATTAGTGGTTAACCGATTTGAAGAATTTTCACCGTTAAACTTGGTGCAAAACGCCTGAAATTCATGTAATATAATTGTGTGAGAATGGTGTGAATAGCTTAAAATCTAGATGTCTTGTCTGTTACTATGTGTTGCTTTTTTTAAACCCTTTATCGAAAAAAAAATGGTTAAATCTCCCCACCTTATCCACAAAAGTGTGACTCAAAATCATTGACAATAAGGTCAAAAGAAAAGCAGGGTTTCTTTTGCCATTGTGTGCTAATATACCGATTGAACGATTAAATGGAAGGCACTGAATATCTCTTAAAATAATTTTAGCAATTTTTGAGTTTTTCTTTTATGATAAAATATTTACTTATTTGTTTTTTTATAATATTACTATAAAATTGCTAAATATTTACTTTTTAAGGATTTTTCTAGATATCTTTCGATTGTAAAAACTCAAATGTTAAGCTATGCATTTAGTTAACTGGTTGACCATTAGTTTTGAATAATTATATTTCAAGTAATTAATGTCCAAATGTAGGAGGATAGAAAGAGTGTTGTGTAATAGTATTTTTATCTATGCGACTGATAAATTAAGATCTGACATGATGATCTAAGTCTTTAATCGCATGAATTTGACCTCGTGTATGCAATCATTAAAATTGTGCTTGGATAGTTTTAAATCAATTTAAAATTTAGCTGTTCCCTCAACTCCAATTTTAATATTATACAAGCTCTCCTTTTCTATAAATAATTATTTATCTCATTTAAATCAGTTTTATTCAATGTCCTTAAATGTTAACAAATAATTCTAATCAAAGGTATATAATATTTGGTTTTTGTTTTATTCGTTAAAAATGTAATTTAATATCAAATTAGTGTATTTTATATAAGTACACATATTGTCATGTCATGTAGGGCAGTAAACAAGAAAACTGAATAGAGTGTAGCGGAGATGAGGATGTTAAGATGGATGAGTGGAGTGACTAGGGAGGATAGAATAAGAAATGAATACATAAGGGAGAGTCTAGGAGTTTCACCAATTGTGGGGAAAATGAGAGAGAATAGGTTGAGATGGTTCGGTCATGTTGTAAGAAGAGACGAGGCAGAGACAGTGAGAAGTGTTAGCAAGGTGAATGTAGATGGAAAGAGAGAAAGGCCGAAGTAAGATGGATGGACGGCATAGAGTGATATGTGGATAGCTGATGTGATTGAACGAGACCGAGGTGTAGGACTAGGATAGCCGACCCCGAGTAGTTGGGATTTTTAAGGCGAAGATAAAGAAGGAGACATATTATTTGTTTGAAGTTTGCACTTACCTTCTGTTTTAACTTGACTTCGGCATCAGCCATGCGCGTTCGCAAAGCCAGGTCGTGGTTTTCCGATTGTTCTCTGAGGGCTTGTTCAGTTTCTTGGAGACGTCGCTGCACCGCCTCCAATTTTGAACTGATCTGCGCTACCCTGGCAGTTTCTTCGGCCGCCTGAGCAGTGGCCGAGGCCATGACGGACTTGGCGGCGTCGAGTTCGGCCACTTTGGCGAGAAACCTTGCCTCGGCTTCCTCGGCGCGAGTCCGGGCGTCGGCCACGGCCTTATCCGCTTCTTCTTCGGCGACCCTTCGGATTTCGGCTTCTATTCCGGCCATCTCTTCCGTTTTGGTCTTGACGGTTTCGTCCAACCGACTTTTCCACTTCCTCTCTACTTGCCGGAGCTTCCATTCGAAATCGTCCAGCAAACGTTCCGTGTCGGCCGCGTGCTTTGCTCTCAACTCTTCTTCTGCAAGTCTCTGAAAAACAATTTTTAAAACCGGTTTAACTCTGTTGATTGTAGTTTAAGTACTAATAACGTGCGGGAACTGAATTGGGGCAATCTAAACAGCAGAAAAAAAAACAATTAATTAAATTAACCGGAGTGAGTACATTTTTAGAATTGGCTAGAAGCTAAAACGCATCAAAGGAAAATTGCAATAGTCAAAATTAGCATGTTAATAGTGAATTTTGTATAGTATGAGTTCGAGAGAAACGGATTGTGTGTGTGTTAAAAAAAGGGTGGACATAATATTGTAAAAGAGATCAAGGATAAAAAAAGGTAGGTAACCGTGTGAATAATTAGAATGATGATAACGAAGAATGGTAAATTTCAGGAAGAGGATGGGCACTCTTAAAATTACCGAGCCTTGTGGATCTATTTCCGTTTTTACCGGTAAGTGGATTGTTTGGATTTTATCCAGCTGCTCTATATCACTTTCGCTGTCTTCCAGCGAGTCGTTGTCGCTCTGGTTGTCATCCTGTTGTTCGGACCCGTCATTTTCTGCACGCGATCTCATTTGACCTGCGAATCACATTACATACAACACATAAGAGCCAGGTACTCATTTAAGATAGGACGTGATGTGTTTTGTGAATTTAGAAAGATATGTTTTTAATGGTATGACCATATTTTTAAGTGTTCCGGTAGGAATTGACAGTGAAAGATTCCTTTTGTGAATATTCTCTCCCACCACTTCTATCATCCGTCTGTTTGACGCAATCTATTTTAATCACATTCATCTGCGTGAATAACAATTATTTCTATGATTGCCCTTATCCAACACTTATTTACCAGCAAGCAAATATGTTCTCTTATTTTCTCAGTCTCTCCTCCTCTTAATATTTTTCATTCCCTTCTACAGAAGTCAACGACCTTTTTTCACTTTAAAAATTACTTACCTGCTCTCTTTCCACCAACTCTTTCAATTCGAATACCTCATCCTCCCTTATCCCGACCATAAAAACTCTTCTTGCCAAATCTACCTCAAATTCCTTACACAGATGCAGCTGTGCAAAGTTTCCATCTATGGAGCGGGGAAAACCAAACGATCCTCTTTTAATTGGTATCGTCAACTGATGTGTCCAACCATTCTTAAATTTCCTTGGTTTCGTCGACCACCCGGAAAAGCCACAGTCTGAGGCCTGTTCCTGGGGAAGATTTAGGGGGGAGAGATTTGTTAAGGTTAGGTACTCACTCTCCGACAGTGTCACTACGATTTCGACGCTGTCGCGTGTCCGGTGCATGACCACGTCCGGCGGGTTGGAATAGCTCTTGTTGCCGGGGGTTGAGAGAATTTTCGTGGCGGTCGAAGAATCGTTGGACGACGACGTGGACGAACCAGAAGATTCCGAAGAGGAACGCAGCCGGACGATAGGAGCAACGGCGTCTTCCTGGTCCGACTGGTGCGACGAATCCAACTCGACGATCACGGTCTTCTGCTCCTCGACACGAACTTCGGGTACGGCTGCTACATCACGTTGTTGATGGCATTTCTTCTGGTGGAATCCATCGCCGTCGTCTTGGGAAGGTTTTTGCGACGACGGTGCGTTGCTGTTGTCGGCCGTTCTGCCGGTCTGTCTGCAAAAATCGATTGGCAAATTGAGAGTAGGTATATGTATGTATGTACGCAGAGGTGTGTGTATACCGCGGACCCGCGTCGGCACGAGCCGCCAGTAAACGAGCGCGAGAGAGAGAAACGATACGCTATTAAAAATAGACTAGGATGAAATCGCCATCGAAAATCGACCCCGGAGGTGACGGTTTTTGGCACTCGACGTCGGCGGCGGCGGCCGCAGTTGTTAAATTATAATTAGATTAGGTATCGACAGCGCGCGCGTGGCCGTCGTGTACGGCGTAGGGTGTGTAATGTATAGTTATTAATTTATTATTGTTAAGCACTGTTAGTATAATATGCATGTGGTTTATACTTGCGAAAGTAAGACGCGGCCATGGCCGCCAGGAATATGGCTACGGGAGCCGCTATTAGACCGCACCAAGACATTGTGTGCCCGAGTGTTTGACTAGAGCAGCACTGGAAAATTGATAAAAAAAAAAAAATGTTATGTTGCTCCTGCTGTTTTCGCGCTTGTGATTTCCGGTCGAGAATGTGCTCGAATGATGATTTTAAGGTTTACCACCGCCAATGTGTGTACACATCAACACGGATACTGAGAATAATGTTTGTAAGCTACAACGTCGTCGTCGTAGGACCGGCGTCATGGCGATTCGCGCGTGTATTAATCATAGCGGCTGGTACAATAATAATAATAATAATAATGTGTAAAACAACAAATTTCGAACAAAGTGATAAGCTGCGATGGTGGATTAGTTCGGGTTGCCAAAAAAAAAAAAAAAAAAGAAGAGGAAGACGAAGAAGACGAGATAGTTATAATATATTATGTTACGCGTATACAGGATGATACAAATCAAAATTAGGTGTTTATCTAAAATCGTTATTATATTCAATTTCAGAATACGGTTTTAGGGGTCCAAGTGGAAAAATATTGCTTTATAGGGGGTGATTTTTAACCCTGAACCATTAGGTGCCGTTTGAAAACAAAGACTGAGAGTGAGATGAACTGTAGTGTTATTTATTTTTATTAAATTAATACCTACAAGCACTGCACTGCCTTCTTCGCAGTTCACTTCTAAATGCATTTATCTCTTAAGATATGGTCAAAGTTTGATAATAAACGAATTTCGTAGAAGTCACTTTCTGACGTATCCGTTGGACGGATTTCAATTTATGAAATGCTTGGTAATTTTTCTATAGGAGTTAAAAGGCCCAGTTTTGATTTAGATATTAGAAAATGATTTGGAATTATTAGGAAAAATATACAAACAATTTAAAAGTGCGGTTGTGTAATGCACTCAAATAAAAAAATTCTCCACCCATCATGCCGTCTTAAATTTTAAACTTTATTAACTTTAAAACTTTTTATTCTAACCCGGTCATCCGATTCAATCGGTTAAGTAAAAATGTTCAGCAAATTATTCTTAATTTAATAAATATTAAAATATTATATATGTTACCATTTCAGTGTGGAAAGTTGATAAGTCCTAGAAAAAAACACTAAAATAGATAAAAAAAATTAATATTGACTAATATTGCGATTTAAAAAAAAAATTGTCATCTAAACAAAGCTACGCATCATATTATCTTTTATCGACTAAATAATAATCGTAGAACATATTTTTTTTTATATTTTAAATAATAAAAACTTTACCTAGGTTCTCTCTTTGTCTTTTTTATTTCCAGGCCCACAGAATTCATTTTTGAAGTTTTTTTTGGTTTTAATGAACAGTTTTTTAATTATAGCGTGTATCTTTAAAGATACACCGCCCCATTTGACTAATTAAACATTTGTCTCTTTAAAGATACACTGCCAAGTGGAGCTATTTGGATATTTAAAGATACACTACCTCGTGGGACTATTAAGCTAAAAAAAACAATAAAACAGTTTTAAATAGTATTTTATGATTTACACAGAGTAGGTATTATTCTTTAAACTATGTACATAAGTGTGTTTATTTGTATATTAATTATGAAAAATTGTTTTTAGGACGTTCCTTAAAAAGAAAATAATTAAAAAATACACCGGCATTTAAAAAATAGGTATCTTGTTTACCATTTATTTTTTTTTTAGCTTTATTTTATTATTTTTTGGCTTTATTTAGACATGCATGATCTGATTTCTACAGTTAAATTAAATATAATTGGGTTTTAAACTGTAAATAAAATGTGTTGAAAAACAGTCAAAAATAATAAATAATAATATAATACCGCTCAAAAATTTGTAAAATATTATCAATAACCATAATGATTTCTCCAAAGAACATAAAAATTAGTGTCATAAATCGGATGGATCACCCGGTGTATATATATACAGGGTGATCAACTTATCGTGAACCACTCAATATTTCACTGGGATTAATTAATAATTGAATTTCTTTTCCATAATGTTTTTATACGATGTGATTTCAATTTCTCACTATTTTTTTTTTATTTTACCTCCTCTCCACTCAGTTTTTTTTAATGTAACTTTTGAAACTTAATTTAAAAAGTTAATGCAATCTATACGTTACATTTTAAGTTTCAAAAGTTTCTATCAAAAAAACTAAGTTGAGAAAGGGGTTAAAACTAAAAAAATGTCGAAAAATTGATATCGCATTGTATAAAAACAATATGAAAAAAAAACATTTAAATTTCTTATTAAACCTTATGAGATATTGAGAGGTTCGCGATAAGTGGATCACCCTGTATACAGGGTAATCCAACTAACGTAAGACACTCATTTTCTCTGAAAATATGAATATTTTGAGATTTTTTTTTTTCCTTAACTTTTAGGTACATATTTTACTACATTTTTCAATATTTTGAAAATTTTTATCACCAAACCTTATAATCCAAAAGGGGGATTTTTGGTTTTTTTAAATGGCAACATGTGTTTTTAATTACATTAATTTGTAGACAAAAAATAAAAAAATATGTTATTTTCCATTTTCATTTATTTTTAATGACTTTATAAAGATTTGATTTTTTTATTGTATTTCTATTAAATCGTTACTACAAAGACGAGTAGTTTTATTACATCGCAAGAAAATAATTTAACGTGTTACACCGTACTCTGTATTATAATCAGATATAATAAATAACCTGTAATCTAAGTAATGTGTAAATAAGAACCGTTATTCTATCATTATTTCAAAATATTTCATAGTGACTTCCTAGTTGTTAGAATGTTGTCGCCAATTGGACAATGCGAACGTAAACAATGTGAATTGTATGTGCTACCGGTTTTGGAAAACCGAACAAATATGATAATTATTAAGAGGGCATCGCACTTGGGTTTAGAGCAAAAGCATTCATTATAAAACTAAAAGAAAACAATATTCCGGAGGGCATAAAAATGTATTTTTTTGGAAAATTACAGTCATTTAAAAATGTTAAAATCGTCGTTAGTTCTAAACTATGTATGTATCGAGCGTTATACTTAGAATAGCGAAAAAAAACGCACCGTTTTGACCTCCGAAATATTGTTCTCTTTTAATTTTATAATGGGTGCTTTTACTCTAAAATCAAAATCAAGCGAGTTATTTTCGGTCTGCTTGAACAAGTTGAGACGAAAAAATATTTGTAAATCGCTTTCAAGGACGCTGTGATAGTCCAAAAAATAAATTAACTACCAAAACAGTGTACTAGTTATTGAACTAATGATTTTGTAAAAAATTGCCTATACTTTGCTCCTTAAAAATGGGCGGTGCGACGCCCTCTTAAGAGGAAATGTAGTGCATTATTGACGAAGTCACAGCTAACGAACAAACGAATGCAAATTCCAACGCTAACATATTTATCGAAATCTGCGTCTACGAATTGTGTGTAATTGAAAACCGAAAATCCCATTTTTCAAATTTTCAAAACGTCGACAAACGTAGTGAAATATGTACCTGTAAGTTGAGGGGGAAAAAAAATTCTCAACAATTTTCATATTTCCCGAGAAAACTAGTGTCTTAGTTGGACCACCCTGTATATACACGCAAAAGGTTATTATTATACAGGGCGTGTACCGCGTGTACACGGGGACGCGCGCTTACCGGACGTCGTGGCGGCCGTCCGCGGCCGTCGGCGCGTCGTCAACGTGTCCGCGTCGCTTGCGTCCTCGCCGATGGCCGCCGTTGGACTTGGTGTGACGTCCGCCGCCGCCGCCGCCGCCCCGTCGGTGTCTGTCGGACGACGGCGGCGGCTGCGGCTGTTGCCGTCGATGGCGTTGCGCGGAAGAAGACGGAGCCGCCCCCGCCGCCTCCGCCTGTTGTGACGACCACATGAGATATTAATTTGTAAGAAGAAAGAAGCAAAAAAAAAAAAAAAAACGGTCTAAGTATGAAAATGAAAAATACGCAAAAAAAAAACCCGCGAGTACAATGTCCGGAGGCGGCCGGGTAATTTACGGTGTTGTTTTTTTTTTTAAGAAACGATCCGACGGCGGACGTGAACGTGAATATTAATATTAATAAATAATTTTGACAACCGTCGCCGCGGTCGAAGACGTTTTTCTCGGCAGCAGTTTGCCAGAAAAAAATATTGAAAAAAAAACCGTGTTTCCGAGTGTAAAAATATATAATATATACTAATAATATTAAAATAAAAAAAGCGCCGGTAGATAATATGTATATATATATTTTAATAAATCGTTATCGTTGTAAACAAACGACGACGCGACAACGAACGGTCTTTGCCGGACATGACTGACTGTTTGAGTTCACGTCGGGATGAGCCGGAGAGGCTCGTGTCCGTGATTTTTTTATACATATAATATAATAATATATATATATACATTTTATTTCTGGCAACGGTCTCGGGTCTTGGGAGAATCTAAAAATAAAATCCTTCACCGAGTCGCACCGCTCTAGATAAAAAGAAGAAAAGAAGAAGTAGAAGTAGCGAAAAAAACGGCGCTAAGCCCGTTTTGTTTGTCACATTAAAATAAAATAAAAAACCGTGTACGGCAACGCCTGTTTTGTGTTGTTAATGCGGGTTTTTCGTGTAAAAAATTAAACTATACATATTTTAATAATAATATTAACAATATGTAACTCACATGTAACAAAATCGTGTGTGTTATATCCACTTTTGAGAGACGCCATGCCGAAAAGTAGGTGTTTTTGTTTTTATTTGCCGTGTTAAAACAATAAATACCTATCAGAACCGAAACAATTAAAATATATCAAATTATTTATTATTTTTATCAAGTTTTACTATTAGGGCAACGTATCTTTTAGGATGCCTACGATTGTATACATAAATAAGTAAATAACTAAACAAGTGATTGACTTTATTTTAATATTAATAAATCATATTTTAGACGTGCATGATCTGATTTCACAACAACTGAATTAAATGTATTTAGGTTTTCAACTGTAAATAAAATGTGTTGAAAATGAGTGCAAAAAAAAAAAAGAAAAATCATATGAGCTGATAACATGGTTTTTGAATAACGATATAACAAATATAATACATAAAATGTTATCAGTTACCATTGATGATCTCTCCAAAAAAATAAATATAAAAACAGTGCATAATATATCTTTTATATTTTCACTGGAATATTTATTTCAAATTTGTGTATCTTTAAAGATACAACGCCAAGTTGAGGGTCAAATATTTGTTTAATAATTATTGTTAAAACACTACATTTAATATAACCCTTACAGACCTAAGATTTTTTTTTTCAATTTTTTTTTTTTAGCAAACCGATAAAACTATTATCTTTGAGAGGTATATTATAATTAAAAAAATTAAAAATCTTTTTTTTTTCTGGACAAAGGTACGAAACTGCTTCTTTAAGAACGTTTATTTAAAAGTGGTGTTATCACTTTCAGTATTACTTTCAAACCAGGAAAAGAAAAACTGTAAACATTTTCAAATTTGAACTTAAAAAATTAAATAATCTTTGAAAATAGTTTATTAGTAATAAATAATATCCAGCTGTTGTCGTTTAAAATAAAGAAACATACACATAAATATTATATTCAATATATAATAATACATTTTAATATAATATATACCTTTTTTTTTGGTTTTAGCTTTGTATAGAATGTTTTTTAGACATAATACTGCCACAGATTAGCCGATATAACCTGATGGTGCTTTTCATCAATTACTAAACCCCTCTTCGACTTAGTGTGTTTAGATCTACTTTTTATTTAATTGCTTTAACTCGAAAAATTAATACTTAGCTTATGAGTATTATTTTTTAAACGATTCAGTTAAATGTTTCAATAATTAATTATTAAGGAACGTTACAAACGATGAAAAATTATATTAAACCCAATTTCTGGCTAAAACGTTATTATATAAAAATAATTTAAATTTAAACCATTAATTACGCCTTTTTTTTTTTATCTATTTAATTAGAAATGTTTAAATCTTAATGGAATAATAAAATTATGTCACATAATTAAGATTACTGAAATATTTACAAATGTAAAGGATGTTGTACAATTAGCACAATTAAAAAGGTTGTAAGCTAAAAGTCAATTTGATAAATATTGTAATGTCACCAAAATATTTCGGTGCTTTTGGTCAAACAATTCCATTATGTTATGGTTAAGACTCAAGTAAAGTATACTTAAAATATTTAACAAGTAATACGTTACTTAGCTAATAATAAAAATAACTATTTTAAAAATAATTATGAGAAAACGGTGATTAAATATAAACATTAAATACAATTAAAACGACATTAATCAATCAATCAAATAATTACCCAATCGCTGATTTGTAAGGCCTATAAGTTTATTAACAATGCAATTTATAATTATAAAATAGTCATAAATTCTTTTACAAATCCAGAAAGCATATAAAATATTATGAACATCACTTAACCAAACACTAATCTTGGGATTTATTTTTGTACTCTTTAACTACTTACAAACATGCCCTCGCAGTTAAGAACAAAATATAAGAACAACATTAAACTGGCATCTCATTTGTGTTCACATTTTAATATTATTATATTACTATACAAATAAATGTTGTAATTACCATACAACTATTACTATTACTATTTCATAATAATTAAACTTTATGTTTTTAATACTGTCAAAATATGATTAAATCATATATTTACATGGAAACCTGTTAATAATCATTACACAACTGTATTAAAAATGATTTCCTTAATAATTTCAACAGTATCATGTAAACATAAATATTAATATCAAAAATAATTTCTACTACACTAGACAAAAAAAAAATAAAATTTAAAACATCTTCTCAGCCTTCGCACCGAAGCTACAATAATTAGTTTTTAGTATTCGATTATTACACAAGAATGTCGTTTTTATTTTGGAAAATAAATGAGGTGAAAAAATGGATTGTAGTTGATGTGTATATTAATTTAACATATTTGATATGATCTACACCTATCGAGTTTCAACTATTAGATTATAATGTACTCTTATTTGTAAATCAGTCCCCGTTTCCAATGTAGATAGGCAAAATAACTTGATCTGCTAATTGTAGTAAACACAAATGCTGTATATACAAAACAGTACCGAGTCGGAAGCTGCACGTTTTTAGTAAACAAGTTAAATTAAATTATAAATATATAAACATCAGTTATGAATAATCCTTGAGCAACAGGCTAAAAATGAATAAACTATTAAAATAAATGTATATTTATATCAGACTTCGGTTGTCTCTGCGTCACTCACTTATAAAAATCACATAATACTAAAACTAATTTCAACTGTATAAGTATAAAATATCACAATCGAGTATAAATAAATAATAAACCGTTTGTTTTATTTACAATAAAAATTATCTCGGCAACAAAAATTGCGTTATTAAAAACGAACTTTGAAAGTTTAATTTCAAAATTTATATAATTTCCCTTATTCGTATAAAACAGTCCCCGAGCCAATTTTATATTGGGACGGTATTTTTAATTAATCTCTACACTGGCTGTGATGTAAAATCATGGCTGTGCAAAAAAATTGTAAAAACTGTGCGTCATTTAATGGGATTTTTTGATTCACAGAAACATGATATTGTTAAAATGTTCGTTTGAAGAAGAACGCCGACCAAGCAACAGCTGGTGTATTTGAACAGTCGTGTAAGACTAGTAGGTACAAACTATGGCAAACAACAGCTGGTGTACTTGAAACAATAACACACCGTTGTTGGACTGCGGTTAGTGGTGTATGCGCCGACAAAACTTGTTCGAATAAAAGTACATATTTACACGGATAAAGTTTAACGCTAAAACACGCCGACTGTTTGTGAAGTTCGAAACAAAACAGTGTAGTACGTTGCAAGTAAATGCAAGACAATAAACGGTCACTGCGCTAACGACGGTAGTTTTTAATCTATTATAGTGTTTCAAACAAGTGGCGGGATTCTTTGAGAAAAATGTATTTAAACGTACTGTGTTCGTTGGCGTTAGTAATGGTGTGCGGTTATCGGTGTTGCGTTACGGATATGGACAGGGAAACGTTTTTGAAAGAGATTTTCGCGCTGTTGGCCAATTCCGGTTGGAAAAACATTACCCACGTGGAAACCAAATTGAATCCGAACGTCGACCGATACTACACGGTATACGAATTGCTGGACGAGTCCGACGACATGGCCGACGTCCAAGAGAAATACCTGTTGACCGTGGATTTGCTCGGTTGTGTGTACATGGACGCGCTGTTGAAATACCTGAACCTGCTGGCGCACGGTTTGACCTGTTGCCGGCAAGCTTTGGACGCCGCCGACGTGCCCCGGTTCAAAGGGTGCATAATGAGCACGGTGCGCCAAATCAAATACTCGGCGGCTCACCTGAAGCGGCTGTACGCGGCCGTGGACTACCTGAGGCTGGTGAACCACAAACGAGTGGTGCCCGTGTCCGGAGAACTGCCCACTTACCTGCGGCATCTGAGGAATCTCCGTGAAATTTCGGAGACCAAGTACAAGCTGAACGGGCTCGTCGACTTTTCGCACGCACAACGGGTGGGCGGAATCGAAATGTCCGACTGGGAAGACCAAATGAACGCGTTGACCGAGTTCGTCGGGCAGGCTAAATCGTCGTTGACCGAAGACGTCGACCGCAAGTGCAAACTCCACGATAAGCGCGACATGGACATGGACGAACTGTGGCGGTTCTACAAAGTCGAAACGCCCAGGAGCCGACCGCCAAATGCGGATCCCGTAGGCGACGTCGAAACTCTGATGAACGAGTTCTGGAAACAAGTCAAGTCCGCGTGCTTGAACGATTTGGGTTTGACGTACCTGCACCAAAGAAGCGCCACGTTTGCCTCGTTCAATGACAATGCGAAAACCCGACAGCCCTGACGGACCCTTGCCGCAAATGCACATTTTTAAACAACACTATTTATGGTAAATATTAATATTGTGACGGTACTTTTATTGCTATTGGAAAAAAAACTGTACTCACCCAATAAGAATATTGTGTCAAATTGAAATGTTCCTCGAGATGAAATATTAATAAAAGTAATAAAGATATATGTCTAACGAGTCTTTCATTGTAAAACCGTATCAAGTGGAATGTTATCCAAAGAGGTGGTGTATTTTATTTGTTTACACTGGCTGTAATATTGAATCACGGCTGTGCTAAAAAAAAAAAAACGATACTCTTTGACGTTTCTTAAAACGTCAAACTCTTACTACTGCTAATAATAATAATAACCGAGCACGATTTAATGATATTTCTTTGTAAATAATAACTATTGTTTAAATTCACTGAAACGTCGAATTGTTGACATTTTTTGTTCGGAAAACAGTCCCTCCTACGCAACAGGTGTACTCTCATAGCTATGTGAAACTGGTAGGCGGTTGAAAAACAAAACATCATTAAAAATAATGCAATGTATTTTCGTATGGAAAAACAGCGCACCCGAACATTTTTTACCGTCTCGTGTGTATATTAATTTAATATCTTTGCTGTAGTCTACACTTATCGAGTTTCAACTATTAGATTATGATATTATATTTTTACTCGTAAGTCGGTTCCCGTTTCCTTTGTAGATAGGCAACATAACTTACTCTGCTACTTGTAGTAAACATACGCTGTATACAAATAACAGTACCGCGTTTGAAGCTGCGCATTTTTAGTAAGCAAGTTAAATTTAATTATACATTAGTATAAACCAGCACAGTGGAATCGGGGCGTAGCGAGGATGATGGGAAGGTCACAGAGTCTATAGAAATAATTATAATTGAAAGTAATCAATTCACTTCTAAATAAACGCTTCGTTGCCAATATTGATGTGGATAGTAGGTTCAAACCAGCACTGCAGTCCAAACCAAGCACAGTATAAAGCTAGCCCGGTGAGAAAGTATTATCGATTAGCTAGTAATAGTAAGTGAGTAAGTAAGGTAGGTCCAGTGTAAAACTAACTGTGTAAAACTAGTAGGTAAAAACTATGGCAAACAACTGTCTACTTCAAACTATTGAACAATATCGTTGTTCGACCTAAAGTTAATATGCATCTACAAAAAATAAAACTTTTTAGAATAATAAAATGGAAGAAGTGTCTTGTATGCCAAGCTTTACTGCAAGGTATCATCCTAAGAGCCTTAAAATTTACACACTATCATGCCTTTCCTATGATTGTTTTTACATTACATAATATTGTGTACATAATTATATTAACATAATCTTATAGTTTAATTCTCAGTATAATTAGAGAAATGTGCACCTCATGACTTAATATTTAATCTTATAGAACAACACGATGTTAAACTTATTCTCAAATACTTTTGCCATTTTTCAATTAAAAAGGTTGGTTGCAAAATTTGTTCAATCATAATTTATTGTCAACATTATTTCCATTTTGACATAAATTTTATAAGCACATAATGGAAAAATGTTACTTCGTACAAAAACAAAGCGTTACTTTTAATTTAAAAAATGTTTTAATTTATTTAAAACAATGACAACGATTCGAAATTCTCGGGCAAGATATATAATCAAATATTTCAAGCCACATTTTTAAACCTAAACTAGGTTTTCAACCTAACCTGACCTGACCTGGGAAACCACTCAAATGTATTTTGATTAAAAAATGTCACCCAACAGGACAATTAAGTCAGACAACTATACTCATAAGTCATAGCTCCATTTATAGTGTATACAAAAATAAAATTTCCAAAAAAATGTAATGCCCTACCTTTAGGCTTTAAAACTTCGGTTCTAACTACTTTCATGGCATGTCTTACTAGCAAAATCAAAAATGGCCAAATTTAAATAACAACTAAGGATTTCTCTTTCTGGTGTCAATGTGAACGTGACTAGGAAAGTTTAAGGTCCTAAAATAAACTGGCGGCGTGCAATGGTGGTATGTACACCTCATGTATCAACAAACTATCAGGCTATACCGTACTCTGGTAAATTATTAATATAATATCATTATTATTGACGACGGTTAATTACATATTATTATGATGGCGCTGGATTTGCCAATCCTATGCGTTGTCAATGAATTTGTACCGTCAACGAACTGCGGAAGTCAATCGGAAACTCATCGTCATCCATTGCCGATGTATACTAATATATATATATATATATATGTATTATAATAATATGTGTAAACTGGTTTGGACCGAAAACCACAGGAGAAACCTGGGCGAAAGTGAAAACGCCACGATAATATTAATGTGTCATGATATGTATGACGGATTATACGGATTGATGTGTTCAAATGCAAAGCGGATATGGCAACTGCGCCGAGGAGCACACCGGTCTTGTTACACCCTGTAGTGGCTCGCTGACCGACTGAGGTAGCCGAGGTATAAAAGATAAAAATACAATAATAATTTGTCACCATAAAACATCACCGTGTCGATCCGGGTCACTCCGGCACATCCTTCCTCCATTGTCCTGTGGACTATGCCGGCCGAGTCTGTGATGAAGTGTAAACTACACCTGTTGAAAGGGAATAGACAACCGGTCGGCGAACGGTCACTTGTTGCAGACAAAAGAAAAACTGTTAAAAAAATGAAAACAAAACTAGAGAACATTATCGTCAATATAGGTCAGCTGCAGAATAGTTCACCACTTCCTCTTCGGAAAATACACAGTTTATAATAAAATCTATTAAAAAAAAATACATTTATTTTGGCCTCGTTTGCTTAGCCCAAATTCATATCTTTGGTAGTATGGACAATAAATTTGTAATTTTTTTTTTTTTTTATTAAACAACATAGAAATTCGGTCAGTAATAGTTTAAAATCAGAACTACTCGTTTTCCAACGTTTAAGGCTGCAGTATTCAACCTGGACAGATTTGTATTCAATTTAAAAAATGTTTATACATCAGAAATCGAATACCCAACTCACTTTATATAAGACCACTGGTTGAAAGAAGTTCATATTTTCCCTTTCATAATACTCTATTCACAGTTTGTGACATACTTTGGAGTTTTATTTTCTAAAAAATAATTTATTGTACTTTGTCTGGAATATTTTTTCTGTGTGCACTTTCTATATTAGAGCTTCTTGCGGTAATTACACTATCAGCTTGAGCACAATATAACTAGTACGTTTATTTACTGTATGTCACATATAGATAACATGAATGCCACATTAATCTTTATCTTTAATATATGAAGTACATTTTATGAACCACTTTGTATTAGGAGCCAATTCAATGTCCGAAAGCAGCATTTACCTGATGTTGAGAGCTAAATAAATAGGATTAATTTTTTTTTTGGTAAAAATTTAATTGTTTGACCTGAACGACCGCTCCTACCTATTTTTCTCTTTTCACGTCTCAGATGCCGATACAAAAATTAAACAATAAATTTCAACTAGTCCAAGCCGCGAGTCCGGTGTAATAAAAAATATAATAATTTTCTACAATATTTTACCGTAACGGCTCGGTTTTAATTGCAATAATTATTATTGACCTTGTTCTTCCATCTGATCAATCCAAATGGAGTTTCTAATTCGCACAAGACCAACGGACGTGTACTTGTTTAGTGATCATTATTGTCCCACTTAATATAATGTGTATATATTTTTTTATATATATATAACAAGTATTGTATATGTGTGTATGATAGTTTACTGAACTGAATTAAATCCATCTGATGTAAGACACTGATTTTCTTACTTAAAATGTGAATACTTTGAAAATTATTTTTTTCCTTTACCTGTAGATACATATTTTTCAATATTTTTCAATACTTGGACATTTTTTACTTTCATCCCTTGTGCGTGCATCTTCTAACCGAGTCCATTGAAAAGTTAGACAATGTTTTATTTTCTTTAAGTTTATCTTGACCGCCTTAAAAAGTATTTTCAGATTTTTCTTGACACTTCTTTTTTATCATTTTTTTTTATAATATCTTCGGCTATCAAAAAAAAAAATGATAAAAATAAGTTTCTTATGTAAAATAATTTCAGCTTTCTTAAAAGTTAATGAATTTATTTTTTCGAGAAACATAAAGTCGTTAAAGTTGAGTTTATAATCTAAAAAGTGGCCAAAATTTGAGAATTTTTCAAATATTTTTTTCAGAAAGCTTAAATGATTTTACATGAAATTTGTAAATTTCAAACTTTGTTCTTAATAAAAACGCTTTAAACATGTTAAATATAACATAATTATCCGTCTCTTCGTCGTAAACTAGTTTTTACTAGTTAGGTTTACCATGGCAAAAATGAATTATATTATTAAATCAAAAATGAAGGTAAAACAATCGTAACGCTAAATTGAATTTGTTGAAATTTAACAAATTACAAACCACCATGATATTCACAAACCGTATGAACCAGTCTCCACTGGAAAATATTACATGTTTTTCAAAACCTCCCCATGGGCGAGAAGACATGATGAACTTGATGAACATATATTTCATTATTATTTATTTTTTTATTTTTTTTGTCATGAATAGTTTGCTGAAAATGTAATTACCAAAAAACCGGTTATGGACCTGTTGACATTTTCTGCAAACTGTTCACTTGTTAACAGTTAAAACGTTGAGATTACGTATTTGGAAAATATATAAATATATCAATTTTGGGCTATCAAAACAAATCTAATATATTTGTTTTTTTTTTGAGAGATATTTTTTATTTACGAAGAGCGTCTCTGGGAATTGGTTTTTTAAACATTTTTTTTTTACTATTTTTTTAACAATAAAGACAATAACAAATAATAATAATAATAATAACGTGTGTTCGGGTGACATATTGTGCATGATTATCCACACAGCAAAGCACGGTGAGAGGGGAGGGGACTCGAGAGAGCCCTCCCCTCTGCTGCTGCTGCTGCGTCAAAATCGAGCCTCTGCATTTCACTACTTTCTCATTTTTGCCGAATAATAATTGTCGTTTTTCCAAACTAGGTTTCTCTAACCGCGTCTCGCTTTTGTGCATACCCATCGATTTCTTAGATCATTCGCTTTTAGTACGCGACACGTTCTCCACTCATCAGACGCCGGATTTCTCCATTTGTTTTCTCCTGTCCGCCAAAAGTAAGTAATTTATCATACAAAAACGTACACATACATATATATATACATATATATATATTAGGGTGGTTCTTATTTATGAACTTTTAAAACTTTAATGAGCTACCCCGTCATTTTGTTCATTATTATGAAAAAAAAATTTGGGTAGAATTTGGTTTTGATAACTCACCCCCTTCACGTGCCGCAAGGGGGTTGAAAAATGACCAAATGGGGTAGTTTTATAGTTTTTTGAGTTTAAATAAAAAATTATTGCATTTAGTATAAAATTACATATTAACTTTATGATAGATCATTAAATTCTCTATAAAAAAGGAGTTCACAAATTTTTCCAAAAATGCATTATTATCCAAGAAAAAAAAAACATAATTTTTTTCATTTACGATGAACGATTGGAAATCGAGTAAAACGCTTTTAATGCATTTTATACAAAATTAAATTGTCTACAAAATAGATTATTAGGAAAAATTTCATACGATCAACCATTATGTATTTAAAAATCGTTTAAACAAATATATTGTGAAAAACGAAAATTATCGTTAGAAAAAAAAGTATAGAAATCGACCCGGGAACGAAATAAAATAATCATATTTTTTCCTATAAAAAATGTTTTCCAAATAAATGAAAAAAATTATGTTTTATTTTTTTTCTTGGATAATAATGCATTTTTGGAAAAATTTGTGAATACCTTTTTTATAGAGAATTTAATGATCTATCATAAAGTTAATTTGTAATTTTATGCTAAATGCAATAATTTTTTATTTAAACTCAAAAAACTATAAAACTTCCCCATTTGGTCATTTTTCAACCCCCTTGCGGCACGTGAAGGGGGTGAGTTATCAAAACCAAATTCTACCCAAATTTTTTTTTCATAGTAATGAACAAAATGGCGGGGTAGCCCATTGAAAAACTTTTAAAAAAAAATTCTTCATCTATGACTAAGGACCACCCTAATATATATATATCTGCCTTTGGGTCAATTTCCACACCTTAAGTCATAAACTCCAACGCATTCAGAAACACACCTTATAACGTGTTAGAGAAATGTGTCCACCCTTTCTAGGGGGAAAGGATTTGTTTTAACGTTTTCCGAAAAGAAAGGCAACACTTTTTGTTACATTTTTTTAAACTTTTGTTTACTAAACAGTTCGTCTTTCTTTTGGTAACTATACAACGATCGAACCGTCCAAGAAACTCTTTAAGCGACCCCCACCCCTCTCCGAGAAACTTGTTGAAACTTACTTGCATGTCTGTTACGACGAGAAGAATGTTCTCAAGTTTGTTTGGATTTTTGCCGGTTTTTCTTCTACAATTTCTTCGGTCATCGACAAATTTGTATTGAAAATCAGTTTTTTATGTAAAAAATGTCATTAAAACTGAATTTATCTTCTAAGAAGTTGGGTTTTCCGCGTTGCCCGAAATTTGAGGATTTTTCTAATTAGGTTTTTTTAGAAAGCTGAGAAAATTTCACATAAACTGGGTAAACAGTTTTAAATTGAGTTCTCCGTAAAAAACGGTTAGAAAAATTAAAAATAAAAAGGAGAAAATTAATAGAAAAGTCAAAAGGTTAGGTTAGGTTAGGACCAAACTAATCGAAAATAGATGAAATAATTTTAAGTAAAAATAAGATCATTTTCCGTTTTCTCGACTTTTCTATGAATTTCACCTCTATTTTTATTTTTCTAAGCGTTTTAATGGAGAATCTAAAATTTAAAAATGTAAAATTTTCTCAGCTTTCTAAAAAAAATTCTAAAAAGTTCTCAAATTAGCAACCAATTTTTTTAGATAAATCCAATTTCAATGACTACTTTTTTTTACTCGAAAAAGAAATCATCATTTTTCAGAAAGCTGAGATTATTTTACATTTTATAAGAAACTGATTTTTAATCTTTTTTTTTTTTTTAATGGCCGTGGATACTATAAAAAAAAACTATAAACAAGAAGATTTACAGAGTGATCTTTTTTTCGTGACCACTCCATATCTCTTTGGGCTTTTTTCAAAGTGTTTTTATATAATGTGTTCTCAATTTCCCACAAATATGTACGTTTCTATCCGTCATCTCCAAAAATAATTATTTATATAATAACTTTTATAATAGCTATTTTTATAGTTATTCGAGTTTCAAGATTAGGGCATTTTAAGTTTCAAACGTTGATATCAAAATATTTAGTTATGGTGGGAGGTAAGAACATAAAAACTTGTGTAAAACTGAGATCACATTGTATAAAAAAAAAATTTAATTTCCTATTAAACTCTATGATGTATTGAGTGGCCCATGACAAAAAAAAAGCACTCTGTAAATACAAAGGGGGTGCCCTCAAAGATAAGACAAACGAAATAACTTCTGTTCTAGTGAATATTTTAAAACAAAAATGTTTAAATTAATTAATATTTATTTGCGCTATAAGCACAACGTTTTTTTATTGCACTCAACTATTTTACATTTTTTAATTAATCAATTTAAAAAAGTTTAATATATTTAAGTTAGTTATAAGTGTTAGTAGTGTAGGAGTGGGAGGGTGGTGAGTGCGGTAGGAGCAATGGCCGTGTAGATAGAAGAATAAGCTATGCCTTTAACCTTTAATGAAGTAAAAAGTAATAACCCAAAACCCAAGGTAATGGACCTGTCAAAATTCTCAGCAGATTATTCTCAATAAAATGGCTACCTTGAATTTTTTTTTTTTTAAATGTAACAAAAAGAAATAATTTAAAAAAAGTAAAACAGTTAAGAAGTCATTTGGTTTGCCTTATCTTTGTGGGACACTCTGAATATATATATATAATAATTTTTTAATTAACCACAATAGGCTGATTATTTTTAACCAGTTTTAGGTAATTACTTTTTGGGCTCTTAAACTTCAAAATTCATGAAGGGATGAAAGGTGGTGTGTAGTATTATTTTTATCTGCTCGCACTACTCTACCGCTCACTACATCCCGTCCTAATGTTTAAACTCTAAAAGTAATTATCCAAAACCAAGCTAAGATAACGTACATGTTATCTTTTAAAAATAATATATGATACACACATAAGAGATAGTGTTAAGTCGTTGAAAACGTACCGAATTCAAGCTAACAAACAACTATTAAAGTAACGTTAACAATACATCATTTTTTAAGCAAATTAAATTAACACTTTACCATTTGAGTTGGCTGAGCTCTGGGAAAAAAATCAAATTTAAATATAATCTAACATTGTATAACAATAACCTACATTTCTTTAAGATCAACACTTGTATGCGACCGAATGAAAGAATCGAAGATCTTGTCACGGGTAAAACTAATCTAACTACAATAGAGTGTATAGACCTTTATTATGGACCTTATTATATTTAACGAGTAACAGTGAATTTAGCTGTTAAATATAATGTATGCTCCTTATATGAATTTTCTCAAATAGAATTTTATATTATATTCATTGAAAATTAAATTGAAAAAAATAAATGGTCGTTTTAAAACAACAATTTTTTTTATAATTTTGACTTTAAAACTTAGGTAGGTAAATTGAATTGAAAGTATTTTAATATTTGATAATAATATTTTAATATAACTTGAATATTTTTACACAATTTAAATTAGACCATTCATTGTAGTCGACATTTTGTCTAGCTCTTTGGTCTAAAAAAAACCAAAATGGCTTTTACTTATAGAAAAAAATGTTTAAATTAAAAACAACACTTCGAAGCTTGTACAAATTAACTGGTTAATTAATTGAAATGTTCGACATTTATTAAAACCTCTTTTTCTTAAATACAAAACTCCTTAACAAAAGACTAGCACTCCCTAATTTTTTTATTATGGTCTTTTTTATCATATTTATCTTTTAATGTGTAATATTAAAACCGTCGAAAAACGGGAATAGAACAAAATATGTAAATATAATTCGTTAATAGATTAATATACTGAGTTTATAATGAAATAAAGGTTAATAGTTAATTAATTATCATAAAACATTATTTTGCAATAATAAATGAAAATATGAAAAACAATTATCGAACTAAATCCAAAAAAAAAAAACAATTTTAAGCAAAACCAGAACACATCCAAAGCCAATTTTATAGCTTTAAGTTTCCATTATTTATTTATCAAAAAACTCGAAACACAGGGTGATCATCAAGAATAAGACCTTCAGAACGTTTCCTCGTTTTGAAATCAACTGTAATCACAAAATGTGCCATAACATTAAGACCTTGTAAAACTTAAAACTTAATTCCAAAAATTTAGGGTTTTTAAATTAAGCCGCCCTATTTGTTCACCATTCCTGGTTTGGGGGTTGAAAGAGTTGACTGGGAGTGGTTGTCTGGTCAATAACCAGCTTTGGAAGATTATTTTTAAGGTTAATAAGTTTTGAATTTAGGATGGTTAGTTGACTGCGGTTGAGTAATGCGCACAGATATAAAATACTTCTACACTCGAGTCTTAAATTTGTATGATTGTATAAACCTAACCTAACCTAACTTAACCTAACCTAACCTAACCTTACCTAACCTAACCTAACCCAACTATAGGTGTCTTATCCGAAGTAGCACCCTTGAAAATGTGCTTAATTTTAAGTTATCCCACGACAACACATAGCGAATCGCCGTAATAACTTTGTACTTTATGTTTCAAACACAATAAATTATTTATGTTTTGTGTACGTCTTAGAACAAAGAAAGTACAACACAGTGATGCAGACGGCTTAGACGGTACCGTGATATGGCTAACAATACAAATTTCAAAAATCTGCAATGGACTGCGAGCTGCGGATTGGGCGACGACGTCAGCCAAGTGGGAAACTTCTACAACGGTGCCACGGTGTTCGTGACCGGCGGCACGGGGTTCGTGGGCAAAGCCCTGATTGAAAAACTCCTTCGGTCGTGTCCGGGGATAAACACAATTTACATTTTGATCCGGCCGAAACGGGGCAAGGACATCCAGTGCCGATTCGAAGAGCTGCTGAAAAATCCAGTAATTATTAGTCATGCTAATATTAGTGACGAGGCGGTCGGTTAACAAATTACCCAGTCAGTAGATCTTATCTTAAGAAATAAATAGATTTTTTAACATGTCTATACATTATGTTATTGCACTGGATACAAGAACTTTCATTTCGCAATTTTCGCGTTACACTTTCAGTCAAAGATAAGAGATTAGTGATAAGAGATAAGAGGGTAATATAAATGATAAGAGATAACATGATAAAATGTTTTAAAATGAGCAGAGACAATAACTAGATTTTATATTATTTATTATTTTGACATACTTTGATGGTTATTAGTTGGCCCAAATTCAATATATTTTCCTACAACATAACCCCACCCCATCTGAACTCGAGGTTTTCAAATGGTAACGTATATATTATTTCTTAATTCTGAAATCTTCTGCTCAATATGCAACACCACATATTTGATTTGTTGACCAAATCACGTTGGCCACACTGTTTTATTTCGATTTGCGCGGGAAATCGACTCGCGGGATCAGATGTACGATTAAGTCAAAAGATAAAGCTATAATCGAATAATGGATAACATGCTAATCGAAACTGATTTTTTCGTTCTCTTGTAAGTTGAAAAAAATGTGATACGAGGTGTTCCATCTTAAGCGTTCATTTTTATTTTTTTTAATTAAGTAGTTAATTTTACTGGTCGAAAACCAGTGTTGGTAATTACTTTGTAAGTTTAAAATTTAGTACTGTGCCGCCATTTAAGTTTTTAAAAGAGGAAGCAAAAGTTTTGACCGGTCCATATAACTTAATTAATATAATAATTGAATGAAAAATAATAGAAACTACACACAGTAGTCAGTCACAATAATTAAAAGCAATTATTACGATAATAACAATATAAATTGGTTTAACTAACTCTAATACTCTACCACGGTATAATTAGCCTGCCAAACAAAAATGGTTCTCTATCATTTATTGTAATCATTTTTTTGTTTTATTATAATAAAAATGTGTCATCAATTTGATGTCACTTTAGGTTTTTGACCGCATACGGTTTTCTACCGACTCGACAAGATTGTTCGACAAAGTGGTGTGCATCAATGGAGATGTTTCCGACCACGAGTTGGGTCTAAGCGCCGAAGACAAGCAAACACTGTGCTCCGAAGTCAACGTGGTCTTTCATTCGGCAGCTACGGTCAAGTTTAACGAGTCCTTGCGTACCGCCGTCACACTCAACACGCTAGGTACACGACGAGTCATCGACCTGTGTCGGTCAATGGACAATTTAAAGGTAAATGGAAGTAATCCTCGCTTCTTCGAAGAGAAACATATGAATCGCGAATACGTTTAATGGCACACAAGCACTCCTAACCTTAGCTGAACATTTAGTGACAATAGTTAAGGAAGCGAGATAAAAAGGCACATTGTCCAAAAAGTTATAGGTCAACAATAGGACAGGGTTCATTCTCGCAGAAAAGGGTTCCGCAATTATTGAGATGACCCCCAGCCATATTAAACATACCCACATTGACCGGCAACATTGTCTTGATTCCCTCAGGCAATGGTTCACGTTTCCACGGCCTACTCGAACGCCGACAAGATGACCATCCAGGAGACAGTGTACAAGCCACCCGGTGATCCTGACTATGTGATCAACTGCTGTCTGAAAATGTCCGAGGAAGATCTCCAGAAAGTAGGTCGGAAGCTACAGGGCAAACACCCAAACACTTACACCATGACGAAGGCAATGGCCGAATGGGTGGTCTCCGAACAAGCCGACGACATACCGGTGGCCATCGTCAGACCGAGCATAGGTAACAATCAATCAATTGACGATGCAGTTAACGTTTACACTTATGTAAACGCCCGTTGTCCGAAAGCATTCCCTTTTGTGAATTTTTTTTTTCCATCGAAAATCCTCTTTTCGTATAATATGTCTTCAGTTCAAGCAGGCGATCGAACAACGAAATGATTATATTTTATCAATTGACTTCTGATATGGAATACAGCACACCGTTTGCATCTTGTTGATGCTCTCAGGTTGATTGGCCTGTAAGTATTTTAGAAATCTCGCATCGTCCGCCTTAGGGGCTGCTGAGGTTTTCCGGTTCGACCTCCTTTCGGTCATGTGACCGATTCCAACCAACACAAAGTAGATCCAACGTTTCTTCTTTTAATTGGTCGTTCGTTTCGTTGAGATAGTGCCAACGACAGTACACATGTTAATTGCATTGTTCCTCGTGTTTCCGACAGTGACGGCAGCGTGGAAGGAACCGTTCGAGGGATGGGTGGACAACATTAGCGGCATCACTGGCATCATGATGGAGATAGGACGGGGCACCATAAGGAGCATAGTTTGCGACCAAAAACTACGAGTAGACATCATACCCGTGGACATTCTAGTCAACACGTTGATCACTTCGGCCTGGCACACGGCCGTCCACAGGCAAAACGCCGTCAGGGTGTACAACTGTACGTCCGGTGCTCTGAACCCTCTGCGCTGGGAAGAACTGGGCGGTCTGACGCAATACCATTCGCTCGCGGCTCCGTCCAAATACCTGCAGTGGTATCCGGGTTTCTCGTTCCGCACCAACCGCATGGTCCACAGACTGTGCGAGATACTGTTCCACTTTGTGCCGGCGTTTGTTTTGGACATTGTGCTGCGGCTGACTGGATCCAAACCGATGTCAGTACAACAGGGCCCGGTCGACTGTAGTTACGGTGTTCCAACGAGAACGGCGGGGTTTCAAACGGCGGGGTTTCAAACGGCTGTAGATGGTGAAGCATCGGGCCTACAGCGGTCTGGTAGGGCTTGAACGAAAGAGGGAGTTGTCGAGTTTCGAATGGCCGCCGCTTGAAGCCCCGGCGATTCTTTTTGGCACGCCCAATAACACTGGTCGATCCGTTTAACGTCGTCGGATGCTTGCAGGATGTTGAACGTTTACCGACGGTTCAAGATGGCGGCTCGGACGGGCGAATTCTTCGCTCTCCACCAGTGGCACTTCATCAGCGACAACATTAAGCAGCTCAACAAGGATGTCACGTCCGCGGACCGACGCGCCTTCCCCGTGGATGTCACCCGAGTGGTGTGGGACAGCTACGTCAAGGACTACGTGTTCGGCATACGCAACTTCGTGCTGAAAGACCCGCCGTCGACCATACCAGCGGGACTGAGGAAACTGCAAAAGTAAGAGCCAACGAATTCGTTGTCAGAGCAATAGAAACGGTCATTCCGAGAACGACACAGGTCATAAATTCATGGCTGAATTTTCACCTGTTTACAGACCACGTTCCAATAAGACATGCGTGACTTTTGTTGGTTTTGCAAAGAATAGCGATAATTTACTACAACCGGCAGCTCGTTTGAAGGGGTTGTATAGGGTCAGACCCACCAATCCCTTCCCTTGTACATTAAACGTTTTTTTTTTTTTTTGGAATGACCGATTCAATCGTTTCCCACTGTTCCTATTTGTATGATCAACCAGTGTTTAACAACTATACCGTTACCCGTTGTTGGTTTTTAGGTTTTACTGGCTGCACAGGTTGGCACAATGCGCGTGCCTGGGAGTACTTATGCACGTTATCAAGTTGAAGTGAATCCTTTTCTAAAACAACACACTTCCAAATCGTATTATTACTTGTCTATTAGATAATTACAAATATTATTTATAAATATATTATTTTAATAATTTACCATAAAAACTCTAAGAGTGTTGTTTTTTTTCTTTTTTCATCAATGGCTGGTTAGGCTGGTCAATATTAAAAAATGGTCACTCATTGTCAGTAAAAATATAACTGACTCACTTTGGATTGTTTTTATATTATTTTTTTGGATTTAAAAATTCACCTAAAGGTACAATTTAAATATATTTTCGGTGTCGTTAAACTACTTTGTATACTTAAACTACTAAATTTTAATTGTAGCTGATGTACAACGGTCACATAAACTACATAAGACGGCACTTTGGTTATGCAATTTCGACACATGCGTGTGTATGTAATGTCAAAGCTATCCGTTTTAGACAACTCATTATTTATTATTTAAATTTGTAATATTTTCTTTTGATTACAAATACAAAAAAAAAATCACACAACTTATGTTTAAAAGAATTTAAAACTTGTAGCTTAGGGTCCAAATAAAGTTTTGTATACAATTTTTACATTTTAAGTTATAACAACCAAAACATTTAATTTATTTAAAAATAATGTGTGTTGGAACACACGTTAGTTTGGTATATCTGGTATCGCTTATCAGATTAAACTGTAATATAATATAATACTAATAATTAATAACCCAACTACTAAAAATCATATAAAAACTATTATTATTATTATAATACATGGTTAACATACTATAAGGAATTAAGTAATTTCAATAAGATAACTTAGTAATATGGTAAAAAAAAAGAGATAACATAAATAATTATAAAAACCGTTATCTTGGTAACATTTAAATTTGTATATTAACTACAGCTAGTTCGTTACAGCAATTAATACTAATAAATGACATTTTTCAACGAAATGTACAATTAATGCTACATAATTGTCAGCTATACAAATGAGTAATGCTACTTTACATAATTTGTTTTTCCAAATATTGTGACCGTAGGGTTTCGTATGTCGTCAATACTTTGAACTAATTTCAGTTCTTTGTTAAATGTTGGAGTTTTCGGATTGGCTTGCTCAATATCTGCATTACAAATAATAATCAAAATATCATTTCTTGATCGTTTTCAAATGATTACACACACAAAATATAGATGGCGATGTGCAAAGCAAAAAGAGACCTTTTGTTGGCATTTTCCCAAAATCTAATTGGTAGTACTTTCTGAATGTCGATTGAAGTGAATTTTGAACAATTTGAGATCTAGCACATCTTTGTGGGTGAAAGTAGGTCTGTTAACAACAGGTCTCTTTTAGCTTTCCGCATCAAATTTTGTTTTTTTCCATACAATTCAAAGTTCGTTTCAATACTGCCTGAATAGTTGCCACTGTTTTTTCCATAGACTCCTTTAAGTTATTATTATTCAAGGTCATCCATAGCAATAGTAACGAAGCAAACAAATCGCCTGTACCAATAAAAGAATGGTCAATGTGAGGTATATATATATCCACATACTCTTTGCCTAAAAAAAAAAATAAACAATTATTAAAACATTCATTTGAAAAGTATACCAAGTTTGTCAACTATACAATTAGTAAATTACACACTTACTATTAACATATTTTCCAATAGATTTCAAATGAGTGTCTTCGATATTAGTCGAAGAAACCACAACTGTTTTACAGCCCAGACTTTGTAATATTCTTATAGCTTCATAGATGTCATCAGTACAAGTTATAGTTTTGCCAGTTAACAGCCTATTGTCATAAAATGCAATTATTAAACAATAATCTCAACATGTACAAAGTTAATTACTAAAAACTATTTACTCTAATTCGTATTCATTGGGTGTGATTATATCTGTTAAAGTCAATATTTCCTTCCTATAAATATCTAACATTTCTTTTGGAACATACATTTCTTTATTGTCTCCCATTACTGGATCACAGACTGAAAGATGTTATAGCAGTCATAAATTAAAAGATTAAGTTTACAAGTCAAACATTTTTTATACTTCAGAAGCCATAAAAAAGTGCCAAAAAATATAACAAAATTCAATTATTCATTAATTATATTATGTTTTAATTGTTAATTATTTTCAGGAATGGATTCGTGTAAAAAAAAGTTACCGTATATTAAATTTGGATTCTTTTCTTTCAAAATGTTATAAACTTCGGCAATTTTTTGCAAAAAATTTGGACATCCTATATATCCTGTCAGCAAATGAGAGTAATAATGTAAATCATTTTCAACGAGTCCAGCTATCAATTCCACTATACGAAAATATATCAAAAACAATTTTACAGTATTATTATAACACGAAAATTATTAGGTAAGGACATTTTATAACACACAGTTTAGGCAACTAATTATTTTAAAAATGACAGCGGTTAATGTGCATTCCAATATTATGGAATAGATAAAATTTAAGTACACCTTCTTCCACAGTATATTATCTCTTGAATGCACATCGGCCGCTGTTACTCTTTTATGACGACTCAATTGTATACTACAATAATTAATAGTAATGGTGTAATGATCATACTTAAGTTTGTTTCATTCAAAACTTGACCATGAAATGTTTTGTAGCCGGTGTGATTCGACAGCTGAACAGAATTGATAGCATCCACTTCAAATCCCATTACCTGGAAAATAAAAAGGTATAATTAATATAGAAAAAACAATTGATAAACATTTAAACATGTAAATCATAACATAGCGCCCTCTAGCTGTGTCCTATACTTTTCTTATCTGTGTCGATTGTGTGTTATTACTTATTATCATTTATGGAATATTCATTAGTCATTGTTATTTGTTATACTATGTTATATTGTTACTCATTATTTTATACGTGCAGTCCCTTAAACGTTTACTTGTAATTTAATTATTCTTTCAGGTAACTATTGTATTTATTTATATTTTGAATTGTAATGTTTATTTATGTTGTAATTATTCTTTCGGAATAATAAAATCTTGTTAAAACCACTTTACAAACATTTAAAAATAAATGCAATATCTTGAATAACAACTATACTATACTGGGAAAAACTTGAGCAACTAAGACTGAGTCCTCAGTCTTAGTGTTTTAAAATACTATTTAATAATAGTATTATACCTGTAAAGGAAATACAGCGCTTTTGTTTCCCACATATCCACTGACCACATGACTCTGTATGGATAAAACTCTTTTTGTCGACTTCATATTGACTGTGAAAAAAAAATAAAATGATAAACATAATTTAAGTAACATTAAATACGTTTCTAGTGTTAACAAAATGTTTGTTTTTTATTAATAAAAATTGTAGGCTAAATGGGAACATAAATGCTTTATTAACGGTTTAAATAAGGAATTTATTTTACTACAAATTTTGACTGGTCCATAAACAGTTTTGGATGATTATTTTCAAAGTTATTACATTTTAAAAGAAAGCACGGGAGAGGAAGTGCCCACAGATAAAAATAATACTACTCTCCACTCTTCCTAAACTCTAAACATAATTTGTAAAATATTCTTAACTTAAATACTAAAATATAGTAATACAACAGCTTATACGCTACCACTGAAGTTTCAAAAGTTTGTATAAATATAATTATTTTAAAAGGGGATTAAAAATATAAAAAGTTTGTGATCATAGTGTATAAAACCACTAGGCGAAAGAAAAAATTCAAGAAATGATTTAACTCTTATGAAATATCGAGTGGATCACTTCAAAAGTTATCACCATCAAAAACAACAATAAACATTGATAATGTTAATGAACTTAATAAATTTATTGACATGCATAAACGAAAACTAGTAGGTATACTCTATTTTTGCGTAAATCCTTTACTGGTTTTAACATTAAATGGGATAAAAAATATTTAAAAAAAATTACACCGATACACACCTACCTTAAAGAAAGTTAGACTAGTAGTTATGGCTTAAAAGATATAGTTTTTTTGATATTTGATACACAACTATCAAAGTAGACAGTCCAGTGCCGACTACCGACTTAAAGGACACTTATCACTGAACAGCTGTTTTAAAATATAGATAATTGCTATGATAACGGCCTACGGTAGGAAAGATAAGGTGACGCCACTCGACTTCTTATCAGTAATAATGATAAACAAGTGTAGAATTGTTCTATAAATTAATTACAAGTATATTATAGTACCTTTAAATGTATATATTAATACATTTTATTAACTATAGGGGCATTCGTAAGAATTATCCATACTGTACATGAGGTATGGTGTTCCAAAAGGGAGTAAATTTAATTTAATCTAATATTAGTTTTCCGCTTACTTTGAAACGCTAGTCTTCACATTAAAGTCTTTGTTTTATATTTAAAGTAACTTTTGCTTTATGTTGTTGGACTTGACAAAGGTTGGCCTCGAAAAACTATTGCGTTTTGTTCAAGTGTATTTTCGACAGTGTAATTGATGTTTAATTGTATTGTACAACATGTATACAGTTAACTGATGAAATTTACATATCATAAGCCAATTCGGAGCCATTGTCAAGTATTACATAATCTTGAATTATTTTTTTTCTAGGAGTGCGATTTAGGTAGCAAGTGACAATAATAATTACCTACACTGTAATGATTGTTTAAGCTAAACGGCTAAGAACGGCTATTGGTCTTTTATTTCTAGGCTTTTGATATTTTAAAATATTCTATCAAATAAATAAATTAAAATTCTATTGGAATAACACCGTTGCATGATTATTGAAATTCTAACTGAATCGGGTGCAATATAATTCGGTAAACATAAAACTGATAGTGTTTTAGAAATGGTGTACACATTCTTATTATACTGTTTTCAGTTAAAGCTCTCGAATTTTTATAATTTCATTTTTATGCCAAAACTACTCAGTTCTGGTGGCATTGGCTAATCTAAATTGAATTCGATTGAAACTATTTTTTTTTTAATCTATAGACTTTTATCTTGGATTCAAATATTATTGTAAAAACAGTACCTTCTCAGCTAAGCATCAGAGCAAAAATTAAGTCAGTTGTTAAACAAATATTGTATTATTACAAATATACCTGTGAAATATGTAATTTTTTTTTTTATTTATTTAAATAACCATTTCTTACTATTTATAATCAATAAATATTATTATTATGGTTTATCTACATCCTACAAGCAAAGCTTGAGTTGGAGGTAGAGAGTTACATTTTTTAATAGCTATTTTTTTTTTTTTTTGCATAATTCATTTTTATATTATAAGCTATGTTTTCACGCTTATTGTTTGTACAAACATTAGTTAAGTCTTATATAATTGTCTTTTAAACAATAATTATAAATCGACAACGCTATAAAAAATGTTTCATTATAATTTATTTTTTTTTTAATCGTGTTATAAATGGTAATATTATTTTGCATCGGTTAAAATAATCCTATTCGCTATAAAAGTTAGTTGGCTTAGCATAAGTTCTAGGAATCGCCCGTGGTGTCCTTCGGAACGGCCAAATAAAATACCTGCGAATCCTTTTGTAATTTCCATTAATTTTTTATTTATGAATCAATTTCTGTATTTCCATGGTCGTCAGAACAATATTAATCAAAAGATGATCTGGTCGTTTGTCTATTACCGAGCCGCCAACATATTATATTAATGATAGTGCACTGGAGACAGGAAAAACCTTTTTAAAAATAGTCTGATCACTTCCACAATTGTGTGGAATATTATTTAGATGTAATATTACTATCTTTGATCCTTTTGCCGAGGGTTAATAACTTATTTCATATTTCGCTTTTTCAGGTGTGGTTTTAGGACTTCAGGTGTGGCAAGGTTTTTTTTTATAAGAAAAAACAGAAAAAATAAATAAAAACACAATTGCAACGATTATTATCTAATGTAATATTGTTAGCTTAAATTAAACATTAAATAGTACATTGAATATTATGCTGTGTCTGTTGGCATAAAACAAAGTACCCAAAACAAGAGTGCTTATTTAACAAAATGTATTTTAAACATGGATGGGAAACTTTTTTTTTTTTTAATTTCTGCTTATAAAAAAAAAAGACCAAATTTACATTATTTGTCATTGCATAGTTACGAATGTCGATTAGAATGATTATAATAGAGTGAAATTTAATAGCATTCGAAAAACTAGAAAGATTTACTTACTTGAAAATTGTAAAAAAAAAAAAATTAAGTAAAGTTCCTAATTGATGTTTCGTTCAATGGTCTATATTTTGGCTCGGTCTAGACTTTCTGATTTCTGATTTTAAGTGCTTGAAGTGATCAAACATTTTAATGAATCCTATTATGGTTAACGTCTCAGTTAAAAATAATTTAGTTTTATTCCGATTTCCAAAAAAAAAAAAAAAGTAAATAATAATGAGCTGCAAATTAAATAGGTAAAAAAAACACATGTTAAAAAATAAACAATAATTTATTTATAAACCACAATTGTAATTGAATCTTTAATTAAAAAATAATCAGTCAATAATTAACATTTCCTGTGGAAATTTTACACTTACCTCATTATTCAAATTTTTATCTCATTTCATTATTTTTCCTATGTAAATTTTGCACTTATCTCATTCCTCTCACATTAAGTTGACATTGAAATTGACCGGTTTTCTATGACGGTGGTGTTATTATGTTGTGTGTGTATTTTTTATTTAAATATTTTATTCGTTTGTTAAATTATCATAATCTAATATATATATTATTGAATTTTAACGTTAAGGAGTTAATAGTGTTACTATGATTAATTATTTGTATTGTAAATTTAAAATTGTCTTGTGTATTAAACAGTAAGTATGCTGTATCTTTTGGCAGCCCACTTGACACCTCAGCGCCTAATAAAAATATAATATATTTTTTATATACAAACGATAATTCTTGATCAATTAAAAATTATACATTATTATCAATACAAAGCTGTTGTAATTCTTACAAACATTACCTACTCTAAGCGTTTTAGCCTTGAGTGCACCTATTTATACTTGGATTAAATATATATTGAAGTGTCGTTTCCGCCATATTTTGCTTAGTCTTGTAAAAAGTGAAAAAAAGAGGAAAAAAAACAGAAATAATTAATTGTTTGTGATGTTTTTTTATTAGATATTTTGCTCGATAAATAATAATTATACTTAAAAATTTAATTTTTCATTTAATGTTCATTCAGCAATGTTAACGAGCTGTGTCTTGAAATCAATAGCTTAATTCTGTCACTGTTATCTATTATGATTCTCATCTTAAGGCAATATAAAATAATTTAAAGTACACATAAAAAAAAATGGAGATAATACATTTTTCGAAGAGTTGTTTGTTGAAAAGATTCCAAGGGTTTACATGAACAAACGTTTTCGATAATCCGGTCGACTTTGTTTTATTTGTTTATATTATAATCGAACTACTTTACAGTTTCACCAACATTCGTTAAGAATTTAACTTATTGTTAATTAGGTATATTTAACGATAGTTAGTGAAAATTGGGTTTCGTCGAGATTTGTTAGCCTTAACACAATGTTAAAACGATTGTTAAATTAATCACCCGAAATCGGCATGATAAAATGTATTGTAGTAGGTACTTATATATATATCTAATAATTACATTAGTATAGTTCAATAATTGTTTTATAATTTTTGTTGACAGAGTATACTAGTAATATATTATAATGAATTACACATTAGATGAGGAATTTCATTATATTGAGTTAATATTTCTTTATGCAAGTAGATTAGGTAAAAATAAATGGCACAGACTTGCATTATGGATTCAATTATCAAAATGAATTGTATTTTGTAATTTAGATAATATTATTATCTTGTCTTGCCTGTCCTGAGTATAACAATGGAGATAATTCTTCTCGCTACCTACTTTTTTTAGGTCTTCAAAATAGAAAAAATTATTTTTATGATCTTGATGACAAACTATTTTTAGAAAGGTATAACCTATCTAAACAAAGTGTTTAAAAGTTATATATAATATTTATACCGAAACGTTAAAAGAGAGTAAAATAAAAAGCCAAATAATAACAAACTGACAAATTAAATAATACAATCACTTATCAGTTATCACATATCTTATCAACCAATGAGAACGTTGGAATCGAGGTAACCGCTTTGGTAACCCAACTAACGTTTTGTTAACTTAACAAATAGAATTTAACAATAATAATGTTATGGTGAAACTTATTTCATTTAACCAGATGTTAAATTTAATTGAATTTAATAATAGTTGGTGAAACCGGCTGAAAATATTATATTTTAGTGTGTAATCTCAATGTTAATTAGTTTCTAAGATAAAGACTTTAGGATGGTTTCGAACCACTTTAATTTTTATCTGGCAGCGTGTTATATAAGGCGAGAACGGTAGGCTAACGCTCTAATCCGTTTATAGCAATGCTTCAAAATTTGTCTACATATCATAAACTTGGATAATTATCTTACATTTTATATAGACCCACTTAGAGGCATCTAATACTATTCTATCTAACCTGAACTGGCTCTAATCCAAGTCCCAGAGCATTTCTAGGAATGTAGTTTTAAAATCTAGTCATGAAGTTTGTGGCCAGGCAAACGTTGGATTATAATATTGACTTTTTTTTCCCCCTTTTTTTTTTAGACTGAACTATAAACTATATTTACAACGTTTAAAAATAAATAAATACATTGAAAAACCGGTACCAATTCCAGTGAACCTGTTGAGGGGGATATAGTATAATATCTATATGGCCAAAAAATTACTTAAGAGTGACTTCCACTTCACACACACTCCCTTCAAAAAATTATTTTATTTGTTATTAAAAAAAACAATATTTAAAGACTTTTTGTAGGAATAGGAAAACCAAACGATGGCTATTATTTTTATCTGGTTAATTTTTAATTTTATTTAATTGATTGTTTTTTTATTATAATAATTAGAGTAATATCCAATTTGGATTTTATTTCTTTTTAACTCTTCAGTTTAAACGGTAAAATCAATAACAGTTCTGCGTTTTTAATGGTAATCAAACACATTTAATGGAATTGCAATAATTGATGATACAAAACGAACAATAAAATAATAGTTATTATCAAACATTATTATAATATTATCACGAAATATGACGATTATTATGCGCAACCAATTCCCACCATTGATAACTTTATGGATGAATTAAATATTGAACTGTAAACAAAATAATGTGTGTGTGTGTGTGTTACATAACGACGATAGGGAAATATTATCTAATTTATTTATACTCACAAGCTAGATAAGGAAACCGTATTGATTGTCCTAGACCGGTTTTAAAGTGCTTATAATATTTAAAACGGAAAAACAACATGCAAAATTTCCAAGGAAATCTGGTCGAAAAATTATTCTACTTTAAAAAGATCAGAAGAATTAAATTTTTCTACTTGCCTTGATTAACATAACACCTAAAATAGTTAATATTTTTTTTTTTTTAGATTTTGAAAACCATTTCTAGATGTGGCGATTTTATATAAAAAAGTTTTTTTTTTTTTTAATAAAATGCTTAAAAAAAATCTTTTATGGTATGAAAATTATCAGCATTCAGAGAAGAATTATTTCCATTGTTATACTCAGAACAGGCAAGACTAGATAATAATATTAACTAAACTGCATAATACAATAAATATGATATTTGAACCTATAATGCAATTCAGTGTCATTCCTTTTTACCTAGTCTACCTACATAAAATAACTTGTGCTTACCTAATAAAGGATTCGAAGTTGTCATTTCTATTGTTCTCTAAATACTCAATATAAAGAAATTCCTCATCTAATGTGTAATTCATTGTTATAATATATTAGTAGCATACTCTGTCAAATTGAGATCTGTCATCAGTCTAATGTATTTGATAGACCTTAAGACCCAAAACTCGAAAAAGTGAAATAAAGAATTATGAAAACAACACAATCGCAGCCAATACGCGTCCAAGCCAAAAGCACTCAAGGCCGTCTTATTATAATGCATTTGTCCAATGTAGTAACTTGATGAGTTTTGTGAATGCACAATTTATTTTTACATTTTTTTTTCTCCGACTTATTTTTATCATTTTACTACATTAAACTAGATTAAAATATTTTATTATGTACCATCATGCCGGTCCTTATTCAATGTCTTTTAGGTTCCATGCGGAGTAGCAAGTCTATAGATCAGAAATCGCATCTAAAAGGTGTAGTACCTTATACTATAGGTAATATTCAGAGATAGTTTCTTTGAAAATAGCTAAATTTGTAATAGTTGAACGTCCAGTTGGAAAACTATGTGGTTCGTTAGTGATAATTAGAAAAACCTGGAAACCCCCATAAAAATATCATAAACCCTTTCCTGCGTGGGAACTTTTTCTTTTATTTAAAGTGTAGTTTTAGGGCTTAAGATCTGGAAATATCTGTGGTCAAACTATTATATGTACTTAAATAATTGTGTGCATTAAAAGTGTAATAATACAATATATATTATATTAAAAGTGTATAATACAATATACCTATTTTAGAGCATGTATTTTTTTAATCTACAAACATTATCTCTATGGCCTAGTTTACACCGCGAACATGGGTGCGTTTTTAGGTGGGGTAAGGTAATTCGGTGTACATATTTTATTAGGTCATGTATTTATTAAATGGTTATGTCAGTGCTAGGAATTAAAATCGTTATAATAATACAATATTTAAAGACTATCGAGCAACGAAAAATGTTCCATACATTTTAGAAACGAGCAAAGGAACAGCTAGTTCTCTATTCAAAGGAATTTTCTAAGCACTGCATATTATATTGATAATAATATTAAGTACTTGGTAATAAATAATTGGCGGGCTTGAAACTAAAGGGTTCTATATCGATTTTACCCAATAATTGTTCAGGAGAGCATTTTTAAGGTTTGATTACATTTAAGTATATGTTCATACTATCACCGAATCGATATCATTAATTTTTATCACATTAAATCCACAATGTCATAATGTTTAACGAGCAATTCATTTTTTTTGTCAATAAAACTTTAATTAAAGTTATGAAAAAATAAAAAACCTTTTGACTACAAACTCAAAATAATACATAATAGTATTGTGTCTTTGGTAAAATAATGTCAACAAGGCATATTTTGTTTCTCTATTTCATTGACTATCAAAATGAGGTTATCTACGTGTCAGGGTTATTCAACTAATCAAATTATCGGTGTGCATAGAACTTATAGTTTTTCTCTATCATCATAATATTAATATGCCAATTCAAATAAATTTAAATTAAAACTTGTACCTACATTATTCTATAGCAAACCATTTTTTGAAAAAATCTACTTTAGAACCCTTAAGGTTCCAAGTCATCTATATCAGCCGTGTTATATTACAATAGGTTATCAAAAACATAAACAAAACAAAGGTCTAGGTAAAGCACATAATATTATTATAAGGTGGCTCCTTATTGAATAGGTAGGTACAAAGGTGGAAACTAGACCACCTCCCGCCTTTTTCCATTCCTAGATCCGCCCCTGCTGATGCTCTCCCCCACAGCTGTTCTGGCTTTTTTGTATTACCCTAAAGATTGGGCCTTTAAAAGATTTGTAAATAAATCGTGTAAAAAATTAAAAATCAAAATTGTTCGATAAGGAACGCCATTAAGCGTGTTATCACAGATTAGGTCTTATCTAATGTGCGCTGTTATCAAGTTATTATTGTTATCACTATTGATAAGGTAATATTGTTATATTATTCAATATTGTATTATTTAATTACACAAAAACGAAGTGGGTTGAGCAGGCGGCGGCGGCGGTCTGATTGCTATTTAAACGGTTTCGCTTGTTCAGTCTAATGCGAGTAATAAAACGTTGTTATTCAGTTTACAAGAACACATTTGGCGACATGGACAATTTAATAGCCGTCTGTCAGGTGTCTTCGACCAACGACAAAGCGAAAAATTTCCAAGCTTGCAAAACGCTCATCACCAATGCCCAAAAATGTGGCGCTAAGGTACGATTACGAATTTTTACATCTTTAAACACGGGCATTACCAAACATTCCGGCTAACTGTTATCTATAATATTGTTTCTATCGAACATACAAATATTAGTATTTGTCTAGTAAAAAAAGTGCGATAAAGTAAATATACTTACGGTGAACAAAAATTTCTGTCGCCAATGACATGTCTAATATTTTGCTTAAAATCACTTTATTACACCGTCGAGTTGAATAGCCATTAAATATAATAACAGTAAAATAAAAAAATAAAATATAAACAGCTTTCTTCAAGTGAATTGAAGGCCGTCTGTATTTTTGACCAAAAAGCCTTACAAATGTTGAACTACCGATTTCAGTTCTGATACTCGAGTTCTGTATGACTACTCTACTAGATTATGTTGAAAACAGTTTTTTTTAAGTCGTCGGTACGGTTGGGATTGAACAACTTTTAAAATATAATAATAACAATTAGCGTGTATAATATTTTAGGTACAAAATGTTATGGCAAATTCTTATTCGAACATAGCCCACTTGTAGTGTACACAATCCATAACACATCGTAGAGATTTAATAACAAGTAAAAATATAATTAATATTACTATCCAGATGGTTTTCTTGCCTGAATCGGTAGATTATATCGAGGAGGACCGGCAGAAGTCTTTCGACATGGCAGAATCCCTGGACGGACCTCTTATAAGTGACTACAGAGCTCTAGCCAAATCGTTGGGCGTTTGGGTGTCCCTCGGAGGGTTTCACGAAAAGGTAACTATAACATTCAGTTGTTGTAAAAAAAACAAGTTTTTATGTATTTATATATATACCTATAACATTTTTATTTTTTTCGATCATTACATGATTTAACGTTATGTGATTTTCAATTTGAGTTTTCAGATACTAAATTATATAATACTCATGTTGTAATCGACGACAGAGGTGAAATAGCTAGTAAATATCATAAAATACACTTGTACGACGTGGAATTGCCATCTAGAAATATTAACGCCAAAGAATCGAGTTTGATCGAAGCCGGTAGTGAAATCGTAACACCGGTTCACACGGCCATTGGGAATGTCGGTTTGGCAATCGTAAGCTTGTTATTAATTGTTATTTTCAAACTTCTTTTAAATCCCATTAATAATAATAATAATAATATTGTTCTTTACGAATAACAGTGTTACGACATGAGATTCCCTCAAATGGCGATGGCTTTGGCAGAAAAAGGTGCAGACATTTTGACTTACCCTTCGGCATTTTTTTTCGGAACCGGAGCCATTCATTGGGAAGTGCTACTACGTAGCCGCGCTATCGAAACCCAATGTTACGTAATAGCTTCGGCTCAAACCGGCAGCCACAGTTCTTCGAGAAAGTCTTGGGGTCATTCGCTCGTACGTTTACCGCCGATGTCTAGCGCAAACATATATATATATATATATATTTATGTATACAAAACTAATTATCACATAAATTAACTTTACCGTTTGCAGGTGGTCGACCCGTTGGGAACGGTTATCGCACAATGTTCGGATGAACCCGGTTTCGTGTTGGCGCCGATAGATTTGACTTTGGTAAACAGTATTCGAGCAACGATGCCGCTCGTCAATCACAGAAGGTACGGCATTTATCCGAAAATGTCCTCGACCCCGTGGCCCTATTTGCCGATTCAAGACTCTAGTGAATACAAATTTGGTGCGTCCACGGTCAAAGGCTTTCAAGTGTTTTGTCAGACTCCGTTGAGTATGGCGTTCACCAACATTAAATGCGTTCTACCGGGGCGTATCCTTTTGATAAGATTGAACAAACTGAATATTGTTTATTATTTAATTTTTTTCTCGAATTTCCTTAACCATTAATATCGAACACAGACGTTTTGGTTGCACCTCTAAGATCGATGGAAAAGTTGTCAGATCTCAACGAGGACGAAGTCAAAGATCTCTTTCTGTTAGTCCAGAAAGTCGAAAAAACCGTCGAGACCCTTCACAACACCAAGTCGGCGTCGATAGTTATTCAAGACGGAGAAGACGCTGGACAAACTATAAAAGTATTTTGATCAAGTTATAAGCTAAAATAACATAATATTGTGTACCTCGCCTCTCACTTTTTTTTATTCGGCGTCAAACTATGGTCTAATAATATGTGTAAAATTTTGGTTTACGTTGCATTAGTTGAGATTAATAATTATTATATAAGAGAAACGTAGACATCGAGCATGGTAACGCCGAAACTAGTTGTTACCGATATAAAGACTTTTAACACTCGATTTCTGTTTTATATAAAATTGTCACATTATCTCAACAAATGGTTACCAGAGTACCGACCTAAGTAATAAATATAATTTGTCGGCTTGTTACAGCACGTGCACGTTCACATAATCCCGAGGAAACAAGGCGACTATTTAGACAACGACGACATTTACAGAGAACTACAAAACGAAAGAAAATCTACCATCCCGAAAAGATCCGATGACGAGATGGCACAAGAAGCCTTGGTGTTGAGAAAACATTTTTGATCGTTTTAGGTTTTTCTGAAATGTTTTTTTTTTTTTTTTTAAAGTTACCAATATAACAGTAAGGCTTAGGACAGACTTATTTGACAAGGATAATAATATTAATGTGTGAGGAGTTTAACTTGAATAAATTCAGCCATAAATTTAAGTTCAGCTGTTGACAACTGTTGACTAATAATATCATGATGACCATTGTAGTTTGTTTTGTTTTTGTTTTATTAATATTTTAAAATAAACGAAAAATCAAAAAAATAATTAATTGTAACGTTAGTGTATACCTTTTCTTTCTTGTATTCAAAGGTGAACTCGTATTCGTCTCGCTACCATAAAGCCGAATTGAGGAAACGCTAGAAATCAATTAAACTTATCATAGTTGGACAACAAAAATTGTGTATTGAGATTACGATAGATACAAATAAATAATTAAATGATACAATAACAATAGTATGGTTTAGGATGACTAGTATAAGTTGGTTTTTTTCATTATTTGGAGAAATTCTTCTTGACTGACTTCTCCATCGCCGTCTTTATCGGCCTCGTCGATCATTTCCTAAAAAAAAATTGTCAAACAATTCTTGTAAAATTCATCTATACTTACGATAAATTGTTAGTTGAATTTATACAAAAAAAAGAAGCAAACAAAACTTCAGGTAGATCGAACCGCTTTGAATTAAACCGAGTTTCAGGTCCAATTTTAAAAAAAAGTAAAACATATTACCTTAAGCTCTTCGTCGGCGATATTTTCTCCCAATTCCTGGGCGATACGTTTTAAGTTGGAAAAGGAAATTTTACCAGTACAATTGTCGTCGAACAACTTGAATGCTTTGATAATTTCTTCTCTCGAGTCTTTGTCGGCCATTTTTTGAGACATTAGAGTTACAAAGTCGTCAAACGATATGTGACCTACGGCATAGTTGACAATCACGTACAAGTTTTGTATTTTCAACAACTATTAGCGTTAAACTCTACCCGAATTTTGTTTGTTTATACTGCAAAGCATCCGTTTGATTTCCTCTTTTTTCGGTTCAAATCCCAACGCTCTCATGGCCACCTGCGAGTAGGTCGAGTGTTAGTTTCAATACGTGTGCCAAATCTATTTTAGTGTGTTTGTAATTTGTTTTACCTTTAGTTCTTTAGCTTGAATCGTCCCGTCTTTTTCAAACAGCTCGAACGCCTCTTTGACGTCTGCCATCTGTTTTTCAGTGAATTCAAATTTAGTACCCCCAGACTTCTTCCGTCCTGTCGTTGGCATACTCATATGGTACAAACAGCCTTAAACCTAAATAAACAATGTTTAAATGTTATTTTGGCCTTTTAAACACTTTACGAGCTAGTTGTAAATTTTTCATTGTCGTTTTCAATCTAACAAGTCCAAATTTGATTGTGCATTCAGTCGTAGCTAAAAATACTCTTATTAATAACATATTGTTCTACCAAAAACACAACAACTATATAAGTTTACGCAAAAATAGTTGAAACAGATCCTCCTGTTTTGTTTCGAGTATTTTTCATATAAAATAATCTTTAATGAAAACATAATTTTCTTTTTGCCCTAAAGATAGCGAAAACGTTTTCATTACTTCTTCTATTTAATGGGCACATTTTTTTTTTAATTTAAGGTCAGAAAATCAGAATAAAGTAATTCTCGTAGATTAATAATGTAATTTTTTTTTTTTTTTTTAGAGGAATACTAATAAGATAATCACAATATATTGTCCGTGTAATGATATTTTCATTGATAATTAATAACATTTTTTTCGATCCGGAAATTCGTAGCATCAGTTATTATTAATTTGTCAAATTATGATAAATTTTTTTAATTATCAACAAACGATTACAGCCGTAGACAAAAAAAAAAATATAGGTATTGTCAATAAAAATACTGAATATTTTTTTCCAACAAAACACTTTTATGCAAATATTAAAAAATTACCTGTAATTTAAGAAAAAAAGGTCTTCCTTTATTGGAAAGACTGAGAAATTTCACTTTCACGCGACGGCTAGTAATAATAATTAAGAAGTGGAGAAAGTGTTTGGTATGAACAAAATATTATAGTCATAGATACGGGACATGGTAAAAGCACAGCAGGTGTGTTTGCGGTTGAGCGATAACTACCGCGATGGCCGCCGGTTTTCACGTTTTGCATACGGGAAAAAACATGGCGGCCACGGCGAAGAAGTTGATAACGCACCGTGCCGACGTACCTGTTCGTTTGTCATGGATACAGAGCCGCCTTGTTGATAAACAAACCACGGAGGATAATCAATAACAGTGTTATCAGTCGACGGCGATAAGTGATAACAATAGTGCGTGACCCGACAAACGGTGTTGTTTTGTTTTTTTTATTGCCTATTGTATTGTGATATTTTACTGTTCGGCCTACATACATAGCGCGACGATGTAATAATATTTTGTTGGGAATATCAGAATCATTCGAGCGTTCACCGATCGATACACCAAAGTGTAATAAACACAGAAAACACACCGTTTTTTTTTCATTGTTCACAATCGCGGTAACCATAGAATCCGTTATGCCTTGTCGCCACACGTCCGTTTCGACCATTGAACCGTCACAGCAATCGGTGTTATATTTTCTTGCTTCGTCACGGTTCGTATTGTAACAAATCGTCTGCAATCAGCTGTAATAAAACTTAAGCAAAATCGATTTACGGTCAAAAGTCAAAAAGCGTTTTGACAATATTAACGTTATCGTTGACTTTGGTCTTGTACTATTCGGATAACAATAATAATAACAATGGACAAATGGGATCAGTTGACCGAAGTGTTCATATCGGACGAAGTGTTGTTGATGTGCCACAATTTGGCGTTGCTCACCGAAAAAGAAGAAGTGGCCGCGCTATTGATCGGCGAAGTGAGTATTCATCGTTTGCAGAACAACTGTTTCGGCACAGTCGTAATACCTTTTTACCTTCTTTGATTGTAGAAAATAATAACTGAAAACGGAACGACCGTTTCTGTGTCGGCGTTGTCAATACCGCCAAGAGGGGAAATTAAAAAAGACCGAGTGGAAATCATGTCTGAAGATTTGGTCGCCGCCATGGAGGACGCCAAACAGCTGTCGCGTGCCAAAGGCGCCAACTTGAATGTCATCGGCTGGTATCATTCTCATCCTCACATCACGGTTTGGCCGTCGAATGTCGGTTGGTATTTTTTTGCAATATAGAATCGATGAATTAATCATGTTTTCATAATTTTTCGATAAAGCTCTGTAGTTTAACGTTAATTCTTGTGCTTTGTATTCATTGCTCTTAAGACAACATCGTCGAGCAGTAAAACTGCCCGACAGTTTATAAAATTCTGTTTAATTGCTTTTGCAACACTTCTTCGAGAAAATCAATTTGCCTTCTTTTGATCTTTTTTAACATTGTGTTTTTCTCTTTTGAGCTAATTCCATCGTAACCCATTGCTTCAATGTTGTTTATTAGATTCTTAAAATCCCGTACAAATTTTCTCTTTAGATAAAATCAGTAAAAACTAGCTGCATTCCAAAAATTACAATTTTCTACAATCCTTATAGTAGTAACTATAAAAAGACCGAAAATGAAAAAAAGTTAAGACTTTTGCCTTTAAAACCGCAAAAAAATACCCTAAATACTTAAATTGTATTCAACTTGAAACTACAAAACGCTACGACGCCTGCAAAGGCTAAAATAAAAAAGGAATAACTGGGTCAAAAATTTGTTTTGTTTTTTTTAATGTGCAAAATTTTAGTCATCTTTAATTTAATTGAGAGTTAAACATACATCTTTCTCGGAACAATAATTTTCAAGTATTTTTATTTAAAATAAAGTAATTTAGGGACACGTACGTCGCATAAAGTATTAACGAAGAAAAGGACAATACTTTAGAAAGAATACCATAATGACTCTTTATTATCGTTTCTGTTAAATATCGACAGTTGAATTTTATTTTTGTTTTCAGATTTACAAACCCAACTCAATTTGCAAAACATGGATTCATGTTTCCTTGGTATTATTTGTTCCTCGTACAATACCGACCCTACCACTATGGTAAGTAAATAACGATTGTGGAAAAATTAAAGTATATTATATTAAAGGTTTACGATTTAAAACGATTGCCCGACTGGTAAGCGAAAAGACCACAGTGACTACATAAGCTAAAAATAAAAACAAATTTAATAATATGTAAAACGTTTTTTTAAAGTATATATTATTAAAAATAAATATTTCAATTGAAGACAACATGAATTAATGTATTGATCAGTTGAAATGAATTTTGCCTCGTTAGTTGAAATGGTTTCAATCAAAGAATAGTTACAAACTATTTATACTTTTTTTTTTTTAATATTTTACTTAGAACCGATATAGGTAATTTTGTTTTTAAGTACAAATTAAAAATTTAACAGGAACTCTTAGTGTACGTAATATTATTATGGTTCCATTGTTTTGTTAACGATAATATCAGTATTAATAGTATAATTTTAAATTTCAGATGAAAGAAATGAACATGGTATGTTTTCAATCGAAACGCATAGACGGACTGGTTCACAGAGTCGATATTAAATTCCACGTAATTCCTACGGCGTGTACGAGTCAGTTATCATTAGGGGTGAGAATAATGGTTCTTAATAAATTTACATCTTTTTAGAACTATCATTAGAGTTGAAACAACAAAATGCATTTCAAAATAGCAAAGTGGAGTAGTTTAAAATATATTAATAAGGACATGTATAATTTACAGTTATTGTAACTACGTTACTATTTTAAACATATTATATTATATTTCAAAACATTTTATTACGTTCTGTGCTAAGTTAAAGATGAAGTAGTGATTTTAAATAACATCAGCTTTAACTATTTACTAGCAGTCACTTAACTAATAATGTTGTCAAAGCTTGAATATGGTTTGGACAGATTTAAAAAAAAAATACATTCAAACATAATAAATAAACTATTATCTATTATTTTTATCGAATCGCAAATAATTTCATTAGCAAATAAAAAATGTTATTTATTATTTGATTTGAACGTTTGCAGATAATCGTAAAGCACATAGAAACGCTTTACGATGAACTGATCAAAAACTACAACCAAGCCAACGAGGGTAACGCGTGTCCGATGACTCAACTTCATAACGATTCCGGTTAGGACGACTACCGTATTTTAAGTAACGAGGGTGCGATCGAAACCCGTCGTCTAATGAATGTGTTTTGTGTTTCGATAGTGTACACACTGCTGGGCATACACATGTTGGAAACCGTGGCCAAACCCATGTTGCAAATGTTGGAGACCCAACGCGAAAGTTCCACGAAAAGGGTCCAAAGGCTGCAGGCGAAACTTGAACAGATATCGTTGGACGATGAGTACTATTGCGACGGCAAAAGGAGAACCCAAGAGAAACCATTCAACGACGACCGTGAAATCGCATCCGTCAGCGGTGCGCCGAAGAAACAACAGTCCGGCATGGTCTCTTCTCCCGTTTGAATTATGTGTTTACGTTAAGCGACACATTTTCATTTTTAGTACTGTTCAAACTTGTGTTTTTGTGTTTCCTTTGACAAGTGTGTCAGTGCACACACATGAACTCGTTCGATTATTTGCTTGAGATACAAATAATAAAATTTAACGCTTCTATAAAAATAAAACAACGCATGATTTCCTACATGAATATCTAAATAGTCCAATAATAGTTAAACTGCTTTTTTTTTTTTAACTTTAAGATTACACAAAAGCCCGATAATTGGGACAAAAAAAAAAAATAACCTACCAATAGATTTGATCGATACATCCGACCACCGTGTACTTAATTATAAAGTCGATAACGTTTGACGAATCCGTCCTTCGGACAATACTGGAAATTGTTTTTATTTTTGTACAAATATTTCTTTAGAGCACGGTTTGAGTAACAAAAAAAAAAAATAATAACTAATTATGAAGTTTTGACGTAAAATTTATAGTTCTTGTTTGACACGACAAACTGTTGCCAGAAATAACGTTATGTTTTGTCGGAAAAATAAAAACAAGGCTTTGTTAAATGTTTACATTGTTTTTTTTTTTTAATGTATTGAAGTATATATTTTATTTAAATACATATTTGTATTTATTTTGTTTTCATAATTAGATCAAAATATGTTTTGAGTAAAAATTAAAAACGCGTTTACTTGCCTGTGAAATACACTTTTTAGAAGAACTAGTTTTCACACTCAAATTTATACCAATTTATCTAATTTTATTTTTAAATCGATAATCATTGAAATTATATTATTACATGCCAAGTGTAAAACCGAGCACGAATCGATGATTTGTTGGAATATTTAAGACATTGTGTTATAACAAAACGGATATAATATACTCTGTTCAATGTCAAACAATGATTGTTAATAAAAATGTTGTAATAAATAAAGTAGTATGTTGCCCATTACTTTACGTTCTAAGTTCTCGGTAATACTTTTTATGGGCTACGTTAATCGTAAAGATACATTTTTAATATCGTCTGTTAGTAATAATTTATTAAAAAAATTCTTAATAAATATTTTTGACTGGACAGACAATTTTGTTCATAAAACCAAATGGAAAAACATAACCAATAAAAATGTTTGAATTGTGTTTGCGTTCATAAAATGCATTAAGCCGTTCCATAAAAGAGCTTAAATTTCTTAATTAAAATATTACTCAATTTATATATTGTTTGAAGAAACTGTTTTTTTATATTCAAAACGACTTCCGTCTTGAAGATGGTTTTCAGGTTTATTTAGAAATGTTAATGTTAAATGTTTTTTTCTTGTTATTTCTTTTAAAACTGTTGCCAAAACATCAAATAAAAAATTCCATCCAAGTTGAGTGCAAATTTAAGATTATGAAATTTGTTTTTTAAAATAAATTTTGTAATTATTCATTTACCTAATATTTCCTTTTCTCGGCAATCAAACTCTCAAAAATAGATATAAAATTAATTTTTATCCAATTAAAAATGTAAATAAACAAACTGTAACCAGTTAACAGGCTGTTATGATTTCTCCGCTTATGTATTTTATTACCAGCAGTTAATCTCTTCAATTCAAGAAAAAAATTCGTTTGTGTATACTTAAGCATTATGTTATATTAAAATAAAAAAAAACATTGTTTGACCCAACCAAATTTTGATTTTCTAGCTCAATAATTGTAAAAGTTTATTTCATAGGTAGGTTTCAACCTCACCATTCCATTAAAATAAAAATTCAATTAAGTACCTAATAGAAATGTTTAAATTAATAATGATTTGAATTTTCAAAAAGCCTGGACAAGCTTAATGCTCAATGTTCTCTTAAATAGATAGAAAGTTGATTCTAAAATCTAAGCTCATTAAAACAAGCTTGTCAAGAAAAATGAATTAAAAATAAATGGTGTATATAGGTTTTTTACAATTGAAAAAATATATAAACGGTTAATTATCAATTTTATCTTAAACTATAAGCAAGATGATTCTAAGCTCGTTAAAAAGATCTTGTCACGAAGATAAATTAAAATATGTATTAAAACAGTTAAAATACAAGTTTAGAGTTTAAATATTTAAGAGTCTTACAGTTGAAAAAATTGTCATTTTTTACTAAATTTGACTTAATCCATTCAGATCTCTGAAACCGATGAACGGATTTTGTTATTTAGGGTCTTGTTAAAATCATCTTGACAAGAAGAAGAGGTTCATTACAGAGCTTTAAGGTTGCATATGATAAAAACACATTTCACCCTCCTCTAAATGTTCATACTTTTTTTAATTTAAATGGTTAGTTTATAAAAGATTAAATAATTCTCAAAAAATTCAAAATCAATAAAATCTACATGCCGACACCGACTTGACAAACGTTTTTTTTTTTATCAAAACAAATAAAAGTACTTTCATATTATTGATTTAAACTCCCATTATTCTTATTATTTTTCTTTTAAATTTGTAAAACTTAATGAACAACGAATGCAGGCAAAAGCGCGTTGTTGATTTGCACAAGAAGAAAGAAGTTCGGTTAGAAGAAAATGGATAAAACACGAAGACAAACACATTGAACAGAGACTTTCATCAGAAAGAGAAAAAAAAGGTTGAAATTTGGGGTTATCAAAAGAAACAAATATATATATATATATATATAATTCATACATCCAAATAACAGACTAATTAATTTTCAAAGGTTTATATTCAAACCATTCTCTGACGGTCAGATTCAAATGCCATTGCATTGTGTGTGCATATTGTTTAAATTCAAAAACCGTAGTATTTTGCATACTTTATTTCAATCTGTATTTGTGTATAGCACTTTAAAACTATTGTCAACGTTACAATTTTATGAATACTCATTAGGTGAAATTTAGGAAGGGGGCGGTGGGGCTTGGGATACTGAAAACCTTAAAACTACTTAAAATTATTGTTTTTTTTTTCTTTCAAAATACAGTCGTATACCGATTGGTACCTTCGGCCATTTCCCTTCTTTCTCTTTTTTAAATCCAAGCATAAAAGTAGAAAACTATAATACCTATACGTTGACCTCGATTCTTATACACGATACAAAAATCAAATATATTATTATATTATAAAATAGGTAAACGGACAAAAAACCCGCATTGACCAAAGCATATGTATAATAAAAAAAACTACACGGGCTGGTCACAACAAAACATGCTCCTTGCCGGAGCAACTTGTTTTTTTTTTTTTAAGCATTTTTTTTTTACGCGTTAATTTGTTTGTCCATTACAAATAATTACAGTAGTATTACTGTTGTTGTTGTATCATCCACAAGGAGGCGATGGGAATACAAGGAAAACGGAAACCGGTCATCGCCTCGACCGTGGCACGAGTCAAGGCCGGTATATGAGAATATGTGTGGGCATTATTTTGTGTAGCCCCTTCCAATGCCACGTCCGTTGACCTACTGAAACAGTTACAGCTGAGGCTGAGCAAATGTGTCTTAGCAGCGGTTCAGCAGCAGTCTCCACCAGATTGTGAGTTTTGCTAATTGACTTTGCGAGCGATTTTCATTTTTTATTTATTTGTTTTGTTAGTCAGTAAATTTGGTACAACGAATCTGTCCGACCAAAAATATAGGTGCCGGTGTGTGAAAATGATCACCGTTGTCATCATCATCTCTGGCGGCTGCAAAAAATGATACTCAAGACGTCGATATTCTTCCTGGTCGTCGTGTGCACCGCAACCGCGATATTCTACGTTCAAAGACTGGACTTGACCATTTTCAAAAACCGTAAGTACCGGTAGTTTGCCAGAATTTTTCACAGGTCCAGAAATCTGAGATATCTGAAATTGGCTTGGGATTATCCAAAAAGAAAACCCTGAGACTTTTCAAATTAGTGTTGCGTTTACGTTTAAAACACGAATTTCTGGCTGAAAAAAATAAAAATTTTGGTGTTTCGAAAAACGCTAACCTTTAAAATGCACTTTACAGAGTTAAATTTGTGCGGTTATACTACCATTTTCTTAATGTTCACAATGATTGCCCATGTTCAAACCCATATGTACTTTGCTGCTTTCGTGCGCAAGCCGTTTAATAACTGATTAAATTTTAAGATAAATTGTAGTTGTATCTCTCGAAAATCGAATGGCTTATTTTTTTTAAAATGGAACGTGTCCAAACGATTGCCTCGTTCAGACTTTTAACTTATACCTTTCACAAACGAGTACCTGTGTTTAAAATTTTATCTAAATTCTTCATCAAATAGCATCAGCAGTGGTGTAATTTCACAACTGAACCGCTATGTACAGAGAGGGCCCATGTCCAGATTTAACATTTTAATACCAAATTTTTTTAAATTTTATATACCTATTAGACTATCGGAAATTTTGGGAAAATAAGTATAGGTACACGTTTTATAACATCTGGTAGATAGTAATTTTTCTAATAACTATATAATAGGACGCCACCTTTATTAAAAGTTTTAGTTATTATATTTATAACAAAATCAGTTTATCTAATAAGCATTCACTGCATCCATTGTTGCATTTCTTCTTCAATGTGCATTGAAAGGTTTTACTTACTGTTACTTTTAACAACAACAATTAGATACAAATATTTGCAATAGCCTTAATTCATCTTAAAATTAAATCTTATAGTTATTAAACAGTTTGCACGCGAGAGCTGCAAAGCACATGGACTTGTATGGACAATCATTATAAACTCTAATGAAGTTAGATTAGTTAGTTTAACCACAAAAATTTGACTATCCAAAGTACGTTTTAAAGGTTTATTAAGTACAGTTTAATATATGATAAATTGTGAAACACCAAAATAAGACTGCAATACAACAGATGTTCTGGTACAGCTTAGCTTTGAGATAGACATAAAATTAAAATTAAAATACATTTAGCTTTAAATTAAAATCAAACTCGACTTAAATTTAATTTAACTTGATAAGTAACGCGGAAAGCTTATAAAACTAATTTTGAAAAATATATTATAATTTGTGTTGGAAAAAAAAATCATTTTTGTGTATTGATTTGTTTTTTTTTTTACTTTTACTTTTACATACAAATATCTGACTTCTTAGCTAAACGCATTGGACAACTTGTAATATTCTAAGCAATACATTTTAAATGTTCACTCGTGTAATATTTTATGGTACAAGTTTTAAAGTTTCTCATGGTAAAATATTATTTTGTAATACAGATTTATTTATTTATTTTTCTAATTACATTAAGTATACTTTTCGATGGCCGAAATTATTTTCATTAACGGTCTTTCGAACATTTAATTAAGTCACAAGGCACTTTGCTGATGAGGCTAAGTTAATTAAACAAGTAAATTGCCCGAAATGCGCTTATTTAATTTTCAAGATGATTAAATTAAATTAAATTAAATATATTTTGTAATTTCTGCGCTTTTATTAAAATTATATTATATTATAAATAAACTTAAAATGTAAAATTACCTATAGTATATATACTTTAATATTACCTCGTCAGTTTTACATTTTTTAAATTTAAAGCCATTTTGAAATGTACTATCCTCAATTGCCTGCATTGTCTGCCCATTGAACTTGTCTCTTTATACACACACACATTTTATTACTTTTCTATTATAAATAAATCCTCAAAATCACTACTGTAGCAATATTGGCTATTAATTAATTCCACTGACATTAGATAGCTGTTGTCAATGGTAAATGTGTATGTTTTTTGTCCAACAGTGTGCACTTTATACCTATCACGTAGAAAATATCGGATAAGGTTTGTATTATTAGCTTTCTGTGTAAACCAACAATAGACAAAGGTCAAAATCAGCGTTACAATAACATCTACACCGTGTTGTTCTACATGTAAACAGTCTAAGAAAAACGTCAACGAATTAAAATCGCATTACATTATTATTTATTCGGTTCAAACGACATTATGCACAGCAAGTTTTTAGTTCTAGTTTGACTAATACCGCACCTTAATACCATCTGTTGTGTTAACTAATGGCGACTGGTGGCCGGACAATATTGTAAAATGGATAAGTGTATAAGGTGCTCGCATTAATTAGTCGACCGTTGAAGTTCTTAATTAACAGATTAATGAGAAACCGCATTAAATATTCAGATTGTCTCCTTGTACAGTCTACTTAACCTGATTTGCATAACTACAGCTGTGTATATGTATTATACATTAATTGAATTCGGTCTGATTACGTTGGTTAGGTACTTTCCTAACTGTTGTGTCTCGTCCCAGAACATCCTAATGGGTAAAGTCGACACAGGGTAACCGGATTTACAAGTTCAAGCCTTACCTACACCGCGTGGTTCATCTAATGGATGATTAAAAAAAAACCAGATAAAAATGTCCACAATACACACACACACACAACAAGGTTATCGACATTTGGTGTTATTTTCCCTAAAAAAAAAATAATTGTTTCAGTTAAAACAAAATAAATCCAAGTAAAATCGTTATTAAACGAAAATTACTATGTAAAAAAAGGGTTATTTTAAATGGTGCGTTTAGATTTATAGCAATGATATAATATGATCTGAAAAAATAACCTGTCCATACCCAGATTTGGCCTAAACATTAAACGCTAATAACCCCCCCCCCCCACCCAAAAAACAAAACTTTTACAAAACTGTGTATCGACAAGTCGTTATTGTTTTCTATAAAATTCTAACATATTAAAATAGAATTTTAGACTTTAAATCACTGTTTGACGTTTATTAATACTAAACGTACTAAACTATAAAAATGAAGTAATTACAATGAAATTACAATGAAGTAATAAGGTTTTGAGTGTTTCCTTACTAAAAAAAAAAAAAAAAGTATTTTCTTTTAAATTTTAACATAGAATATGTTTTTGCCATGGCCCTTTCTGTTAATGTTTCATTACTATACGTTAGATCCACCAGCTGCTGTCTAGTCTGTCTTATCCGTCTAGTTTTCGCAGACCTTTCAAAGTCGAAAAAACTTTGGCCGAGGTTAAGTTAGAGATTAGTTTAGGAAGAGCGAAGAATAAAAAGTAGGGAAAAGTTTCTACACCTTCTGGGAAAAAGGGTTACCGCTACTGGGAACTTAGTTATCCAGTGCAAATCGACGGGTCTATATAAATGATATTATCCTGAAAACAAATCTTTGACAGAGACTGTCTTTCACGGTTTTAAAGGATAAATAGGGAGAACTTTTCCAAGTTGTTGGGCCAACAAAGAACCGCTTCTGGTTTATAAATGTATGAATAAGGCAATCGGTTAAAAAGTTATCTTACCACATCGTCATAGTAACAGCTATGAAACACAATCCTTATTTTCCATTGACTTCACACAACAACAGCTATAATACAATAAAAAAAAAATACATAATATACTTTATGCATTGAAACAAATGTTTTTTGAAGGGACGAGTGGATAAAGGTGATAAGTGACATTGTTTTTTTTTTGTAACATAGTTTTTTAGCTTAAAAAATTTGAAAAGTTCCAAACACAAATGTCAACACATAATATACATATTGACTAAAATGTTGCTTTCTGGACAGTTTTGAAATGTGACAACGAACACCTTTCACCCTTTTAAGTATAATAATGTGTTATGGGTATTGTTAATTGTTTAACTTTTCAAACGGAAAATGATGTTTGAAATTCGCCAACGTGCCAGCCTAATATTATAAAAGTTTTTTCTAGACAGCTGTTTGAGCGGTACAAAAATTATTAATCAGCCTTTATTGGATTTATTCGAAAAAGGTCATCAATCAACGGCCGCGCAGAATTAAAAATATAGATATTGCGCTGCCTCCTAATCGATGACTGATGATTTTTCATTTTTTTTTTAATTATAATTTTAATTTTAAAATACAAACGACTTTTAACGTGAAACCCGTTTTGCATCCAAAACCGTACTTGAGTGTATATATAGAGGTCGATGCCATCAAAAAGTGAATTACTCATCAAACGCGCATAATGGCCACTACAATAATAATAATAATAAGTACCTTCCTAATGGACTTTCTAATGAAATTCTGGGTCACAATGCCATTATTTGTCTTGCCGTCACGATTATGCTTGTAGCAAATTTATATACACACAAATACCTCCATTGAAACCTGTACTTGGGGCTTGGTCGTTTGATCTAGACCGCAAATCAGAGATGTAAATTAGCCGCATTTAGCCGGAGCTTTAATTAATTGTCTATCTGTTTGTCTCCGTTCGAAATAATTTATTTTCCAAGTCAAATTCCAATCTATTGTAAAACTATTATTATACACATACACCCAAACGATCCTCTCTGTCGCCCAATTACTGTTTACTATTTTATTTAAAACGTTTTTTATCTTAAAAATAAATATGATACATTTTATTGGTACTAAACATTTCACATAAAATGAGTAAAATACATATAAGTTTTTATTGCCATTTATTGTTAACACTAAATTAGTACAAATTACAATCGTACAATTTGGCTCTCTTAGTACATATTGGAGTGTATAAAAAATAATAATTTAACTTAATGTATAACAATGCACGCTTAGATTAAAAACTATAAAAATCATTTTCCATTAAAAACATCAGCTATATGTGGATAACGTTTAAACTTTGGGACATAAAATTACTTCAGTCATAAAAATAAATATAATATACTAAATTATGTTTTTTTAAATACTCAACTGTTAGAATTGCATACATAATATTAAAAAAACCACACATTTAAAACTACTAGAGTGAAACAGAATATTAAAGAAAACCGATTAAAAGATAACAAAATTGAGGTCATTATTCTAAAACAATATCTTTCAAAAGTTTCAAACAGGATTGAATTTTCGAATTTTGTCCACATTTTTGGTTATCAAATGTATGAGTGACTGTTGTCTTTTTAGAGTAAGTTTGTTTTTAAATTTAATTAATATTATTATATTTATTAAAGTAACACCTAAAATGGCAACCAGTACAGCAAATAATATACATTGTTTAGGTAATATGAAGTGAAATATAAAATATATGAGTACCTACAACATAACTGAATCCTTAAAATAAATAATTTACTATAAATATAAACTATTAACGGATTTGCTAAAAAAATTGTTTTTTTTTTTTAAATTAAAATTTTAAATGTATTATAGTGGGACTTTAGTAAATTAAATATATCACTAGTGATACACCGTGCATCAATAAATGTAAAATAATAATTGTATTTCCACCATACAGCTCTAATATTTGGCAACACGATAAAACGAATTTGATTTTTTTATTAATTTATTTCCAAACTACAACAAGTAACCATACTATAGACGACATGTTATTAAAAACATTAACTTAAATAGTATGCGAAACGGTTGTTGTTTTCTACTTTGTCATTCGACAATGCCTTTAACGCACAGTAGTGTATAATAATAGATGATACATACACTTGAGTGCTTGTTTGCTTAAAGTATCACGGATATGATATGATACTCATCAAAATTGTTTTTAACTCTGTCAAGTTCTTCGGTGCTCTAGCATTTCTAATTGCCTCTGTACAAGGTTTTGAAAGGTATTGGTTCAAGAAATCCTACACAGTTTTTTCACAGAAAATAATAAAATAATATGACAAGCGCGTGGGCGTTTATAAGTGGATTCGGTTTAATTTAATAAGGCCCGTGGTCGTTGTTATTACAATGTAGCTGTAGGCATATTTTATCTATACATTGATGTATGCGTATTTTTTTTTTTTTAATAGTTCCAGACGACAACATGGAAGACAGTTCGCGTTCCTATCTGGAGCGGTTGACGTACCTGGAGAGGCAGGAACGCGTGTCTCAGGTGTGCCGTTTGTACAAATTACCAATCAACTACCGTATCAACGACACGACGCTTCTTGAACACATCCTCGTGGACAATCGTCACAAATTGCTCTACTGTTACGTGCCCAAGGTAAACAAACATTAATATATTTATTTAATAAAAGCATATTATACTGTTTAACATATAAACGCCGCCACGATTTCAAAACATGCACAGGAAGGTAGTCTAACCTAACCTGGAAGGCAGCCATTTTGTGTACATACCGATTTCATGGAAAGTAAAAATCGTACCGCACTTTTCCATGATAAATATAAAACACTGTAGGTTAAACGGCCCATATTCATCAAAGGATGAATGGCAATCATTATGGGTGACTGATGAATTTTAAACATGTTTGATTTTTTTCTCGTTGTCAATCATAACGGTTGGCAGCCATGACTGATCATGTGTGTAGATACTGATGAGTGATAAACGTTGTCACTTGTCAGTCTAAACAAATTTATTACTTTCTAAAATAATATTCAATGACATTTGACTGATCCATCCTGAAGTTAACAATAACTCGTTAGGATATTGTGAATGTTGCTCTTTTAAAGAATCAGTATATGTCATACCCAGTGGACATTTTCATATGCATTCATTATATCGAGTTCAGTTGTCTTAGATGACCCCTCGAGACGGAAAAGGATACCTTTTGAGATCCCTTGTTAATTTCGCCTGTCTTGAATACAACATGTTCGCACATCTGCTACCGGCAAAGACGAGGAATAAATTAGATCTCTGCTTAAAAAATAATATGCCCACAGCTTGCTAGCTATAAAATGAATACACCGTATACATTATGATTTATGTGTAATGATATTATAATATCACCACAATATAATATGTACAGTGTGATCAATTTAACGTTAGACACTCATTTTCTCGGAAAAAAACATTTTGCAATTTTGAAGTTTTTCATTATGAAAACATTTTTATTTAAGTTATTTTAAATCATTATACTATTACCTACTTAAAATTAAAAACCTTTGAGCTTCGACGTTTAACATTTTTATGGCTTGTAACTTGTTGAACGCGGTTTGAAACGAATTAAATTAAAAATAACAATACAAGTGATTCATTAAAGATAACACATATTTTATTTCCAAGTATATTCTTCCATATGGTATTAACTGCTTAAAACTGCTGAAAAAGATTATAATTAAAATAATTCTAAACATAGCCACTAAAAGACTATTTGAAGAATTTTAGTTGTTCTCTGCACAACAACTATTTTATAGAAGTACCGTGATTTCACATACCAATTTAATTTAAATGATTTTAAACTAATGTACTACAATACACGAGTCACGGCACACAAATAACTTAGAAATTCCTACTACCTATCCGAACGTTGAAGTCAAGCCGAGGTTTTTCACAAGTAGGTCTAAATTTGATAAATTTTGTTATGAAAACCTAATATCGGATTTTTCAAAATGATATACATTTTCCCCACCGAAAAATAATTATCTATTTTGTTATTACTTTTGATGTAATATTTTTACTAATAAAACATCATCTCGTGGTAGGAGTTTTTAGATTTTTTCTATATTGAATGTTTTATTTAAATCTAAAACTAACAAGGATTGCAGTTAAATACTCATAATCTACCTTAGTGTTATAGTTTTTTAAGTAAATACATGTATTCCAAAAAAAAAAGGGCGATAGTGGTAATAACGGCCTAACCTAACCCATGTAATAACGTAACCTAAATAACACTTCCATTAAAGTATTTTTGAACAAACCCTTTGTATGATAGGTTTATACTGATAACATGTTTATTACTATAATTTGTATGATTTTTAAGAATTTTTACTATTTTCTATTATATTGCATGTATATTTTGGTGACTGGTATTACACCGCTGTAAAAGAATGGCGATCATTTGTATCTAGTTATTGAAAAAAAAAAATACATTTTACTTAATTTAAAAATCTGAAGCTTATACACATAATACCTAACAACTTTATAGTTAGTTCGTATTCAATAAATAACAAACTATTTAGACTTTAAGTTTAGTATCTCTAAGATTAGAGATAATAGATATGGATTATGGAGGGTCATTCTGAAAACAAAATTAAGAGTACAACACACTTCATGCAGATACAGGACTGTCAGATACAGTCAAGTTGCAGGATATATAAGGATAGTCAAAGACCAAGATATCAGGACGTATCCATGTATTGATGTTTCTGCATGAAGTGAGGACACTCAGTTGTCTTGAAACGGTTTTTTTATCAACTAAATTTTTTGACGTATATCCGAGTCCGGAGATATTTCTTCAAGTAGCTGCTGCTCCATATGGTCAACAAGTTAAAAAAGGTACAATAAATATTGTTTTTTTTTCTCTCCAGGTGGCTTGCACCAACTGGAAACGGGTGTTCATGGTGTTGTCGGGCGGCGCCAGGGCGCCGGACGCGGCCAGAATCCCGGCGGACGTGGTGCACAAACCCGGCACGCTGGACCGGCTGAGCGACTATCCGGCGGCCGCGGCGTCCGAAATGCTCAGCACGTACACCAAGTTCCTGTTCGTCCGGCACCCGTTCGAGCGGCTGCTGTCCGCCTACCGGAACAAACTGGAACAGCGGCACGACAGTTCCCGGTACTTCCAGTCCCGGTTCGGCCGGCGCATTGTCAGGCGGTACCGGGCCAACGCCACCGAACGGTCGCTGCGCAACGGCGACGACGTGACGTTCCCGGAGTTCGCGGCGTTCGTGGCCGACACGCGGGACAAGGTGTTCAACGAACACTGGGCGCCCATCGACCAGCTGTGCAGACCGTGCGCCATCAACTACGACTTCATCGGCAAGCACGAGTCGCTGTTCCCGGACTCGGACTACCTGCTCAAGCACATGGTCGGCGTGGCCGACGTCAAGTTCCCCAAGGGGCCCGACTCCAGCACGGCCACGCAGCTCAACAAGTACTTCACCTCGCTGGACCACAACACCATACTGCAGCTGTACAGCATATTCGAGTCGGACTTCAAGCTGTTCGACTACAACTTGCAGAACATACTGGGCTACGAGGTCGGCTGACCCGGTGCGGACCGGCGGTTGGCTGCACCGTCCGCCAATCAGAACCGATTGCACGGACGTCGATTCTGATTGGCGGACAGTGGCCCGATTAGGAGTGACCGGCTCCAACCGGAGAGCCCAAAATACAATCGGAGAACCGCCAACTGGGCTGTGATTGGTCGTCCTAAATTTTGGTTAGGTTTACACGTTATGTCACAATGATAGACTGGAAGCCGGAATACATGAAACCTTTTATTAAGGGGAACGAAAAGCGCCAGATTGTATACGAACAAAGCCATAAGCGTGAAGTCACTCAATGAAATGTCTACCAAAATCAAAAAATCGGTCTTAGCCCCCATAGAATAAATAATAAGCTTCAGATAAAAAAAAAATACTTGAAATCCGTCCAATAGATAGGCCAGAAATGACTTCGGCAAAAGTAATTTTTAATCACACCTTTTCCATAACCCGGAGAAAATAACTTAAAAAGTTTATTAACAAGAAAAACTTAGTATTTTTTCACTTTAAAATTAGTTGGCATTTTTACAATAGCTACTTAATAGCATTTTTTGTCAAATATTGTCTATCTTTTACCCCCTAATAAATAGCCCCCCCCCCATTCCCCTTAAGAGGACGTCATACCCTTTAAAAATAAGTGTGTAAGTCAAAGCGAAATGGTCATAAAAAACAAATGTCGATACCGTTAAAAAGCGAAGAACTTTAACTACCAAAAATAAGTCCTACTAACAGTACTAATAGTTATATACCACAGTTTAATTCTTATATATGGATTTTATAAAAAAAATTGCCTAAACTTTACTCCTTACAAAATGGGCGGAATGATAGACTCTTAAATAAATTAATGATAACATTTACTGAGCCACAAACAGTTTAATAAAAAAAGATGCCCGCTTATATAATAAATTGAGTAATTTACTGACATTATGTTAAAAAAAATTATAATGCCGTCAAATTTCTCAAATAAGATTTCACGACAATATTTAATTGATTAACCTTATTTTTAACCTTTACTAATAAAAAAATCGCATCGATAATTGATTTAACCGTCGACCAGTTGTATATTGTAAGAAACCAATAAGTCAAGTCATCAATTTATGTGTATTAAGCTTTGTGACATAACCGAAAAACAAGCATAATATCATATTTCAACTAAAAAAAAAAATATAAAACTCAAATAATCAAAAACGAATGGACGATACAAACCCGGTTGGCTATTTTCTGATTGTATAGATTCCATCAGCTATATTATAACTACCTATGTATTTTAGAACGACCTATTTTTTTTTTTATTGATATTTTATTAAAAGATTGTATTTTTTTTTATCGTTTTACTGAAACAATACCAATATGTATCTACTGCGTGTACTGAGCGATTCGAGTGGAGAGATAAAAATAATAATAATCATTTTGTCTTAGAAAAAAAAAACGAACTCCGTCGATCGGTGAATAAGATATTGTATTATGGTATTATTATTATAACCCTCTGTGTGTGTGTGCTCTGAGTTTGGAGAGGAAAAATAAAATTCTATTACACATTTTGTGATATTACTGAAAATACGGCTATAATTGAATTTCTATTTCTCATCTCCACAGAATCCCCGGGTTCCGAGAAGAAGGAGAAGTTCGAGCAGGGCTATACTGTGCGTTATATAATACAAACCTTATCTAGTTAAAAATAATGAATAACAAGAAGACGACGGGATCACGGTCCTCAGCCCAAGGGAGTTGATGCCCTTTCGGCACTGTATTCCAGAGAGGTAGGTATTTGTCAATAAGTATAATATATATCCCATCTATATGATCGAATTATATAAGAGGAGTTAACAAGGTTTGCTTAAAAACCATTTTGATATCCTATTATTTAAATGCATTCGTTCATTCGATATAAGCCAGACTACCTATATAGGCGAGGCCACCGCGTATAGTACATAATTCCGGCTGAAATAAACATTATTTAAATCCGATTTGGGATTTTTTACACTACATATAGGTATTATTATTATTATAATATTATACACAAAGTAAAACCAACCGAATTTTCTTCGCCATTATAAAAGAGTATTTCCATTATTTTGTTCATAATATATTAAAAAACATTTTTAGTAAAAAAAAAAATGAATTTACTACAGTAAATCTCCAGAGTTAGTTAATATTGAGATTGTAAACAAAAGGGGAAAACAAGTAAACATCTATTTTTTTCCCCCGGCACATATTATATTAATCAAAATGTTTTCATATTTGAATTGAACGTTTAAAATAACTACTACTTTTTCACATTACACATATTTACATTACAATATTTTCAGTAAAAAAAAAAAAATACTATTTATCCAGTGAATTTAACAACAACGTCTTATCTCGGTTGAAAATTATTACCATTTCAAAGTTCAAAACTGGAATAACCGCATATATTAAACGATGACTTAATACATATTGAGGTCACCAAGATTGATAGAATTGAGTAAAAAAAAAAAAAATGGGAAAAAACCAAAACTTTAAACGAGCTTTGTAAACAAAAAAAAGTGACAATTTTTTTTTTTTTTATTACTGAACAATGTAATACACAATGTGTAATGCGCTAAATACTTAAGAGGCCATAAACCGCGTTTTGTATGTAAGTATCAAAGCCTTCTTTTGTACTCAACGGCACTTATATATATATATGATAAAATATATAGCAATCTAAAAAGTCAATAGCCTCTATACTAGTTACTTTGTGTGTAGGTTTATTAATAAATTGAAAAGCACCGGAGAAGTGTACTCGAAAGACATTTTTTTATTTGCTTTGCTCGTTCGCAGACGTATGTCGATGAAATAAATAAAATGTTTTAAAATATATATACAATAAACTAATCATCAGCAAACAGAAATGTTTCTATTTACAAACGGTATTATTCAGGTCTTAGTCTTGTGTATAGTACAACACGTGTAAGTGATATAAAATTAGAATTGGACAAAGTACTTACTGAAAACTAAATGGCCACTTCAAATGTAAAGACGGAACAAAAGGTTCGCACAAATTGTAATATAATTAATTGAAAAATAACGAATAAAAAATGAGTGTAACGACCACTACTGCCAACTTAATACCAACTACTTATCTATACACGGTAATTGGGTAGATCTTGAAATTATTGAGCCTTTGGTAGTTTTGAAAATGTATACATTTCATTTTAGAGAAAAAACGCTCTTATATGCACAACTGCGGTTATTGGAAGAAAACCAATCTGGTAAAAAAAAAAAGTACACTTTGTTACCTACATAATATTATTCAGTAGGTAATAAGTTTGGGAAGGTTGGGTGGTCCAACTAACGTAAGACACTGTATGTTTTCTGAAAATAAGAATATTTTGAAAAAAAAATGTTCCTTAACTTTTAGGTAGATATTTTACTACATTTTCTACAATATTTTGAAATTTTTTATCACAAATCCTTATGAGCCAAAAAGGGGGATTTTTGGTTTTTTTGAAATGGCAACGTATTATGTTTTTAATTACATAAATGTATAGACAAAAAATTTAAAAATTTGAGTGTCTTGCGTTAGTTGGATCACCCTGTATATACTATTATAAATACATACAAACATTTTTTCATTCCAAAATTGCCAAATAGCAAAACGTATTTACCGAAAACGCCTTTGGGGTTATGGTTTTGGCCGTTGTAATGTTTAGCGCTTATAGAGGATTGCCTTTGACGTGTACAAACATAAACATTTTTTTTCCAATATAATATATATATATATATACTTTTATAAAAACATAAAAAGGTCAATTCGGTCGAATCGTGAACATATTTCGAGCAAGGTAATGGTTTTCATTATTTTCCTTTATTATATTGGCAATACGGAACAGCCAACGGGAGAAATGCAATAGTTTGACTTTTATTTTTTTTGCACCGTCATAAAGCTGACAACAAATTGGTAGTACCTTTTGTTTTTAATAGGAAAAAAACACTGACTTTGTGCATTGTAAAAAAAAAAAATTTCTTCTCGTTTTCACTACAACCTTTTTATGGACACTTCAATAGACAATAATATTATTGTAATGGGATGTCTTGGTAAAAAAAATATATTTAATTAATTAAGATCTGTATAAAATATGAAGAAAAAAACAGTCAAAGTCAACATCGTTAAGCATCTCGTTATGTATTTGTTGTTTTTAAATTAAAATTGTATTATTGTTATCTAAACAAACAAGTTTTTTCATAATAACAATACAATACAAAACATACAAAATGTTAAAAATTGGATTACAATATTGCAGCACTCCCCCTAAGTTCTTATAAATTCAAATTGTACACAACACCAATACAAAATAAAAGTCAATACATATTTTTAATAAGATAATAATAATATACCTTGTTATAAATCATTTATAAATATTGGCAATACATTTATAGTAAATGTATTCGGATGAATTTAGGTATTTAATTTTTTTTTAAGCGATTTAAAATATTCAAATTTATGTTTAACAAACAACTAATATTTTAAGAAATCGACTGTTCCATTTTTTTACACGAAATTTAACTATTGTTATCACAGAAATTACTAGTTATATTATTAACTAATAAAATAAGTATTGTCTGTACCTCTAAGTGGTGAAAACGTGTAACCAACTGGTTTATTCAAAAAGGTAAAACGTCTAAAATATAGTTTATAAGTGTTTTATCGATTTTTACAAAGTATAAATATGTTATTTTGAACGGACCATAATTAAGAAACTACTATAAACTGTCTGACTGAGTATTATCTGTGCTAATTGATGAATAAGTTTAATTTTGACATGCTAAGTATATTTTGAAATAAACAGTGCGTTGAAAAAGTCTAGAAAGTTTGTCACTATAAGATTTAAAAAATGTCATCATTTTAGTATTAACCACAACAAAAATGAATAAACATCTGAATTTGTATAAAATGTAAAGCTAATGTAATTTCTTGTAAAAAAATGCTAACATATATGAACGTAACGAGCAGAGTCAAATGATATCGAAAATCTTGTAATGTCATTAAGAAAATTGCATTACATTTCCTAAGAAACATGTCCAAGACTGAGGTAATAATGCATTCACGCTTAATGGACGAATTAAAAATATTTAAGGGGGTGGTTTTTTTCAGATGGAATAGACAATTTTTATATTTTCATATTTTTCACTAAAACAACAGGACGACAATATCAATTCCAATAAAACTAAGCCATTTTTTTTTCTTACATTTAAATATTTCTTGATAACATATTGGTTCCAAGTGGTAAAGGCTGAAGTAAACTTTTGACAAAACGTTTAAAGTCATTTTACAAATAATTATAATATACTATCTTCAATACCTATCCTATACTTGCTCCTCATAATAAAAATGTTTTAAATTATGAAAAATACAATTTTCTGCCTTTTGTTATAATGTAGATTTCTTTTTGAGAACTGAAAATGTTATCTGAGACTATGGGAAAAATATATGAAACCCAAAATAATATAAAAATTGATACCATAATGAATCTGGTTGATCTCCTTAAAAAAATATAAAATTGTACATTTTAATGAAACGCATAAATCGGTAATTTTATCAAAACTCATTCCAGTAGCCAACGCAACGTAGGAAAGGACATTTTCTTATCTAAGAAGACTTATTTGTATTTTATTGTTATTTATACATTTAATTAAATTATGTAACTAATTTTACGGTATTTTTTTTTTAAATTAAACTTACTGGCAAAATTATAAAATAACATATTATTAGGTTGTATATATTTTGTAGTAATGATGTACGTAGTCACCTCCCTCCATTAGCCTATATAACTACCTAGTTTTTTATAATGAAAAAAAACGTCCAGTGATTTCCAGCACACATTTTCACAATTCCATTATATTTATTATCAATTGAATGTTTCCCCGCAGAGTTCTCACCAGCAGTGATATTATTGCACCCTATTCAAAACACGGTTGTTATTCCAAGTATAAATTAACTGCCCAAAAATAATTCTTGTTACTAATCTGACGATTACACTAATAAAAAAAAAACAATAATTAATCAAAGGACATTTTGGTATTTACAACGCTCTAATGTTTTTTTTGAACGCTTCGACGTGGAAGCGTTTATTTAAAAGTGATTATCACACTCCCTCACAGCTGTGCTGGCCATTTAAAAACTCATTCGGAGCGATTTTATTTTCCAATTATTTATTTGCGTTATGAATTATTATTAGTAAAATATTGAAATTATTCGTGCACCTGTTTGTTTTTCAATCCATTCAAATATTCATCCCGAACAACTTTGTATTAATTTATTCCAATAGTCATACTGCAAACAACTGATAAACGAGGTGCCTTCTGGAGACAAGGCTGCATATTTTACACCGTTTTATCATAATCATTATTATTATTGTCCAGCTTTTGACCAGATTTCTAACAGCTGGTCTGAACAGAATGCATTGTGTACACTATTTGTACAGTTATTAATATGTCCAAAACGGTTTTATCTTAACAAATACAATACTTGTACATAAAATCCCGTGTGTTTCTACTAACTAATATCAATCTAACGAACAAAATTATATTATTTTGTTTTTTATTTCCTTTAGTTATATATAGTACATTTTGTCAGTGTTAAAGTTCAATATGATACGCTGGCGTACCAAAAGTATACTAATCGGATTATAGCTGATAACAGTAATCATCGTTTTTTGTTATTTTTGCCTAACAAATAGTAAAAAAAAAAAATAAAACATATTATAAGCATTAAAAAAGAATATTCTGAATAACCATAATTGAATTGTTGTCGTTACTCTAAAAAAAATGTATTAAAAAATCGACACTTGTATAGTTTTAAATTTTGTATTATTAATTTATGTGTAATCCACTATGTATTGACTTAAGAGAACGCTGTTCGACTGTCATCGGTAACAGCAGTTCTATTGAATTCACCGAATTTTCGATAGAAAAATAGAGCAAAATATTATTATCAGCTTAAACAGTATGCTCGAACGTGGACGGTTTTTTGAAATCTAAAAATGCAGATAAAGCTCTGCTCTACCAGTATAATATTATTATTGTGATGTTGATTTTACAGCAATCCAACACACCGTGGTTCTGATTCGCGCAAAACGGTTTTAATAGAACAGAAAGAAAATTACTAAAATAGTGTTTTCTATAAAAATGAGACTGCGGCGGTCTGACAAAAAAAAAAATTACAACCAATAAAAAAAAACCCTGTATTCAGAGATAAAACCGTTTCCACGAAGACACAGCGTTAAAATAAGTACAATGCTAAAAATCACAATACTTCCAATAAAAAAATGTTTTAAAAAAATCCAACAGTTGTTTATCACAGGAATGAGATATAATTTAATAAAATAAAAAAAACTAAAAAGTAATAATAAGATGTTATGCAAAAATCTGGATTTTTTTAAAAAAATACTACTTTACCCATTTGAAAATATTATAAACACAACATTTAAAAATGTGTTCAAATAAAAGGTTGCCGATGAAAATGTAAAAATTAAACAAAACGCCAAAAAGTTAAATCGATTTTAAATCCGAAAACCATTAATTGTTAAAATTGAGCGGTTTTTTTTATTTGAAATTTTCATCAAAACGTTGTGCTTAGTTACACAGCTTTATAATGCAATACTATTTAATGTTTTTCAGAGGCTTAAGTAGCGTTTTTTTTTTAGGAATTTAAATTTTGAGATTTCCAACACTAATAATTGAGACACGTATACAGAACAAAGGCCCAATTTATTTGTTCACCTAAAGCTACTTTTCTAGGTACATTTTTTTGTAAAGAAAACTTTACAATTTTGCCTAATTATTTATTACCACCAATCGAAGGGTCGATTTAATCTGTCAAAAGTCCACTGAAAAAAATAAACGAACATTTGAAATTGTGCTCTTGTTCTCGGTAAACGTCTCCGTCTGTATAGTGTATTCTCCGAGAAATGAAACACTTATTTTACATAATATTATGTGTTCGCCAAAACGTCTTCGGTTAGGTTTTTTTTTTCGGTATAAACGGACAGTTTTTTTTTTCCCCTATCTAGCCCGTTGTACGTATGACATGTATGTATGTACGTAATGCAGGTGCACGACTACTTGCGGGGCAAATTTTGAGAACCCACCGGTGACGTCAGTGGTAAAAAAATCAATAGACGGCCTGCCCGTGTTAACAGCTGCAACCGTCGGGCTGCGGCGGCAGCAAAATAACATTGTAAAGCTCTTATGCGTGTGTGTGTGTGTGTGTGTGTGTGTGTGTGTGTGGGCTGTTTTGCTGTTGTGTACATTATGTTGTATTATAGTTTTTTATTAATTTCACGACCAAATCGACAATAATAATTGTTTTTTTATCGTCTACCGGACTGATCGCGCGCGCGTTAACCGTCACGTTACATTCACACAGGGTATTATACAATATTATATTATATTTAATCGAATTGTGTACAAGTATACAAGTATAAGCGTAAGGTGCGTTTCGACACGCGACGAATCGATAAGAATTAATAGCAGCACCGTCCAAGTAGTGCACCCACGTCTTGTTAAACCGAATTTATAACATTTATCAATTAATCGCCATCATGGAAGTGGACGAGGACGACAATAATTGCAACCGGAAATCGCAGCCGGACACGGACGACGATGGAGGCGAACAAGAAGAAACCACCGCTGTGTATTCTTTCTGCGAGACCAGCCACAAGGACTGGGAGTGAGTACCCACCATTTAGAAATCAACCCCATACGCAGTACAAAGGCACATCGCCAAATAGTTGCACAAAAATTCCTAAGCAAATATTTTCATAATAAAAAAAAAAAAATGAAAAGCCAACACAGTGGGCTCGGTAGACCCTGGCGGGGGACGTGGGGAAGTCGGTGTAGTCAAAAGAACAAAGAAATTAATTTAAAAAAAAAATAACATCGTACACGATTAGCTTGAAATTGTATATTTTTCAGTATTAGGGTTATGGGGAGTTTGCAATAATCGATAGTGTGTTCTTCACGGACCTGTTGACTGTTGTACCTAACCTTAAACCTAACCTGGAAATGCGATACGACATATATACACAAACATATGGTGTTCCTTAATACAAATATCACAGATTTTCGAGAAAACAGTCCAAAAAACTTCACCGAGATAGATACTAAATAAAAGAAAAGGTTCTCGGAACCTTAAGACTTAAAATTAGCGCTTTTCAAAATGTCTAAATTAATTTTGGAGTTTTTCAAGGATCCCATGCCCCCTTTTATATCCGCCAACGAGTTTACTTCTAGGGGAAAAGGTTACATTTTCGACGAAATTTGCTATTGACCTTTTAAAAAATACAAATTTAATCTGTTTTGCGTTGAAAGTACTCACTCAGTGTCATCGTGCACGGCAAACGTGGAAGGGCATTAAAAATTCAATTAAGGTCTGATTAAATCAAACTATGGTTGTGTGTGTGTGTGTGTGGACAGTCAAAATGGTCACTCCGTTAATGTGCAAAAAACTATTGTTTAAAAAATAAATAGCTAGCAATGTTGAAAAAGAAAAAAAGGAAAATAATTAAACGGAACTGTCACCGTCGCTGGAACTGATAACTTTTTCTAAATTAAACTGTTATCTCTACAAACTATAGCCGGTGTATAGTTGCTCAACCTTGACAGGGAAAACGTCCCATCGTTAATATTGTAATTTATGACATAGTTTTTTTTTTGTTTCTAGTGTGGGCGTACGATAACACCACACGCGTACATTGGACGCGCAATTCACAAAGACAATTAGGCAAATACTATACAGGGTGATCGTTTTATCGTGAACCACTCGTTGTCTCATTGGGTTTAATTAATAATTGAATTTTTTTTTGATAATGATTTTATATATTCTAATCTCGATTTTCCACTACTTTCATATGTTGTTATAAAAATAATTAGTTTGGGAGGAGGGTAAAAACAAAAAAACAAAATTGTGAAAAATTAAGATCACATTGTATAAAAACACTAAAAAAAAAAAAAATTAAATTTCTTATTACACCCTATGACATATTCAGTGGTTCAAGACAAAATGATCACCCTGTATGGGTATGTACTATATTCGCTTATTGATCAGCCCCTCCCTCCCTCCCATAAAAAACCCCCAACGGGTATGTATCAAAAAAAGTTTGGACAATTAAAAAATATAAACTAATGTGTTTTTTAGTGTTTAACGATGTACACATTGTCATTAATTTCTAATTAGATGTATAATAATCGCATAGATTGCAAATATAAACGCTGTATGGTTTTCACTATGAAAAAAAATCGTACTATAAATATTATGCACGTACTTTTTGAGTAGCTATTGAAATAATAAAATACCAAAAATGTTCAGAACTGTGTTTAATGTGGGTACTTACAAGGCGCATTCGATTTCAAAAATAATAATCGTTATAGTGTAAACGTTGTACTTGTAATAGTCTCACAGATTCATTCGCATTTATTATGTTACAAACCAGATGTTATATTGTCAATTTAATAAAACTGACAGACGTTAAAAAGTAATCCACTGCTCAGTCCCACCTCTTCAAGTCATGGACACCCATAACTGTAATTTTACAAAGCCTCGGTAGCACCCTGGAAATTGACAACTATCAAAGTGTAATTTTCCCCTTTTTTGGGGTTTTTCTTATTAAAAGTTTGTTTAGAGATTTTTGAGAAAATTGTATATGTTATATTATAGTCCCATACTGAATCTGCCTGCGGTCTAATTTTTAGACCATTAATCCCTAAGACATTTCTATCCCTTCTAGAGGAAAGGGTTAATATTTTTTTTTTTTTGGTGTGTCAATGTTTATCGGTAGTACTATGTTTTCAGATGTTTTTTAAAAAGTTACAGAGCATAGTAATAAAAAGTTGAAAAATATTTACATTTTTTAGGTGTTTTTTTTTAGATTTTGAAGGGAAAAGGGATGAACTTTTTTTATTTTTTGGCCCAGTAAAGTACCTTACAGGTGTGATTTCCGATCTTTAGAGTTGCTACACGAAGAACGCGGTTCAGTGGTTTATAAAAACACATCATTGTAAAAACAATACCTTCTCGGCTAATCAAACCGACACTAAAACACCGAACGCATCGTGCCGAATAACCCTAAACACATGTTGTTTTAATCTAATTAATCGAATTACACATTCCAAAAACCACTGGGAAACACATTCGATCACAGTACCTGTATCATGATTTTATATCATAAAACTACAACGCCATTGTATATAGGGGATTTATAACCACGCTGGTTTGGAGTTGGTTGCAGGGGGGAAGGGCAGCCTTCCCGGGGATCATTGTCTAAATTGGATAGGGTAAAACCAATTAAATTAGTGTTCTCCCGCTAATACAACAACTCTGGGATTTTCCCAGTCTATATATTTTTTTTCGGTATTTTTTTTTATTGAACCCAAACACGTACGCGACGGTCTCCCTTAAATAAAACGTTGACAAAAAAGGTCCTTTCGCCGGGGCTTGACCCCGTTTTGATATTCTCCCTTTTCTCGTCACTGAATACACAATAGCCACTACATTACTCAGGGATAGACAGTAATTTGTAAAACGTTTTTCAAAATACAATTGTATTTTGTATGAGTCCGACAATGCCACCCCCCCCCCCCCCCGAGCACGTCTGTCCCGAAATTGCACGCAGAAAAGATAAATTACAACAACAAAAAAAAAGGCCAACCCTTCTCGAAAAAAAAAAAAAAAATACATTTCTCTGATTTATGTCTGTCGACGGTCTTTTGGATTGTTGAAAAAAATAAAATATATTTTGCCTATTTCTCTGAAACTTGTTATTTTTCAAATTTGTAAAACACAAAATACTATGACCCACGTAAGGGAACTATTCAAGATTACAATAGGTTGTTAAGTTTAGATGAACACAAAAAGCCAGCACTCCAGAAAGAGAAGTCTTGAGATACACTACATTACTTTAAATAATCACAATACAATATAAAACCACAACCTTTTAGCGTCCATAAAAGTATCTTGCCATATCTTAAAATATGGTATTCATAAAAGCTGAATTAAATTTTGAAAACCCTTAACTAGATTGATTATGTTAATACACCTTCTCTCGTTCCTCATAATTACTCTTTATTAGCTGTAAATGGAAATAATAATAAAAAGCTTTATTGAAATTACCGAATCCCCTCCCTTTTTTAATATAATACCCTCTGGATAGCAATATTTAAGTTTAAATAAAAAATAATGTTAAATTATTAAAAAACCAAAGGCCATATTTAATACAAACCCAGTAGACGTTAATTATTTTTTTTCGTTACTAATAATTCTACATAAAGGTCAAACTGCAAAAAGGTATCAGCATATTATATTTTTGAAAAATATGTTTTATATCAAAAATGGCCATTTTGTTCTTACAAGACGCTTGCCAAGTCAAGGTCGGCATGTAGACTTTCTTGACTATTAATTTTTGGAGAATAACTTACAATATATCTTTTATTATTAAGCAATTAATTCAAAAAATATGAAAATTTAGGTTTGAAAAATATATTTTTATGCTATACAACTATATCACATAAGTTCTGAAACTCTTCACTGCACTTCTTCTTGCCAAGATTATTTTAATAAGACCCTAAATTAAAAAACCAGCTCATCGGTTTCAGAGATCTGAATGGATTAAGACAAATTTAGTAAAAATTTACAATTTTTGTCAATTGTAAGACAATTAAATATTTAAACACTAAACTTATTTTTAACTGTTTTAGTTAATTTTTCTATTTTTTTGACAAGCTCTTTTTAACCAGCTTAGAAACAACTTTCTTATAGTTTAAGAGAAAATTGAAAACCAATCGCTTATAAGATGTAACACACTGACTTTTTAAAATTCAAATAATTATACAGCATAGATTTGGAATTCTATCTACTTGTATACTGTCTTGTATCAAAGCTAAGAGAAATATCTATTCTCTTATTATTGGTGTGTAGTATTTTGTATCTTTTTCTTGTATACAGCTCTTAATTTTATCAACAACAATTGCTATTTTTTTTTCAATAACCATACTTGCTTGATTTTTTTTAAATCGAGAAAGTAATCTATTTTATAAACGATTGTGCTCTTTGTTTTTAAACATGATTAAGAAAAAAATTGAACATATTTTACAATTATTTAAACATTTTCTTGTTATATAAAAAAAAGCGACTTTCCTGGTATTTTTCCGGTGTATCATTCAAATAAAATTGGACAACTTTATGTCAGATTTTATGTAACATGTGTACTCTGGGTGTACTTATGAAAGTTAAAAGCTATAAATAAAATCTCTCATATTTTAACACAAAATGATGTAACGTAGTAGATAATATTATAACCTGACGTTAACGGATTGCTCATTGTGTTATCTTTCCAGTGAAAACGACCGAGTGGGATACTTGGAAGAACAATACGATATCCTTCACTCATCCGTCATAGCCTTAACTTCGCATTTTTCACAGGTATGTAGTATATTATACTTACTGAAAAAACAAGATACTATATTAAATATTTTACAGACAGCACAGTTTTCGCTTACTGCATGTATAATATTACACAGATTATGTTATCTAATCCATCCCATTATTGCCGATACCGTAATTTCGGTTGATTTTGGAAAATGTTGAACTTTTAACTCAAATTTGGCAACGAAGGACTGTTACTAGAAATGGTCTTAGCCGTTTTATTCTTGACCCAAATAATAAGTTTCCTAACGAAAAAAGAACACGTCTGTCGGGCTTAGGATTAGGTTAGGAATATTATTTTGATTTCATGCAATAAATTATTAACAGTACCTATACAAGTTAACAAAACCGTTAAAAAAAATGAAAACCGCAACTTAGTCGGCAAAAGTTTTAACACAAACATTTTAATCGATTTATTTTTTATAAAAGTTTAATGTAGTCTAAATAATAATTACCTTTAAGTTTTTTTTTGGCTCCAACTATAGTCACGTGCTTGCTAAATATGAGCACTTTAATAATAACAGACTTTGTTTGATCCGGTAGTGTAGCCAACCATATATATATATATATATATATATGTATATGTATACAATTCATGTGTAAAATTAACTTTTAACTATTATGAGCAGTGATAACAGTTATCAAATTGTGATAAGGTTCTATTCCCACAAATATAGCGGAAATTGGTAACTTCAATTATTATCTCTATTGGCGGCACGTACACTTAGTAATCTAGTTTATATATATATATATATATATATATATATAAAGTGAAATTTGGCCAATAGAGATAATAATTGAAGTTACCATTTTCCGCTATATTTGTGGGAATTAGAACCTTATCACAATTTGATAACTGTTATCACTGCTCATAATAGTTAAAAGTTAATTTTACACATGAATTGTATACATACATAAATACATATATACATAAATTATATACGTACATGAATATTTTCACATGAAAATATGTTTATAACATTAATAAGTAGAGTTAATAACGCAGAATCACATATATATATATATATATATATATATATTTCATACACACATAAATCCCACAAAAATGGCGGACGTCCCCTTTAATTCTTATCACTAGTTATCAATCTAGTTTATTATATATATACATATATCTGTGCCCTACCGTCCAAAGTCACCCGAAATTGCGATATTGATACTTGGATATTTTTTTACAACCATTTCGTGGCTGCATACGAACATTATACAGGTACAACTGAGAATACATCAGGTCATCGAAGCCCCGGACGAAGAGAAAAAGGACTTATTAAACAATCTCGAGGAATTCGCGTTCAAAGGCATCCCGAACGTTTACACGAATTGCTCGTTGAACCATTTGCTCGTGACCACGGTACGACTCCCAAGTACAAGATTTGATCAATACCTAACCGAACTTGCGGCTGTCATTTGATTTGATTTCAGAACAACGACGACGACCAAATGGTTGAAAAAAAACATCAGGTACAAATCGAAGTGATCAACGAAATGAAAAAACAACTAGAAGACTTGGAATATCACATTTACAACAACAGAGACGAGTTTGACTTGCCCGAAAGTTTTGTGGACATTTTCCGGGAAAGACAGAACAATATAATAAGTAGGTTTTTTTGCTAAAAGCAATCCCTATAAACATAATATACAAGATTATTTAAATTTCATGTCGCAGTGATTTATTTTCCTCGATAAAAACTGTGTAAGCTGAAATAGTTTCTAAAGAGGGCAATATTTATGATAAAAAGTGGCTTTAATCGATTTCGAACGTGTCAATTAATAATCCGGTTCAATTTCTATAAGCTTCAAGGTATTATTTTTAATCCGCGATATTTTAGTTAAAATATATTATAGCAACAAGTATATTAATATTTTAATTACATGTTAAAATGGAAAACGTTATATGGAAATCTGATTATCTGATATTATTCGAGCGTTGAAAGTCACCTGTAAATATTAACCTTTGGAATAAATTTAAAATATAATAAGGATTTGGTTTGAAATGTTTTCTTTTAGCTTACACAGTTATTTCATAGAAAAAAATCACTGTCCCGAGAAATGTTGATAGCCCTGTTTATAAAACCTCAAAATGTGACACAGACAAGTAAGAAAATGTTGTATTTTTTTTTTTTTTGCACAGACCAAGTGGAAAAAAAACTCAACGTCAGCATAAAAGATCCGAAAAACATCTCTGTTGGCGAACTCAAAGAAGAAGTCGACAACGCAATTCAAAAAGTATGTAATACATTTTTTTTTGTGAAATCAAACGTTTGTGTCGTTTGCACGTTTACCCAAAATAATAATTATTGGTAGCAATTGGGAGTGTTACCGGGAAATTTAAATGTATATTGTTTCGAAAACAAGGTCGGTACGGAGAATAGAAAATAGAATTTATAAAAGATCAAATAGAGAAAAGTGGGACAAAGGGAGCGAAGTCTGAGAAGTCTTAAGCCTGTGATCTCGCCACCAAAAAAAAAAACAATAAGTGTTTTTCTTTTTCCGTGTAATCGCTTTTAGAGCAAGTCTAGAAACGGTTGTGCCGAGCACAAAACAAACTTAATATTGAAATATATTTTGTGTTCTAAAAAAAAAAAAAATAAATGTTTTCGTCAAAATGCGATGCAGTAAAAAAAAACAATTCTGAAAAAAAAGACTAAAAAAATTACTTACTAGAGTTTTGCATTAAAGTTCAACGTGTAGTTCCTCTATAGCCACTACCCATAAAAAAAAAATCCATTTAGTAATTTTAAAACATTTCTAGAAATATGAGCTTGTACAAAAATCAATTTATTAAAGATCTTACAATTTGTACAATAAGCATACGTGTTAAGAGTATGAATATAATTTTTAAGAAACAAACCAACTTATTAGCGACACTTGCCATGTTTTGAATTGTTTAAATTAAAATAACTTATTTAATTAATTTTTTAATTATTATTATTATTGAAAAAACCGATCACTTATGTTTAGCTGAGGTGGGTCCCCAGCTATATTCAAGGTTGAAAGGATTTCAGATTAGATTGGTAGATTAGATTATTGTAGAATCTTTTGTAGAAGGAAAGACATTTTTTTTCATAACTTCTCCGTGGACTGTTTTTATGTTGAGCTCATTACGGAGTGTATAGAGATATAAGATGATGCATTGATTAATATTTTTAGTCATATTTTGAAAGGATTGAATTTTGTTGGAATTGGATTGTTTAGCATTGCTCTAAAGCTGAAGGCCATAAATTCGTAAGGGGTTTTATAGTGTTTTATAAATTCGAAGTTTAGTATTAATGTCTGTAAACAGGGAAGTATTCTTTTAAGTAATTATTTTTGCAAAGAACAGATTTAGGGTAAGGGAACGGTGATGAGCTCAATAGGGTACGTTCAACTTAACTAAAGAAAAAGGAATTTAATGTCACTCAGACACACACAGAGGAGGACTCGCTTTTTTTTAAGTCTACTAAAGAACACTATTTTTTTTTGCTGTCTAAAAAAACTGTTTGATTTCAAAAAAAGTTTTAATAATTTTTCTCTATCATGAAACATGTCACAAATTCGATGGGTGAGAACTTAAAAAGAGTACAAGGGACAATTTGTTTTTTAAAAAACAGTTTTTAATCATACAGCCAATGAAAGCTATGCCTATCTCTTTTTGTTTTATAATTTTTTATCAATTTTTAAAAAGTCTACACCAAACTCACGAGAAACTATTGAAAACATAAATTGAGTTCTTCTGATCGTCTGTAAAATTTCAAGTCACTTCACTTAACCCTTTTGATTCTCATCGCTTCAACTGTATTAAAAACCTGATATTTCAAAAAAAAAAAAACTAAAACAAGTTAGTTAATTAAAAATTATTAGTGTTTGTGACTCTGAGAGACGATCAACTTTCAAGAAACCCTTTTAGCTGCCAAAGTAGTGATGTAAGTACCATAAAGTTTCTATGTAATTTAAATCCTTTGTTCTTATGAAATTTCGCTTTTTTTGTTTATCTTAGCCGGATGGGCAAACGCGAGTGTTGTGAAAAACGGGTTATTATTTAAATTGAGCCGGAAAATGCGAACAAGATTTATTTTTTTACATTCGTTTTGAATAATGAGACTTAGTTGGAAATTATTCAGGAGTGGCCAAACACATTGGCAAGACCCGGCAAAACGTAATCAATAAAAATAAATTACCTTATTCCCCGTTGTTTTTTTTTTTTTTTTTTTGAGAGGAGAAAGGGTGGTTTTCCAAAAAATGTACTTACTCGTGCACGCTATTAATCATATTAAACATCCTTCCTACAAAAAAAAAAAAAAAACTAAATTTATGTAAACGTATTAAATTTATTCAAATTATGTCTGAAAGCATAATATTTATCTTGTTTGAGTAATTTGGGAAATTTCCCTTTTTATCTTCCTGACTCATCTTTTTTCCAAACATTTATAGGTACTGGCTGTCTTAGACTCAAAGCACATGATTTTGTATTTTTTTAGTCATTCAAAGCCTACATTTTTACCATAGTTACTTTGAAAATTTAATATTTATCATAATCTATTTTATCAATTTACATAAAATACTGCTCCATAAATTTACGTAAGTGTTGCAAAAACGATATTTTTGCAATAAAAGATCAAATAAAAAGTATAAAGAAGGAATAAAATACTAAATCGTTTGCTCGACTTTTCCTAGAAACATTGAACATATTTAAAAATCCAAAAAAAATAAACGTATTAAATTTATTTAAATTATGTCTGAAAGCATAATATTTATCTTGTTTGAGTAATTTGGTAAATTTCCCTTGTTATCTTCCATTCTATATTGCTTGGACAGCATCTCAAGATCCGCCATTTGCACGACCAATTGCTTTTGAGTTTATATACCTTCCATTGAATTGTTGAAAGTTTTAACTAACTTAAACATAACTACGCCATAAAACAATGCTCGATAATTATAATTTATATATATTTATTTATTTATTATTTATTACGGACAAATGTCCAATTAACAACGAAATAACATAACATGGTAAATCTAAATACAGCAGTTATAAAACAAAACTTAAAAATTACATAATATATAGTAAATGATAAACATGCAATATGTTTAAATAAATTGAATTTTATTTAGTAAGTTATTTCCTGTAGTCATTAAAATATTAATAGGCGAATATAATAAGTCATTTTTGCTTTGATATGGAATATGAAATAAATCTTTATTACGTAAAATATGTGGGTGGACTTTAAAATTAATGAGGCTAAGAATAAAAGAGTCATCAATATTATTATTTAGTAAATTATTAATAAGTGACACGTAGGAATTTTGTCTCCTTTCTTTCAATGTTTGTAAATTTAAAAAATTTAGAATTTCATCATATCCAGAGTGGGGGGTCCTTGGTATTTTACATTTAAAGCAAATAAATCGGAGAACTTTGTTTTGGATCTCTTCAATTTCCTTGCTATGTCCAATACTATTATTCTCCCAGATTATTGAAGCATACTCTAGCTGTGAACGAATAAAAGAAATGTACAGTTGTTTAAAAGTTATGGGGTTATTGAATTCAAGGCAGTTTCGTATGATCATACCATACATAGAAAGGGCTTTTTTTTTAATTGTTAGGATATGAAAATTAAACATAAGTTTATAATCAAACCATATTCCAAGATCTCTAACTAATGAGGAACGAAGTAAATTAATGTTTGTTAAACAATAATTATAAGTAATGGGATTACGTTTATTTGAAAAAGTTATAATTTGGCATTTATCTATATTTATAGAGAGACTATTAATGATACACCAATCGTTGAAATTATTTAAGTCTTCTTGTAATAATAAAGAATCATCAGGAGTTTTAATGGATTTAAAGATTTTTGCGTCATCGGCAAAAAGCAAGATTTCAGAATTTTTGATAGCAAAAACAATATCATTGATAAATAGATTAAAAATAAGTGGAGAAACCTTGTGGAACTCCAGAAATTACAGCTATGGGATTAGAAACAAAGTTTTTGTATTTTACGTATTGGGTTCTCAGGGTTAAAAATGAATTTAACCAAGATAGAAGAGGATCAGCAAATCCAATTTTACTGAGCTTAAGAATTAATAATTGATGATCAACTCTATCGAAAGCCTTCTCAAAGTCAGTGTAAATTGCGTCTGTTTGTTGTCCAATAGAGAAAGAATTTAAAATAAATTGCTTAAAGGTAATTAGACTTGTGACGGTAGATTTTTTACTACAGAAACCATGTTGTTGCGGAACTATTTATATTTATGAATAACGGAGTAAGTTTTGAATTGATAATTTTTGAGAAAATTTTAGGTAGGATAGAAATGATAGATATAGGACGATAATTAGAAACTATATATATATATATATATATTATTAATACGTATAACAATTACATTCTATGCACGCATGCGATAACCACAGCTGGTATTGCATATTGTCGTTTGTTTTCAGCCTAGAAGTATCCAAGTAAGATTGTATCGAGTCGGTCTGTCGGTTTTTGCCAAGTTTGTCGCTTAAAGTCGAACGGGTTAAAATTTATGATTTAATCGTTTAACTTTGCCCGCTAGTTTCAAAACAATACTTATACACAGCAGATAGTACACATGTAAAGCCGTGTAGATGCAAGTTTCGGCTGATGCGACAAAACAGTATTACACTGTTAATTCGAAAAGTTAATTAACTTAATATAATAGCGACAACCCGAGTAGAATATTATGAGATTTCTACTTTTGCAACGAAACATCTACTGCAAAATTCAAACTATACAACTGTTCTCGTCGTGGCTTATCGCGTTGCGTTTATATATTGTCACACAATAAACCTACTTTCCAAACTATTAACATAATATATAGGATTAAAACGATCCTTTGTACGTTTAATACTATTGTGCAGAAACTATATCAACTAAATTTGTGCGTACAGACATTCAAACGGATTTAGTTAAATGTAAACAAGAAAAAAAAATCAACAAATTTGTATTTATCTAACCGAACAGCAAAAGATATCCAATTGGAAAACATTATTGTCCTCTGAAATGATACTAATTGATATAGCTAGTGCTTTTGCTTTTGTTATAAAACATTATAGCACACATACTAGACAATGCCAATAGGTTTTTTAAGATTTACATATTATTATAGTTAAATTAGGAAGCTAGCGTTTAAAACGATAGGGAAACAAGAATTAAGAAGAAGTTGGATATCAGGAGAAAATATGTAACCAATATAGGAGAAGAGAGAAAAAAAAAGGATACGACTGGCAAGGAAAGAGGGATAATTGAACAGGATACGTGTAACGTCACAATTCATATCCCACGGGACAAAGAGGGGAAGAATTGAGTGAGAGACGATAGAAATTGAAAGGTTGAAGTATTTCAAATGAAATATTTCACCATTTTGTGTAATATTGGATTTATTATTAATTGATTCACTATTTGGCCCCATTGCCTTATCATTTTTTAACGTTTAATGGTACTACCACACATTAAATTGATAAGATTTAACTTAACGTTCAATTAAGTGTAATATAAGTACACACTGTGTTACGTTTTTTTCTTAATATTTAAATGTTTAATTACAAACAAAGAAATACAAATGTATGTCATTCAAGTAAATATTTCATTGATATAATTCAAAATTGTACACTTCATGAGAGTTTCAAACGCTAAATCATGGCATAAATATACTAGGTTATTGCATCTCTACCCCCTCTCCACCGACATTTTCGATGATAAAAACAAAATGGCGGCGTAAGGGTCGGCCAATGAAATTCATTTATTTTATAATGGTATTATGTACTATAAATTTACAAAAAAAACAATGATGTACACTTTGTGTATTGATAATAAAATTAAGTGGGGATATGCATAATAACCTAGTATATTTAGCCGAGCACTAAAATTTAATATAATACAGACATTTTAAAGTTTTTAAACTCTGAAAAAAAACAATAATTCTAATGAATGTCGACAAGAGACAAAGGGAACCGGAAAGGCGACGAATTTGTAGATACCACAACCGCGTTATGCGTTTATGTTTGCACCCAAAGTACGGTTTGCGGTTAGCTACCTGCCATGGCGGCTCTATTCTGCCCCTTTCGTTTAACTTTCTCAATTATTGTTCTTTGACGTTTAATTTAAATAAATTAATTGCAATTTGCATACATACCTACTCGGTCTACGTGACAACAATTCCCGCCATCCGCTTTGTGTCTTGGTTTAATATAATTATTCTATACAAGTTTCACTGTCGGTGTCTCGTGCCCAAAAATGATTCAACCTCTCAATGCCCAATTTATTTACCCGTAGGTATATAAATTATCAGAAATTTGGAGAAAAAAAATGTTAAAAATTATATATTATTGTCTACAATAATTACGTTAAATTTGTTGTGCAAAATAAAATCATGCATAAAACATGGTTAATTAAGTTGGCCAATGATTTCTTATCAGACAACAAACTGAATAATATTAATCAACGATTATTAAAAGTGATAACAAGAATGATTAAAAATAGATGATCAAGTTGTCTATTTTTAAATTCCATTAACAATATTAACCAACGGGTTTGTACACTAATCAAACTCTGTATTTTAGTAGCACAGTAATTTCGTGATTTAATATTTTATACAATAAACGAATGTATTTTTCTAATGTCTAGCTTTAAAAATTTGTTTTAACGTGATCGATATGAAAATATTATGATTTTCTCTGATTAACCGATGACAAGATTAATCCACCTTATTATTATTATCCGACTTGATTATTATTACTGAAAATAAAAACGCAACACTCATTTAGATAGTTTAACTGACCGTTAAATTGACTTTCACGTGCACGAAAATGTTTTTTTTATGGTTTTCGCTTTTCTTCGATAACTTCTAAATGATTGATTGCTTAATATGAATTATTCATAAAAATTAAACCGGCCGTTATTTTCAGAATTGCGTTTTATTTAAATAAAACCCAAAAGGTAGAAAAAAAATTAAATAAATTTATAAATCCGCAACAAATTTTAAATATAGTTAATAACAGTACAATTTGCAAATTGCTGTTAAAATTTATAATTATATATTATTTGTTGTGGTTTTATACATTTATTCAATTTTTTTACACCTTCTTTTATTTAAATAACCAATCTAGTTATTTCAACCGCTTTGGCATTTGAAAACAAGTTAGACATGATTGAAAAAAATAACATAAAACTATTTTTAAGCAGTTCAAACGTTTTCTTGTTTTTTATTTACTGAAAAAAACGTATTTAATACAGCCCAGTTTTTTAAATATAAAATAACAAAAAATAGCAATTAGTAGCTGTTGTAATAATAAGTATAAATACTGACATACATATGAATTATATGATATGATATGTTTAGTCCATTTTTTGTCATGCGTATAACGTCATAATCAATCAAAAAGTTCATTAGACCAAAAAATTCAAATTATACATTTATTTTGTCAGTTTTTAAGTTAATAATATAATTTATTTTAATTGTACATTTTAAATAAAACACACGCCTAAACGTTAATTATTTTTCTGAATGTAATGTAGCCCATAAATTTAAATATACATTTGAAATTATAAACTTCACTGGAAATACACTTTAAACACGTGCTAATTCAGATAATACAATTCAATTAATAAGATACAACTTTCATGTTCAATGCCTAATTAATAATTAAAAAACAAATATTTTACAATAGTTTATCTAAATTTAAGTTTAAAACGTTAGAAAAACAAATGTATTTCAATTAATTTTGAATACATCAAACAAATAAAAAATTATACTAAAATAATAACTTGTCGAAAACAATATTAATATTCCACTTTGTCACTTTAACATTTTAAAACAAATGCAACTTTTTATTAGATGGAGAAAAAAATTGGTAAAAGAAAAGACAAATTTAATGATAATACATTAAACACAAAAACTGTCAATCAAATTTCAGAATTAAGTAACTCGTTTAAAAAAAATAAGGACCTTCGTTCCAAAAATGCCAGTTTAGTTTTTATTATGAAAAAAAAAATATATTTTATGAAATTTTTTTTATAATTGATTAAAAGCTAACCTAACTTAACTTGACCAAACATTTTTTAAAGTTTCAAATATTAATAATTGAAAAAAAAATCGTTATGGGCAATCAACAATAAAGCACGATTTTTTTAACTATCTTTTTTTTCAATAACTTTTTAATGTAGACTTAATCGAATTTTTTTTTTTTAGGTTTTTTTTATACTTTTTTAAATTGGAATGAGTTTACAAAGTTGTACGAAAATCTAATCTGTTGCCCATTTATAACAATATTAGTAACAAACACTCCTAAACCGTATGAATAAGTACAACTAAAAAAAAAAACAAAGCGGTTTAAAGTGTTTTGATCCGTAAAAGTACTTTAACGTAACCGCTAAAATATCGACAATTCATTAACACAATAGAACCAAATTATGAAAACCAATTAGGAACACAATGAGTTGTAATATCCAGAACAGAATGTAATGGCAAATGGTTTTTTTTTGTGTGTGGTTCATTTAAAAGTAAATCTGCATAATATAAAAATATATTCATGAATGAGCGAAAATAAATCTATACCCTTGGAGACTAAAAATGCAAAACAATTTTAGAAAATGTCCTTAAAGATGATTATTTTCCATTAGAATCTTTTGTTGGTTTTTTTTATACTAAACTTGTTACTTTTACAGATTTTGGCCCATGTCTTTTGAAAAAAAAATATAAGAGTTTTTTTAATTTTGTCGCTTGACTCATCTTTTTTCCAAACATTTATTGGTGTTGGCTGTCTTCGACTCAAAGTACATGATTTTATATTCTTTTTGTCATTCAAAGCCTAAATTTTTACCATAGTTACTTTGAAAATGTAATATTTCTTATAATCTATTTTATCAATTTACATAAAATACTGCTCCATAAATTTACGTAAGTGTTGCAAAAACGATATTTTTGCAATAAAAAATACATTAAAAGATCAAATAAAAAGTATAAAGAAGGAATAAAATACTAAATCGTTTTCTCGACTTTTCCTAGAAACATTGAACATATTTAAAAATAAAAAAAATATCAATTTGTATGCTATAAATTGCTATTTGTTGTGACCAACTATTAAAAATTATACTTTTTCGGCACACAGATATTCATTTAAATAAAATATGCTTAAAATAACAATCTTAATTATACACAAATACACAAAATGAGTTTTGATATAATATTATCATTCTATAGTTTATGAATATATATATATAAATATATATATATATATATTATATAATAATAATGGAGCTAGTTTCCCAAGGTATAGTTCATATTTGTATTGAATTTATTTAAATTATATAAAAATATTGATTTTTAGTACATACGAGTATTTCGAACTGGCTTTTTTTGTGGTTCATATTTGGAAGGTTACTTTATTGTATTTATCATAATAATTGTGTAAGCCAAATTGTACACATTATATTTTGTTATAACTACAACAAAGGTCAAATTAAATTATTGCAGCATGCGATAGTCAGATAGCTTAACTGATTTGAACTTGTAAAAAAAAAGTCAATGAAAAACATTTTTAAGTTCAAGTTAGGCATTTTGTAACGACATAACCATATTTGGTTACATCAACTTTATTTTATGGATTGGATACAAAAATTTCAAGTCACCATTTTTGCTAATCACTTTCACTTGCAGTTAGAGATAATAGATATTTGATAAATGATAAAAGTGTTAAGAGTTAAATGATAAGAGATAGTATATAAATGATTCAATGTTTTTTTCCGTGGAGCGGAGAAAATAACGAGGTTTATTATTAACTTTTTTTTACAAGTTCGAAATCAATTAAACTATTATAACGTCAATAATTTCTATCGAAATGTGTTGTAGTTATAACACACAGCGTGTACATTTTGGCTTGAAAATGTTTTCATTCGTTGACGTTACAACATTTTGCGCCTGTAACGAGTTGATAATACGAGTGTAAATAAAATACGTGTTTTTTAAATTATTTTTTTGTATGGGGTTCTTATTATTGTTATTTATTTTTGGTTTTTTTTTCCTCTCAAAGTTAGTCAACCCGATGAAAGCGACGGAACATCTTGTCGGCCAGCTGAAGACGCAAATCGCCGACCTGGAACGGTTTATCGAATATTTGCAAAGTGAGTTATTTTCACAGAAATGTTCGCTATTGGATTTCAAGTGTGTTTGCCTCGGTGAAAATCCACACAACACCCGCGTAGGTCCCCGGCGGCTTTTGGGTAAACACACGGTGTATAAATGAGTAATTCCGTTTGGCGCGGAACAGCCAACGTCGTTTATTATATTATATATATTATTATTATACCTACCTTTATATTGTAAAGGTACCCCCGTTCGAGGGCTAGTGGTGCGGATAAAACGCGTTTATTTACCCGGATAACAGATTGAATCCGTCGCCCAAAACAAACATCATCCGGGGTATGATAATGTATTTTGATAGTCACTGCTTTTCAATCAAAGCCCCTCATTTAGAGTATTTACCCGGCGGCTCCGGTCCCAAAGTTCATTATTGGAAGATGCGAAATTATTCAATCGCACACTTATTATTATATGACAAAATCAAAACCAATCGGATACGAGCTCGGTAACCGGAAAAAGTCTTTTAAACCTTATATACATAATTGCACCGATGATAAAATTGTATAGTTTATATTTAGTGGAAAAAAAAAACATTATCTCAAGGGGACTTGTTTTCGAGAATATACGTTTGAAACTTTGACAAACTTTAGACTTTTCCCCAGACGGAAAACATATTTTTCCTCTCTTCAAAATTATTTATCAAATTACCTTTCACAAAACTCGAATTGTATTGATTTTTGCCAATAAACAAAAGTACACAACTAATTATCGAGTAGGACTCGACGTTTGTGTTATAAACAACAGTACTTACCGATCACACTGCTTTATCTTTTGCCATTGGCTTCGGTCCAGACATGACAGTAAACTTTATTGGCCAATGCTCCTTCTAAGAATATTGTCAAGTTATTGTTTATTAATCAGCTCTTTTTTTAAAAACGATTTTTATTTGGTGCACACTGTTAAATTTAAATTTTCGCGAGGAATCGGATTGTGATAAAGTCAACAGATAACGCATAACTGATAACAGATAACGGTTACACGGTTTTATAATGTTATCGAATGGTAATTGAAACTGATTTTTTTTTTGCTCTCCTATAAAGTTGAGACAAATTAAATATCAAGTGTTGCATCTTAAGTGACCCTCCTCCTAAAGCTTCCCTTCAATATGATATTACCCTTTGAAATACTATTTTTCAACTGGAACGTTATCGTTTTTTCGATCATCATTAAATATAACACAAGGATTTTTTTCGACAATTATTTTTAACATTAAAAAAATCACTGTAACGTGAAATTTGAATAACCAAATCTAGAAACGAGATTAAATTTTTATTTTTAGCCGGAAAAATTAAATTAAGAACGACGGGGGAGAAAATCACCATAACGTCGACGACTGGCAAGGAAAAATCGTCGGACAGAAAATCCAGCAAAGAATTGGTACGTGGACTGTTTTTTGTATTATTATTATTATTTGCATTGTTTGCATTAGGTCAGACACGTGTCTGCTCTAGTCTATGTTAGGTGGGTTTGCTATAGTTCAAAGCCATTTTGAATTATTCCACCCTTCGGTCGGCCCACACACACACACACTTTGCATCAAATTATTCCCACCCACACAAAGTTTATTTTTCTTATTGGCAAATGTATTTTATTTTTATATAATATTCACATTCAGATTCGATTCTATGTAAAGTACAAGTATAGTTTCCTAAAAAAAAAAAAAAAAGTTTTCCGGGAAAAATACTGTACTTGTTGTTTTGGGAAAATTGCAAACAAGTATTTACCTCGAATAAACATTTCCTTAAAAAAATATATTATTTCATAAGAGACCATTTTTTTTTCGAGAATGTAGAAAAATAATATATACTTACGGTGTAAACAAGTCCTAAATTAGATAAGGAAAAATGTGTTATTAATTTTTGGAATAAAAATAAAAATAAACCTATTTTAGTTTGGAATAACAAAAGAAATGGATGTTTTCAATCATTAAATGTTTGTTTAATTTTCTAAAAAATAAACCGTGTTTTTCTACAAAAAAAATGACTTTTTTCTATTAAAACTGTATTATTTTAATAATTATCATATATTTATCATTTATAAGATGTTTGTTAAACATGTAACGGTAAAGTTATTATTTATTTTTTAATAAACTTGAGTTAATGTTTTAATGTCATATATTAATTTTAAACTTAATAATATTTCATAACATAAATTAACATGAACTTAACGAGTTTTGATAATTATCATAATAGTTGTTTTTATATAGCTCTTAATTAAAAAAAAAATAGTATAGATATTATCACTCTAATCACAGTCGATTATAATTTTAACCGTTAATAATTTATTAAAAAAAAAAACAACACTACAAACTGACATGGTTGTATTCTAAAATAAAAATCACTAATCGCTTAGTGGAAATTAAATGCAGACCAGAAATTAAGTAGCTTCGTCGAGGCTATTTAAAAATATTTGGTCAACTAAAGATGCCAAAACTAAAATGTGTTCTCACTAGTTAAAAAAAACAGTTACTTTTTATACCAATATTTTAGGCGATAATCAAAACGTTGTATAATGTAGGTACTTATTAAATTTAAATTGTTAAAGAGATTAGTGTTGCCATCAGATTATAATTAAAAAAAAAAAAAATGTATACCAATATAAGCAACCTCTTATTATAAATGCATATATTTGATTTTTAAAGGAATACCTAATATTTAAAATCGCTAAATCATCTAAATCAGAATTTGTTAAAATAAGACCGTGTTTTTTTTCAATAACTGCCAACTGCTGCTTTCAATTAGTTTTGTTTGCTTGAGAAAAAAAGTAATACTTATAAACATTTACAGAAATAAACGTGAGGGAAAATTAATAAAAAAAAATGTAATTTTAATGATTGTTTACAACAACAGGTATATCAACAGGTTTGGACTTTGGCAATAATTCTGGTCGTTTATGATTTTAATTATCCGAAAAATTATCAATTAGGCAGAACCACTTATTCGATAAAGAGAGTTTAAAGTCCAGCAGCAGCCTTGCCCAAAAAGTACACAATAATTAGCTCTCTTTCAGTTTTCATTCCGAAGATTCAATCCATCGTGTCTCAGCTGTACAAGGCCAATCCATTCGTTTCTATGCTATTTTTTCACATCCTTCCTCTGCCATATTTATTATTTCAATAGTAACTTCATTAAACGAAATATCCATCCAACTTATCTTGAGCGTTCACCTCTAGAACCACATCTCCATAGCTCCTGAGTATACTTCTTCAGCTCCAAATGTGAAGATTTTTTCTGATTAAATGCTACTTTTGCTTGACTTATTCGCCAAATACGTGACCTGTTCTACTCGTTCCACTTCCAGATATGTAAACGAATATACACACAAGAACTGTAGTCGTTTTTCGGATTTTTCACATTTACATCTAGGTAATGCCTGACAGGAAGATATATATATATATATATATTGTAGAAATGTTTGGTCCCCATCACAGTGAAACCGGAGGTTTGAGGTGCACGATCTGCACAATATATTATGAACCCTTATACAGGCTTTGGGGAAATTTTCCAGCTAGGCGGTGCAATGTGTGTTTTGTTTTAAGTATAAAGACAAATTGTTGTAAAAAAAAATGTTTATAAAATGTTGCCACAGAACACGATGAGCGCCGTCCAAAGGCTGTCGGCCATCTTGCACATGTTTATCGGCACTCAGATGTCGTGTAGCCAGAGACATTTCAAGAAGAACACACTGAAGAAAACGCCGAAAATCAATCACTGGGGGTAAGACTGCGGTGTGTCTGTATGGGAGCTTAAACGTCGCTTTTGATTTGCACCATTCGTGGCCACACTAATGGCTTTTGTATTTTTACTTTGAGAAAATAATATTATTAAATATATATATAATATTAACAGGTAGGTACGACGCGGCACAAGGTAAATCCGGACGGCTTTTTATTTCAAATCCAATAAACGTTAAAAGCCAACGCGAAAAATAAAAATTACTTACTCGATGGTTTTATGGGGGGGGGGGGGGGAAATCCAGTTTACATTATAATAATACATAACGGCTATAATACGTATAGACAGGTATTGCTCTGCTTTTAGCCAGTGTCGTCCCAACGGTAATAATTTGCATAACGCGCGCCCAACAAACGGCATTACGCATTCGCTTTCACCGCTCTTCTTTTTCCGAATACATTTATATTGATAACGAAATCCGAAAACGTCACCAGACCAGAGTACACCTAATAATAATAATGATAATTCGATTGCAGTAGAGACGGTTTCGATCAATTTCGACGGCAACGCATTTGCATAGGTGCTGTTTAATAAATAAATAAATAAATCACAAACGCCGTTATAAATTATTAATGGCGGTCGCGTACACATGCCTCTCTAACTGCAATGATGTTTGTTTGTTTGCCCGTCCGAACAGTGACCAAAGGGCCAACCTGGAGTTGGTCGTGGCCGACCTGCTGGAAATCCTGGACGTGCCGGAAACCCACAACGACAGCGATTACATGTCCGACTCGGAAGGCGCCCTGGCAGCGATGGAGTGCAACGGCAAAATCGCTTCGATTGTCCGCAAACGTCTGGCGCCGGCCGTTCAACACTTGATGCAACACGGTCTCATGGTGGTAAGATACGTTTGGAGTAGTGGTTAGCCACAATCAATACCCAATGCCTATGCCCAACGGATACCTTCTGTGCAACTCCCGAACCAAACCTAACCGAACCTAACCTAACCAAACCTAACCAAACCAAACCTAACCTAACCTAACCTAACCTAACCTAACCTAACCTAACCTAACCTAACCTAACCTAACCTAACCTAACCAAATCTAACCTAACCTAACCGAAGGATATAGAGGAGACACTTAACCTATCCTGACCGTTGTACGGTTGCTTTTGACATGCATATGTCCTATGGCTGGGAGTCAACCATATGCATACTGTTTTTAACAACTTGATGTACCTATCTGCATGAAGTGTGGATATATAAGGACAGTCAAATGAATTTGTTAGGTAGGCACTTACTTAGTGGCGAACCACGGAAATTGGTTTACGAGAAATGTTAAATATTGATAAAATATGTTGCCTGTAAATCGATTAAGACCAGATATTATGAAACTACTAAAAAAACAGTATGCATATGGTTCATCATAAATTATTCACCGAAAGTATATTCAATAACGTCGCAAAGGAATACCTTGAAATTTTTAATGAAAAATTTGTTTATCATTAAAAATAGTTAAAAAACTTTTCGGTCAATATGAATATTATGTGTTGAGTGGAGAAGGTTATAATATATATATATATATTTTTTTTTTTTTTTGGAGGGGGAGAGAAGGTCGTCATATATATTTTTAGATATCAAATCCGACACTATAGTGACAAGTGAGCAAAATGTGTTTTCAAACAATATCAACATCCATATTAGCTTGACAATGAAATACATCCTGCATGATAATATTGTACATGTCTCTATTTTGAAATTTATTAATTACACCAAAAAATACGATTAAATACTACCGAAATTTCATAAATATAAAATATTTGGAGTAAACATATATATATATATATATATATATATATATAATTAGTTGACGAACAAACTGTAAATTAAAAAATGACGTTTGAGAACAAAATATATTATTAAACTTTTGGAGTTTATGAAAGTTTTAGACAGTTTGGAAACAAACGCTCGACGGAGTGTTTTATAAATTAAAACTACTTTTTTAATTAATGAAAAAAAATAAACTATACACATTGTACCCTAACACTAAAGCGAGGAGGAAGGGTAACATTTTTTTCAAAACACTAAAGCAATTATATAGTTGTATATATATATATATAAATATGTTAAATCAAATGCAAAATAAAAACCCAAGAATAACCCTGTATATATTATATATTATTCACTGTTACATTGAACCTACTTATATAATATACCAAATCGAAAAGTGATTAAATTTATTTTTAGCTGGCAAAATTAAATTTAAACAAAAAATTATAACTTAAATTATTTATTTGAAATAGTTATACCTAGTAAAGCATCATATACTTTATACATCATTGGTTACCAAAGTATATTTTATTATCGACTCAGTGTTTAAGGGGGGGGGGAGGGTCGTGTGCAAAAAAAATTAGGAAATTAGTTTATCGTCTGAAGAATATTCTCAATGAATTTTAATCCGATTGACATGTGTGGTTTAGCGCATTTTTTCCTTATCTTACTGGCCTTTGAGTGACCCTAAATGTTTATTAAATATTATTAATTAATCAATAATAATACTGTTTTTTAGAATTTTTTTCTACAAAAAATAAGTATTTTTCGTTAAAAATGATCCTGAATGATCTTTATTTAATTTTTTTTTCTTTTAATTTTGTGTTTACTCAAAGCGTATAAAAGTGTTTTAACAGAAAAATGTTGGAATTTTTTTCTAGATAATTAGAACGGCCTGTACGCTTCACGGCGCAAAATTTTAATACCAAATTCAAGCGGCTGTAACGCCGCCATTTTTAAATTTTTTCGATATGAAATTTTGTTATAAAATACTTTGAATGGTCAATTCATGATGTAATTTATTTCATTTTAATAAATCTTACTATTTGAAAAAAAAAAATCCTAGAAAAAACGACTTTCCCCCCCCCCCTTAAATTGAAGTGACCGAAAAGGTTAGGCGGCCTTAGGTTATAGGTAAGGTTTACATCTATTCTGGCCTAACCTAACCTTTTTTTTTTTTTTTTTTGAATCGGTAACCGGGAGGGGTCGTGGTTTACATTACTTCCTCCCGGCTACCATCGTTTATTGTTTAAACAACAGCGTTTATAATATACATACAATAGTTAAGGGCTCTGTCCCTCCAATTTTGACCATATTGGCCTACAAGATCACAAATTGCACATAATATGAACAAGAAAAAAATACTATGTCCGACTATAACACTAATCATCATCCTATTTACTAAACAACATAACAACCTAACCTAACCTAACCTAACATTTCCCTAACCAAACCTAAAATGTCCCTGACCTAACATGGTCTTTCCCTAACCTAACCTAACCTGCTCTTTCCCTGACCTAACCTATAACCTAACATTTCCCTGACCAAACCTAACCTTTCCTTAACCCAACCTGTTTACCCTCGACCTTTTCGCAGGTGGGCCAAAGCACTAGCGTGGTGCCGTTCGTGGACTGTCTGCACCCCAGAACGAACAATTCCAAATCGAACATGCACGCGTGGGAGCTGATACTTAAGTACTACGAGTTGAAAAACGGCGACTCTTTCAACTCGACGCCCGCCCGGAAACTGTCGCAGAGTTTCAATTTGGACATCGAAGGCTGCAAGTCGTCCAATTCCCACAAACAAGTACGTACCCACCACCGGTAGTACTCGGATAATTAGTTGTTTTGTAGATGGAACAATATGGCACAAAGAAAGGAGGGCATATTATTAACCATTCAAATGCGTATATTATCTTAAAATTTAAGCTGTAATTTTTGAAATCTAATCATCTTTCTGACAATTTGTACGTTATATCCCTGCGTGCGCGTTGTAGACTTCATACCGTTGGAAATACAATAGTACTATTATTTTGGGTATTACCTCCTCTAAATAGCAAAAAATGAGGCTCGAACTGGCCGTTGACGAGTTGCGAACGATTAAAACAAAATACATAGACAAGCGAAAAGAAATCAGGGATAAGATAGACATTTTATCTCTTATCTCTCTTATCTCTTATCAGATAAATAATCAGACATTTTTGTTAGGTAAAAAACTGTCGATTTTTCCGGTTGTGTGCCAACCGTGTGGAATTCCCCCAACACGTCCTTCGCGCTTTGGCGGGGCAATTGTTTTTTATATAAAAAAATGTAATCTTTTTATATTTTTTCAATTTGTTTGCCCTCTCCATATGATACAGTGTCTGTTGTCAATTATCGGAAGTATCGTGTCGTCGCATTCGCGGTACAAACGAAGCTACGATTCATGTTTCAAGGCCTTGGTGTGCGCCGGTCTCAAGTGAGCTTTTAAAATTAAATCCAAAAACGAATACACTAGTAGTATAGCCAATAGCCACGTATACTAGAGCTGTGCAAATAATTGCACGAATAATTAATTTTTTCAATTTATTCGAATAAAAAAAAAAAAATTATTTTTGAAATTATTCGAATACAGTTTTTTTGTGTATGTGTATACATAGGCGCAACTAGACCCACTTTTAAGGAGGTGCTAAAATTATGTATACTTAAGACTAAACATAATTATTCTTATCATCAAACTTTTAGGTATAAAACATGATAATATTTGAAAACAAAAATATTCTAAAATAAAAAAAAATGTTAAGCGTACAAATCAAGGGTTGGGGTATGAATTTTTGGAGGTGCTAAAATCTTCCTAGCACTCCCCTAGTTGCGCATATGTGTATATATACTGGTTTTATATATTTTTTGTAAACGTATTGAACTTTTATCATATTATAAAGTACTAACATAAGACGTAGTAAAATATGTACCTAAAATTTAAGGGGGAAAAATTCTCAAAATATTCATATTTACAGAGAAAATGAGTGTCTTACGTTAGTTGGATCACTCTGTATACGCTTTTCCCAAATTTCTGGTGGGTTAATCTTTACAAAAAATCGTGTACAATAAAATTTTTAAATTTGGCCATTGAAGGGTTTAATTAAACGTTTGAAAATTATTCGAATAATTTCTAATTTAATTATTCAAATAATTAGTTTTTAAATTTATTCGAATAATTAATTTTGGAATTTTTTTTAATAAAAACTTATTAAAATAATGTTGTTTTTTAATTATTCGAATAATTAATTTTTCAATTTATTCGAATAATTAATTTTGGAATTTTTTTGAATAAAAACCATTTAAATAATGTTGTTTTTTAATTATTCGAATAATTCATTTTTAAATTTATTCGAATAATTAATTTTGGAAATTTTTTGAATAAAAACTTATTTGAATAATGAATTTTTTTTAATTATTCGAATAACTAATTTTTAAATTTTTTCGAATAATTAATTTTTTTTAAACAACAACTTTTTGAATAATTATTTTTTGAAATTATTCGAATAACATCTTACCTGAATACTGTGTTATCTAGATGATGATGATGATGATGATTACTCAGATAACTTTTTATTCGAACTGTGCACAACAACGGTGGTTAGGTTGGGTTAGGCTAACAGCAGCTATACATACTTACTTACTTACTTATTTTTGTATCGCACGTTTCACAGCTCGAAAACGTTAGTCAATTGGTTGAGATTTGTGTTCAAGTGTCAGCCGTTGGTCGAAATGTATTACCAACCGTGGAGCTACGTGGGCCAAACGGGTTAGTAGTGTGTGATGTTAAAATTAGTTACAACAATAATAACAATATACCTACACTTGCCGGCCAATGTCGCCAATGTGCAATAATAATCCTCCCTCTTCCTCGTGACGTGCCCAACTGTGAATGATCGTCGTGTGTTCATATCTTATTTCAGGCTTCGAAGACGCTCTGCGGTCGTTGGCCAAACTCAATCATTACAGTTTCGACCTGCCAGCCGACTTGGCCGTAAGACAATTGCAAAACATCAAAGACGCCTTTTAGCGGTTGTCTTACGAAAACTATGCACACGTTTACTTACGCTGCACTACCTCTGATTGTAATTTATGTTTGTTTTTATTTTCATCGATTCCCATCACCGGTACTGTACCGTACGCTGTTATCTAGTAATAGTTGTCGTGTTGCATAATATACTTGTACATATATTATTATTATTATACAAAATACATGCAAACGCCCTCGTTAAAAAATTCGTTTTCGTTATTTTTCCTCCCCCGGGTCATTCCGGGTCGGGAGCTTTAAGGACATAGGCGCAAATACGGGGGGGGGGGGGCTAGGGTGGGCTTAGCTCCCCCAAAAAAATTAGTTTGTGCGTACAATTTTGAAAAACAAAAATATATTTACTTATATATATATATATCAAAAAAATGTCCAGCCCCCCCAAGTTAAAAATTGAAATTGCGCCTATATTACATAAGGACCTGTTTTTCTTCACCGCCTACAGCCGTTTGAAACCCCACCAGGGACATATATCTCCTTGTATATCTTAAAAAAAAAAAATAATTCCCAAGAACAGTATTCGACTATTCACTGCACGTTAGTAAAGGGTTAGGTACACAATAGAGCACGGCAAATCGAATCGGATGGAAAGTGGGGCCAAGGGGGAGGTTCTCAAAATCCTCGGTAAACCCCACGAGGCTTTCAAAAAAAAAAAAAATGAAAGAAATGTCAGCAAACAACGAGGCTTGCACCTTCTTCAGTTCTACCGTGTGCTAATGTGTTGTATTATTATCTAACCCACCACCTCCCCCTTTAAAAAAAAAATCGCCGTACTTGCTTTGTCTACCACTTTGGAGTGGTTCACAACCAGATTCGGACAACCCTCTGTGACCTAGTTTCAACGGGCTTGTCCGCCAAAGTTCCATTGAATTGCACTGTATACAATATATACTTGCTTTTGATTTTGAGTAAATCACACAAACACCGAGAAGAAGAAAAAGCCAAAGATTTTTAAACACTTTTTTTTTTTTTTTTATCATGTATATATATTTTAAACAAACAATGATATTATATTATTTTATAATATTGTATTCACTTTTCACATACGTCAACATACGTCTCACACGTCACCGATTTATAAATAATAATTATTATTATTATTTATTCTTTTTATACGGTACCCGTTACAAAATTCGCTAGGCCGTTAAAATATGCTCAAAAACAAAAAAGGAAAAAACATTTAACACAACTTATAAAGAAAAATGTTCAAAACTTGTATACATATATATATATATATATATATATAATTATATTATATTGCTATTTAAAATTGGTTCGATAAAAGTATTATTATTACCTATTCTCTAATATTATTACAATTTAATCATAATAATAATAATAATAAAAAAAATGTCGCTTAAAAATTGTCGTTATGGAAATCGGACCAAACTACGGTACACTACCTACCGAAAAAGAAATATTATATTATTAAGTAGCCTATTAAAATTGTTTTTTTTTTTTGATTATATATAATAAATTTAAGAGACAAGACGAATGCCGTCGATATTTTCCTCAGCTATTATAAACAAGCGTTAATTAATTATATAATTATTGTTATACGTATTTGCGTTGTACGGAAAACATAGAATTCGAAGAGGCAAACACTTGATCGTCCGTTATTCAATTTACACAATAACACGTACCAATGATTTGTCAATGCTAAAGCTCTTCTTCTTCACACACATCCCACCGATTTATTTATGCATCGTTAATATATTATTTTTAGTTTTATCGAGTAAACATAGATAGGTAGTTAATATCCTACGAAATATCAAGACGGATGCTACTGCGCTATTCGTGTCGAATTATTGTCTCCAAAGTTTCAACGGAAAATAATAAAAAAAAAAAAACAATACCACTTCCTTACTGAAAAAAATTTTTAAAATAATTGCAAGCGGTACCGAAAAAAAATATACAAATTTTAAGATTTAAATAAAAATAACAACATAATAGTAGTTTAGGATTTCTTTTTAAAAATTATTTCGCTGTAATCTCAAATGAATACCTACATAAAACAAAATGACAATTACTTAGACATATTATTATCATAAGCCGTAACAAGAAAAAAAATAATAACAAATTTTTCACAAAAATAATTCATTAAGAAAATTTTGGGTATAAATGTGGCGATACGAACAATATTATAGATTTGATAAATGTTCAAATCTACACAGTTAAACGGCAGACTAATACCCGAAGAAATCTGTTTGAAATGTTTTTCGTCGAAATCCAACACGAAATAATTACAAATTGGAAATAATTATATTGTTTAGACGTAATAAAATTATTTACAATAAGTTATTTGGATAATAATAATAATAATAATAATAATTTAAATGTGCTCGGTATCTATTAAAAGGAGAACATAATATTATACGTAATAAAATTAAATAAAAAGATAAAACAATATTATAAATAGTTATTTACAAAATATAATTAAATGTATACAATTTATAAATAGATAGTTCCATCATAGGGTGGTCACAATCCTACTAGATCCGTGTTTGGTCCTCCTACCTAGCTTTTCGTCCTCGTCCTACGTATTTTGATCCTGGCCAATTCCGTTCTTACAATATAACACAGAGCGACCTCTTTTTCTTTGATTTACCTTTCGAGCCCTTGTCGGGAGACCTACGGTTGATCTGCCGCACCAAATCATAAAATATCTGTAGCAAAAAAAATGCACCACGTTGATTGATTTTCAAAAGCCGATAAAACGTGTTATATTATGTACTTACATCGTTGACGTTTACGCGTTGCTTAGCAGAAGTCTCCATGAATGCGCAGCCGAAAGTACGAGCCAACTGTTGGCCTTGCTCTCGGCCGACAACCCGTTCGTCTTCCAAATCACATTTGTTTCCCACCAAAACCATGGGAACGTCGTCGGCGTCCTAGAAAAGGAAAAGAAAATTGCCGATGACAAAAATTATAATAAAAACTATAGTCAACATATTAAAAACCAATCCCATCTAAAACCAATCAAAAATGTTCTCACCTTGACTCTGAGGATTTGTTCACGCAAGTCTTGTAGATCGTTGAAAGTCGATTGCGCAGTGATCGAGTAGACGAGCACGAATCCTTGGCCATTCTTCATGTAGAGATCGCGCATGGCAGTAAATTGTTCCTGAAGAGAAAAAAAATTCACAATCCCACGAGTTAAAAAAAAAAATTCAGTCCCACCGAAAAAAAAATCATTTTATAATCATAAATTATGGGGGAAAAAAAAGTCATTTGGTCTAAATCATATTCCAAATCCAAAACAACTTTGGTAAATACATGAAATTATCCTCCGATCGAAAACCGATACAATATAACATTGAATTAAAACTGTTCGTTCTTTACCGTGCCGGCCGTGTCCAAAATTTCCAACATGCATTGTTGGCTATCGACCTCCACTTGTTTTCTGTACGAATCCTCTATCGTCGGATCATACTTTTCAACAAATATGCCTGGAAAAAAAAACAAATAAAATACGTTATCTCCGATTATTTCTTTAGTTCTAGGTATTCAAAGACATAAAAAACAACCAACGACCAACGAACCTCATAAAAATTAACACCCAAGTATTGTAATGGTTTTTTGCAACAAAAATCTAATCGGCGTTACCTATATTATAAAGATATCGCGTGTATCTGTGCGTTTTGTTTTTTTATCTACGAGTACACATTAGTAGCAATAATACTACGGTGATAATTACCAATTACGTCGAGAGTAAATAATGTATATTTTTTTCCATAACACTAACAATAGGAAAAATTACTACATAGATATCAAAGTTAACACAGTGTGTGTGTGTATCCGCATAGGAATGCCGAGTCGAACACAACTAACCCGGCAGATAATGAATAATAATATTACTTTTATTGTCGATTCCATATTATTATCATCATAGAGTATCGTGGTCGTTCGGTTTCCATGTTTAATATTACAAAAAAAAATAATTATAATCTGACAAAAACGGTATGGGTATTATTTTATTATCGTCGGGCGATTAGATAATGAAAAAAAAAAAACTGTTAATTATCGCGTTTATACGGTTGTATTATATTATTATTATTATTATTATATTAAATCTACTACTTACCCTGCACGAATTGCACTGTCAAAGCCGATTTTCCGACACCGCCGCTGCCCAAAACGACCAACTTGTATTCGCGCATTTTTTCCTGTCGGATTTCCTGTTTGGAAAAAAAAAACGAAAATCTTCCAAGTCAATATTTTATTATTATTTTTTTTACTTCGCCGTGCGATAACACACACGGACTGCCGAGACTTACGGTAAACGCGGTCGACCCGGAACGGTATTTAAACGGGCGACGAAAAAAAAAAACAAATAATTGTAAACACCCAAACAGAAACGACGACGCTTTTGTCGCGAACGCGCACGCTAAATCCAAAAGCAATCCGAAAAGGGCGGAATTGAGAAAAAAATTTCCAACGAGGAAATTTCCGGACGATTTGACAAACGATCGAAAAAAAAAAACGTCTGAAAAAAAAAAAAGCGTAACAAGTAAAACAGCTACAACATTGGTGTGGCCAGGATATAGGCTAGACAGGATGTGATCGCGATGGGCGGCGTTGCGAACGCACACTGCTGGCCAACGCTCCTACCGCGGTAGACCCATGAAGGCAACGTGACGGTACCGCGGTTCGTTTTACCTCCATGGCCGCGGCCATGGCACAAACGCGGCCGACCAGTCGTACCAACTGTCCGGGCGCGCGACGCCGTAGTCGGCTGGTGAACGGCCGCCGACTTTTCTTATCACAAACGGCCCGTTGTTTACATTGTTGCGATTAACGATAAGCGAACAATTACATAACATTTGATTAGCGTAGTAAAATCGAATTTAAGGTACTTTTCAATTTCCAAACGACTTTGACTAATGACTAATACTACCTATAATGATATTAATATAACGGGTGGGTTTTTTAATGTACAAAAGTTTTGTAACAAAACTCGTAAAAGTTTCGCTCGTCCACCTATGTACCAAAGTGATGAATTTTTTTTTTGTCAACTTAAGTGTCAATTCCAAAGAAAAACTATTCGTTTATTGAACGATTGCAAATACAAATAGAAACTTTGGTAATTAAAACACAAGATTATTACAAATATTGTATTTAAATATGAAAAAATTGAAACCACCAAAATTGAAATAGAAACTTTGGCAATTACAAAGTGTAAGAATATTACAAATTATGTATAAGTATAAAAAATTAAAACCACTTACATTATGAAAGAAAATTTGGTAATTAAAAAAACATTGGAATAATAGAAATGATGTGTAAGTATAAAAATTTGAAACCACTAACATTTTCATAAGGGGAAAATTTCAAAGTTTTCATTTTTGTTACTGACTGGCTGACTGACTCATCATCAAAATTATAAAACACTTGCCGTATAGGTAGAAATGTGAAATTTGGCACTAAGACAGGTCTTGTAGTTTTACTAAAGGAAAAAATCTGAAAGTTGCAATTTTCTCAAAATTAATGCCGCTTTTGGGAGTGTAGTTCTAAATGTATGACGTGACGCGCATGAATAATGTTTGATTAGATTAGCATTCTCTTTTAGTGTTACAATGTTATAGCAATAAGCAATCAGTTTGTAATTGACAGTAAATTCTTATCAAACATTATATTTTCATAATTTTATTATATTTTATTTAATTTATCGGTCATCGAATACAGAATAGTATCATTATTTAATTAAGTCTATCTACTCTATGCCCCTGTTCTTCGTCGGAGAATTCGTTCATTCTAAGTATAAAAAATAATAGCAAGTGCCGCTTTTCTAAGAAAAATTGTAATAAGCAAATTCTCCAACAAAACCCTAACAGTGAAAAAGGGCCAAGTTCTAGACAACCCTCTCAAAAAAGTCAGTCTATCAAAGTAGTGATATCTACATTGTGGCCAAGTCTGCTATTTCTTTAGTTGAATAACTTGGCCCTTTTTCACTGTTAGGTTTTTGTTGGAGACACAAGATTCTCAATGAAACTTTTGTGTAATATATAGTTCAAGTTCTACAGGTATAGTGGTGGTGCCGTTATAAATTTAAAAAACAAAAAATAATGCCAATAGTGTGAATCTGTTTTAAAAATTTCATCCCTTCCCCGCCAAAAATGAAGAAAAACAAAAAAAAAATGTACATCTTATTCAACATTAAAATTACAGTGCAGTATACATTTTTTAAAAACAGTAGAATTTCTTCCAAATTTGTATGGAATATTCTTCTTTAAACGTAGTGCTACCGATAAACATTGACAATCCACAAAAATATCATAAACCCTTTCCTCTAGAAGGGATAGATATTTTTTTCTTTATTTTACTTGATTTGTGGAACTTTATAACATTTACAATTTTCTTAGAAATCTGTAGTCAAGCTTTTTTTTTTTAAAACCCCCCCAAAAAAGGGGGAAATTACACTTTGACCGTAGTCAATTTCCAGGTTGCTATGTTTGAGTAAATCAACTCTAATCGTATCCTTCCTAATTTTAAAAATTAATTTTTAAGCACATATAATTGACATTAGGTACAATGCTTTATCGATACCTACCATTCACTTATTACTACTAATCTGCTATATTTTGATTTTTTTTGGGGGGGTTTTCTAAACGTATATTGACAACAACACTGTGTCTAAAGAATATTCCATACACATTTGGAACTAATTCGATTATTCGACCAAAAAAAAAACAAGTAAATAAAAAAAAACTAGCAAGAAAAAAAAAGAATTAGGCAGAAAACAGTTAGGATTTCATGGCTAATTTTTTTGTACATTATGTCTTCAGTCGTGGACTAACAATATTATATTATTTGTGTACCTACAACTGTTTTTTCCCTAACTATGTATTAATATTGTTTTAGAAACATTCAAACAGTTTGAAAGTATGCACATATTTGAATGAGTACTTGAAAACTTTTAGAAAAAAATGTTTTAGGCGAGAGGGCAAATATTAGACATTTTCAATTTTAATGGTGTTCTATTATACTAAGTATTGAAGCAATTGTTTTATTATGTTTATTGATTAAAGTCTAATTGATGGACCAGGTCTTGAATTGTTGCATGAATTTGGTCTTTAACTTTGGTAATTAGTTTTAAACTCATTTATAATATTATTTAGCTGTCCTCTCGACCTGACCTCACCTTTGTTACTCCAATTATTCTAGTTCTCCTTTTCTATGAATAAATCCTTTTATATCAGACTTAATCTATGTGATCGTTAATTATATAATACTCTGTATAATATAATGAACTCTCAAATGTACGCCACTGGCTTTATATTCATATGGGGTTTAATTTTCAATTTATTCAGTTTTTTTGGTAATCGAATGTCTACTGCTCTCTTTATTGTTGATTTTTTTATGGTTATTTTTTCTTTTCTTCCTTTTCCGACGATTCAGAATCGTTGCACCCACAAAATAGGGTTGTTCCGTTTCGTTTAAGCACTTCGGTAATGCCATCACAAGCGATTCCAGCGCCGTAAGAAGCACCGAAAATCATTGGCCCAATTTCTAGAAGAAGAAGAAAAAAAACAATCAACGCTCTTTAAAATAATTAAATTGTTACTTAAACGTGTATTTACTTTTTGCCTTTACCGAAACCGCAGCACCGAGCAAAGTGAACACACCTAAAAAAAAAACAATAAAATATTAGCGAAATAGCAAAGCAAAAATGCAAGATGTTAGCTCACAATAAGTACATTGTGATGATTAAAAAAAAAAATTCAAACCAGGAAGTATGTGAAAAAAAACATACAAGCACAACAGACTAACGACAGTTAGCCAGAGAATACCAATAAATTATCCAACCAGGTCATAGTGTAATAATATAAAGAGATGAACTAGTGAACTTAAGTGAAGGTAATAGTAGGACTACAACCAGTATGGCCACACAAAAGAAATAAAAAGTCCACATTGTTAAGCGTTTGGTACTCTCTCTAAATATTATAAAAAAAGTGTTTACCTCTTATCTTAAAATATATTTTTTTCCCTTCTAACTAGGCAGACTGACTTTAGTCCTACGGTTTGAGTAACAGTAAAACTACTATAGCCATCCCCTGAACCAAGTAGACAATTTTTTTTACTCTTTTTACTTTAAGGGGATTGAATGAGGTCGGTTTAGACCTAAAAGCCTGACAAACGTACGCCTAAATGGGATGGGCTGATTTGAATTTTGTAATAGTATTTGAGTTAATCGCTCTCTTTTCTCATAGTTATTGTGGGAATCAAGAGAAATATTAAGGGAAAAAAAAGGCGAGGAAGCAATATTGCAGAGTTAATTGTTAGAAGCACAATATCTTCGAGGAGACACAGTTTAAGTTTAAAAGCTAAAAAAAAATGTCTTATCCGCATTTTTGCAAAAGTTGTGCTGAGAAAACGAGAAACAGCTGTTGTTTCAGGAAATCATTATACTAATGAAGGTTGTGATATTCTGATAGAAAAATGGAAACTAGTACTTCATTGGCAGCAGGATAAACTATATGTAAATCTATATTAATTATTATATTCTGCGTTAACACTATACTAATAAATAAATAAATAAATTTAAAAAAATGCAAATAAAGTAGTGTTGGACTATTATACAACCGTCGAGAGAGGATACTTCAAGATTACATTTTTTTTTTTTAATAGTAGTAATTAATATCGAGTAATAATTGCTATCGAGGACCCACTTGGCTTTGGGCAATGACTATTAATTTAGAAGAAGTGTCCGTCTCTTAATGGAATCGAATTAAGTGCACAATCGATTAGTATTTGAATACAATAATTGCGGTCGTCTTAATCAACAGTTGATCATTTTTAAATGTTAATTAATTAGACTTTGACTGGGAGAGTTCACAGGCCCGCTGTACTTAGGTCAGTACTTGGTCCAAATTTTGTAGAGGGCATTGTGCATTTAACAAATTTTTTTCCAAATTACATGTAACAATAAGTATAGCTATAATTATCATTATACATACCCATTTTGAACGCCACATCGGGCCATGATTGTTCTAAAATTGTCGATATTTGGTGCTCATCTTTCTTAACCCTATTTTGATGCGACATGTCTTGGAGAATGGTTATGTATTGTTGTGACAACGTCATACGATTGTTTACAATTTAATTATCATTCATTATTATATTACATACAGCCATGCATTTTATAATAATATGTTTGTGCGAAAATACTCATAAACACTTAACATAAGGAAAACGTTGTATTTTACCAGTATTGATATAAATACTCTGTTTTAAGTACACAATTTTTTTTTAAACAAATATTTAATCGAATTTGTATAATTTCTACATTCAAATACGATATTTAATATATGGTGAGTAAACACAAAAAATCCTTATCTATAAAATATTTGACTTGTGTTTTATATTTTCAAACTAACTAACACATGTATACATAGGCGGACTTAGGGGTGGGTTAAAGGGCCATTAGCCCCCCCAATATGTGATTTAGCCCCCAAACCCAATTGGCTTTTTTTATTTCAGTAAAATTCTTATTTAATTTTCTATTACCTAAAAATGTATAAAAACCGTTTTTTTTTTCATACGTGCCTTTTTTATAATATATATTTCAATACTTAGGTTTTTAGACTAGTCGGATAACGTTTGATTGTGGTTAAGGTGTCATTTTACACAAGGAAACTTCTGATGCTTTATATTATTCTGGCGGCGACCGCCAACCGTCTGATGGCAAGACCTATTGGGAAGGTGGGGTGAAGGGTTGTTATTGTCATTTCAGACTACTTTTTCACAGCTAAGTATAAACAAATACAAAATATAAACATTGTTTTAGTAGTCTTATAATGAAAAAAAAAATTCAACGATAAAAGCGATTGCTACAGGTATATATATATATATATATATATATATATATAATAAGGCAAACTTATCGCAGATATTATGAAAATAGTTAAAAACCCGCGGTAAAATGAAATGTTTTTTATTTTTTTTTTCATGTTAAAACATTTGGGGTATATCTCTTTTCTATAGGTATATGCCATGCTAAAAAATATAACCAATTCATTGCCTATTTTACTGACAAGTAGTGCAGATAGTGTTTTTAATACATCAAAAACATTTCGGTTTGTTTTGGCAAGTAAAGCAAGTTATATTCGTAAGTTAAATTATAATTACTGTAGTTGTTTTAAACAACACCATTTTACAGTAGGTATTATTTTAAAGGATAATTAATGTTGAAGATAACTTTTAGAAGTTAAATTTTAACGTAAATATTTAATTCATCCATTAAGTATAGAACAATAATGTACCTAGTGAAAACTGAAAACTGGTTTGTAATGGAATAAATAATTTTTGTGTAATTCGCTTTTTAAATTATAGACGAAGTATGTGGATGGAAATAATAGTATTCTATCCTTCTATCACCTCATCGAGAACATTAAACTAAATTTTATATTTTATTGGACATTTTTTAGTTAAAATAAATAGAAAAAATGATGTACGGGCGTTAAAAGGCAAACTTTTGATTAAGCTATTAGAAAATTAATTCGATTTATAGCTCGAAAAAATATTAAAAAAATTAGTTATAAGCACTTCTACAGTAGGGGCTTTGAATTATTGCCCGGGAGGGGACAATATTTTTTTATATATAAACATACTCAAACTATAATAAAAGTAGTCAGCAAGTGTAAAATATTAATCAACAGTATATTTATAGTATATACTATATAGTAATAATTTTGTTATCAGTTGATAATCAACTTCGATTATAATATTATACATATTGCATCAATAAAAAAATATAGCAAAATATTGCATATACATGCCCACACATTCGTAAAGCGGAAAATTTACGAAAAATAAAGATTTTGTAGGCTACATCAATGTCTAAATATTGTCTAGGACTAAAGCCCCCCCAAAAATCAACCCCTAAGTCCGCCTACGCATGTATATAGCTAAAGAAATGGAGAATTTCTACATAGGATAGGCAAAGTGATTTTTGGGAAATAGAATAGCCATTTCGGTTGTGATAGAAAACATAATTTTGGTTTAATTAAAAAATTCCTAATGTCAAAACAATCGTCGACGGCCAAATATAATAATTGGACTAGTCCAATGACGTCACGCCATTATTATAAAAATGTGTTAATAGCTCTTAAAAATAATAAAAAAATGTATTACTTTGGATTTTTGTCAAATCGGTTTTAAACGATACTACAATTATAGTTATGCAACCATACGTTATAATAGTTGACTATAATAGTTTAACATTTAATTATTATCTGAAGAGAAAAATTTGTTGTGTTGCGACGTCATTGGGTCCGGTTGCTTTTTTTTCAATATTTCCCCTTTATAACTCATTGAATAACGTGAAACCTATAACGTTTTCCTTAGAGCTGAACATTCTTGAATACTTCCAAACTAAAATAATTCATTTTTTTCTGTATTATGCTCTCTTCAAAACGCGCGGGCAAACGACTTTTCTTCCATGACGTCATCGGCGGCCTAAGCGCGCCGTCATGGAAAAAAAAATTCTTGTTGATTATGATAAGACACCCGCCGCAACGTTCTAAATTGATAACAGCTCATTTTGTAACGGTCAAAACATTTTGCTGATTCAAACAACATAATTTCAACATGCTTTTCTTGTTGAGTCGTCCGTGTCGTTGAAACAGTTCGGTTGAAACACCATAAGCTCGGCCAACGCAATACTATTACGGTGTAAAAAATCTTCACCGGTCTGAATGCAAGTGCGATCGTCAAGATGAAGCGAGCAACTTGTAGCCAAACGACGAGGAAACCCAAAAGGACCAAATCGGACGATGACGCCAAAGATCCAATTCAAGTATACTGTCGCATACGACCGCCGACCGCCTGCTTAGACAATCCGTGCATTACGGTGGTGTCGGATACCGATTTGCAAATCAGTTGCCCACCCGACGACAGGGGCGTATCCAGAGAAGGGCAGTTCAGTTATAAAAAAATATTCACCGAATACGAACCCCAAGAGATGGTGTTCCAAGACTTGGCATTACCGCTCATCGAGCAACTGTTGTCCGGTAAAAGCGGTTTGCTGTTCGCCTACGGCATATCGGGCAGCGGTAAATCCTATACGATGACTGGCAATCAAGATGACGGAGGTATCGTTGGTCGGTGTTTCGACGTCATATTCAATTCCATTACAAATTGCCAAGCCAGAAAGTTTACGTTCAAGCCGGACAAACTTAACGGTTACGATGTACTGAGCCTGGAAGAAGCCATGACGTGTCGTGCCGAAGATTTTAAACACAATGTAAAACACATGAAGACGCCCAAAAAGTAACATGTTTTTCATTATACAAGTTTAACTGGATTGTAACTTAACTATACCTACTGTCTTTACCCTAAGCCGCCAGTGAAAAATATAGCTTTTTATGGCTTTTACACAAACTTCAATCACTCTTGTCATTATTTTTGTTACGGAAACGGCTCGAAAATATTTTCAAAAGGTCTGGGCTGATCCGAAAATGTGTTTTTAAAAAATATTGTTATCATATTTTATAAGTATAAAGAAGCCAATTATTATGAAGCTAATTTTCGGATGTCTTTAGTTTTTTGCTAACGCTTTGCTAACGTGACTGTACTAAAAAAACACTGAAGACATGGATACATCTGAAAATTAATCACATAATATCATAATCCATGAAAGCCTTAATAATTATTATTAGTAAATGTCTTAAAATAATTGTATTTTTTTTTTATGTCATATTTAGAAAAGATGGATCAGATTCAGATCGGGTGCCGTTTGATTATAGAATCGTCGACATTGACCAACACGTGGCGTATTCTGTATTTATCAGTTACGTAGAAATATACCACAATTACGTTTACGACCTTTTGGAAGACATCACCGACGGGGAAATTAAACGGTAATGTACTGGTAAAACCGATTACATTTTTTTATCAATAAAAAATTTACATTTATTTTTAGAAATAGCAAAGTTATCCGAGAAGATTCAAACGGTAACATGTACGTACACGGTGTTAATGAAAAAGAAGCGACCAGTGCCGAAGAGGCCTTCTATTGGTTGAAAAAAGGACAGTTAAACAAACGTACAGCTCCGACGTTTTTGAATATTGATTCCAGTCGTAGTCATACAGTGTTTACGTTACGCTTAGTACAAGTAAGAGTGATTGGGGGCAAAACTAGTGTTTTATTAGCACCATAAACTATGATTTACTATTTTTTTTTTTTTTTATCCAGGCGCCTCTCGACGCCGATGGTGTGAATGTAATTCAAGACAAAAAGTTTACTGTGGTCAGTCAAATATCATTAGTTGATTTGGCCGGCAGTGAAAGAGCCGGAAAAGCCAAAACAACCGGACAACGACTACAAGAAGCAGGTTTATAATTTTTTTAAAAATAATTTCCGTCAATGGCCACCGCTGTATTGATAATAATCTATCGGCAAACATTTGTTTTAGGTGAAATAAACAAATCGCTATCGAATCTTAAACTGTGCCTAAGGATATTGTACGAAAATCAGTCTTCGAGCAATTTAAAGAGCTTAGCCGAGATAATACCTTATAGGAGTTCTAAGATCACGCACTTGTTCAAGAGCTTTTTCGAAGGTTCTGGTTCGATTAGAATGTTGATTTGTGTTAATCCCATGTCTGAACCGGCGGAACTTCTGGTAATAAAAAAAAAATATATATATAAAATACAGCGTATCGGTTTTTACTTTTTTTTATATATCTTGTATTTATTCGGTTGACAGCCTGTTCTACAGTTTGGAGAAATGTCTGGAAACGTACAAGTGAAAAGAATGACACCTTTACGAATTGATACGGGTTTGACGCCAGGCCGAAAGAAAATTGTCGATGTACGACGATGAGTAATTTGTTAACAGACAAGTTTTAGCCAAACTGTTTTACTCTTGACAAACATTATTAAATATTTCTGTGTATTATCACATTTTCAGGTTCAGTCGTTGAACCGTATACCGTGTGTTCTGGAAGAAGATCCACCCGTTAACAGAAACAACGACAATTTGAAATATGATTACGACTTGAGGTTTTTTTCATTTATTATTTGCTATTTTATAAAAAAAAAAAAACTTGTTTGAGCTCCTACTAAATTGTCGAAATTTGTTTTGCAGTTTTATGAATTTAGGGCCTCCGTTACCTCAAATGGAGTTCGAAGAGTTATTAGTCGAAGAAAAGCGTCAAGAAATGCTGATTGCTGTGGAACAAAAAATTAAAATCAAAAATGAATTACGCGATTTTTTAATAAGCGAAAGTAAATTCATTGTTTTCCAATAATAATAATTTGTTTGTTTTTAACATTTGAGTTAACAACATTTTTTCAGGCAATGACATAAGATCAAAAATTGTACACTTGGAAAGCAACTACACAGTTGCATTACAAGACGTAAAGTCCATACGAATACTCAGGGATCAAGAACAGAATAAAGTATACATTAAATACTGCACTCTGTTAGTTTTTTTTTTTAACCCAAGTATATTTAATTTTAATTTTTATATTTTAGATAAAACAGTACAAAAACAAAGCATTGTTATTAGAAAATGAACAGGGATCTTTAAAAAGAAAAATAGAGTTATTGGAAAGTGAAAACAAAAGATTGAAATCTGGTGTGAGTTGTAAAATATTGTTTTTTTTATTTTTATTCGTAGATAAAGTATCGCACAATTAACGGTTTAACTTGTTTGTACACGATATAGATAAGCGCCAAAGAAAATATGATCAACGAAATGGCGAGCGATGCGGATCAATTAAAACAAAAATACAACGCAAAAGTTATCAAGAACAAAGAACGATTGTCAAAAGACTTCAAAGAAAAATGGAAAGCAAAAGAAAATGAATTTGAAGTTAGCGTTAAATTGTTGTTAACATTTTGTTTACGACCTTTTGTTAACCATCGAGTTACATCTTTCTAGGCCAAATTACAAGAAAAGAAACGTAAACTTCGGCACATCAAGAACATTGCCGAGAGCACTGAAAGTATTTCGAGCCAGGGCAGCACCCTTAAGCGAACGGTATCCGACGAAAGTTTCAGCAAACCCAATACTGGTTCAGTCGTCAACAAGCCTGTCGAAAACCCACCGAACAAGGTAGTACATAAACTGTCGGGCGAAACCTTTTGGTACAACTTTGTATTACAATTATTATTACAAATATAGCCTTCGCAAGCACCGAACATGCGACGTCTGCATTCGAGGCGATCGAAATCTTGTGATCCGCGAGATCGTTGGATAGAACACAAGCCGCCCGTACCGGTTCCGTTACAAACTGTAATGCAACCCAAGATGAGAAAACGTAAGTCCATTACCAAACTGACCAATGCCAAAACCGTATCCAAAACCGACGCTTCCAAGTATTGCCTACTCACCCAAGACAAAGACAGCGATGGTGTTCCGGAGGCAAAACTGTACAAGGTACTGTTGCGCTCGGCTGATATTTTATGTTTGTCCAAAGGATAGCATTTTATTAATTTTTGTAATATTATGTAAATTTCTCAGGGGGATATCATTCCAACAACCAGTGGAGGAGCTCAAGTGGTGTTCAACGACGTTGAAAAATTACAGCAAGATTGTCCGTTGGGTGGATCGCCGGTAAAGAAACGCGTTCAAGCCTACAACGAAAGAATCGAAGGTCACATTCCAGACGATCAACAATCGAAATGTTATGGCATACAAGGCTGTACGCCAAATTCGAGAAAATAACAATTATCCCATAAGGAAGAAAATATTTCTTTATAACCGTTAAGAATTTTGTTGATCTAGTTTTACAAAGACAAATGTTAGAAATTTTGTACCGTTATTTGTATAAGTTGTATTTTTAGTATTTAAATGCATGTTATGTTTGATTTTTCAATTTGAATTTTAATAATAAAAAGACATTATCATTATTTTACTTAATCAGTTTAAGAATATCCATAAGATTTGAATCAGAGTGTTAACAGTATAGTTTACTTGTCTATGAGCGTTATGTTATGTTATAAGTGTTCTTCCGTCCACATTATTTTACTGAGCTATTTTTTTTTTTCAAACAAGTAATAGTAAAAAAAAAAAAATGTTTGCTCCAAAAGTATAATTTTGTTTTTTTTTATTGCATGGAAACGCTTACTTTAACTATTATACAATTGTTTTCTAGAAATGTATGTATATTTTATATGTGAAGTTTTTAAAGAATGAGATATTATAATATACAATGTTTTAACTTTCATTGTTATTTATTACCACCAATGTTTATTTGATCAGATTTTACTTATAAATAATTGTATCTTTTTTTTGTTGCTTTATTCAATGTTTTATCTCTTGTAACTACTTTATCTAGAGCTTCCTTGCTGGTGAGTTAAAAATATTAATTGCTTAAAATGACAAATCCTAAATTGCAACGTATTAATAGAGCTGTAAAAAACTATTAGACAAAATACTAATAAAAAGACAAAAGTTTAATTTTAATATTGTATAAAGTAGGTTACATTGGTTTTATCAGCCGATGCGTTAAGTTGCTTAGTTTAGTGAATTTTGTAGAATACATTTCTTTCGCTTGAACATGTTATTTTAAAAGTAATATAACTTTCATAAAAGAAAATTAAGGTATATCAGAGTACTTGTTAAGTTTTATTAAAATTAGAATTATTTAATGTCCACCACATAAAAAATTGAACAAATTAATTTCTATGGCAAATATATATAATATAACATATATATGTTTTTTTTATAGGTTTTAGACAATTTTTCTTTTGAATAGCAACTAGCCGTAGAAAATTTGGGTCATCGCTTTAAAAGTTTAGTGAGAGTCAACACAAACACATAATACATTTTAAGAAATTTTTTTTAAGTATATTTAACAAAAATTAAAAAAAAAACCTTCTTACAAATATTTAATTCGTTCTTTCTAAGCATATTTATGTATTGGCTAATAGTTATAAACATTTTGAAGAATTTCAGGTTATTAAGTTTATTTATTTTGTACTTACTAACAGCCACTTCTAGGAAATAGTCATTGGGACAAAATGGTTTTTGGCGGTATTCAGTTAGGCAAAAAAATATATAACAATATTAATAATATTAGAAAACAATAAATATTATCTTTTACTCTCATCTCGAGAAAAGTGGGAAAAAATCAAAATTTGAAATAATGTTTAGGACTAGGCAAATGTGTATGTTTGTCTCTAATAATATACTGAAGCAAAATTAGTTGTATTTACAATTAAAATATTAACCAAAATGAGAATGACTAATTAGAAAAATGTATTTTAAATAACAAAATTTAAAATTCATTTCTGAAATCAAAACGTATTTTGAAATACTTCTCAACTCGGGTTTAAATCTGACTTTACAGTTATTATGATATGTTACTGATAAATAAATAAAAATTATTTTCAATTTCCGTTATAAATTATAGTTTGGTTTTAGCTCAAAGCCAAAATGTATCATTACCTAAATACGGCCGCCTTTCTGAGTTGTTCTTTTTGTGTGTTATAATCTTTGTGTATCATTAAAATATATCGTTTAATATCCAGGAAAAAAATTCAAAGTAGAATTTGTCTCATTAGACAATAATTTTTCTTAAAAACAATCAATACAAGAAAAAATATTGAACCTATTACAACATTTATTAACATTACAAAATAAAAACAAAATAAAAAGTTAAAAAATTGTATTTCAAAAAAGAGCGGTAACTATGGTTTATACCACAGCTTACCATGGTCGTAGGGTATACCAGTTGTTTACTTCGTAGTTTGTTTTGATTTTTGTGTTTTGTTGCTTACAAACAGGATGTGATAAACGCCAAGTGATATCATAATAATAATTTATAATAATTTGATATTGCTTTATCGCCTGAATTTGAAATATTTCTCGGCTTAAAATTTACATTTTAAATGTTTTCTTCGGTGTTTTTAATACTATAGTGCCTTCGTTTGGCTGAATGCGTTTTTGACTGACTCCTACCCAAAATCGTTCTTCAAGGATTGGAGGAAAAAAAAACATAAAATGTTGTAAGTACTAAATTCTACGTTTCTAAAATATGTTTTTATACTAGTTGTATTTAACATTGTTACATAGTTCCAAGTTAGATAATTCTTTTAGAACTATAACCACCAATCCTGTTATAATAGATACATACGTAATCAAACACATTTGCATGTATGTATTTATAAAAGAGCAATACAAATGTTAATAATACTAGAGAATGTGATAGAAAATATTTTTTTCATGTTCATTGTATTCTAACTGTAATACTTTGCCACAAACATGTTAAATTAGTAATTTGTTGCCACTAGCATATTAGACGATTAGTATGGACAGTGGACACACACATAACAATTAACCAAAAGCGCCTACGCCTAATCGGTTGAAATCTTACTATCTTCAATTGTGTTACATTTTAATACATTATATCGTTATTCGTTTGTGTGCATTTGTTCAACTCTACTTCACAGTTTGGATAAAGGCAAATGGGAAACATGAACACGAGGGACTAGAATAGAAGTGTAAATGTTACATAATTGTTAGTTTGGATTAACTTTAAATAAACCATCACTGTAGTTGCGTAGCTGGGAGTTAAATCATAATTCATATAATACATACAATATACGATATAATATATTTTTCAAGGAGATTTTAGAGTTTGCCTGGACTGGACTAATGATATCAACAGCTATTTTGCCTGTAATTTTTGTTTTCTTCTTCTGTACGTTGATTTTACGACCCCAATTTTAAATTATTATGACATATATATATATATTGCATAGATAAAATATGTATAATTCTATATTATTAATGCTTGTATCTTAATATTAACATGATAAGATTCAACAAACATTTTATCGTTTTTGTTTTCTTAGAATTTATTTGATATTTGAAAACAATTTTATAAGTCAATAGTATTGTAGTTGTTGCATATTATGTTTTGAATAATTCAGTACAGAATAAAATTAATTATTTGTAAATATTTATTTACAATAAATAATTAATTAAAATCCATAATTAATTCCATAAAATGTATCATTTTACCACAACTCATTTAACGTACAGCAATTTCTATAATTTATTTACGATATTTCTCGACTATATAATATTTAATATAAAAAAAATATTCCGTAAGGCTAAAGTAATTTAAATATTATGTTTCCAATAACGGAAAATCAAGTTGTAAATATTTCATCTCTTCGCATGGTCTTTTAGCCGAGCAACATTTATTTTACCTTAATATACTTAATATCTTATACCATCTGCACTTCTGGGACTATTAATTTAATTAAAACAATAAATTGTAATAATGTTTTAAACAAAGCACAATTTATTTTTAACTATAAAAATGAATTCGAGGAAGAAAGATTATTTTACCATGGTTTTGCTATTCCTAAATATAATTTTATTGTTTCCAATTCATAGCAGGAGCAAATAATCAATAAATTTGGTCCTAACAACATATTACTAAAAAACTTTTTCAATTATTTTTGTAATTTTTTGATAACTACTTATAATTTAGTTCTAAAACATTAAGTCATAAAATCATGTCTATTATTAACAACAAATAGTTTGTTTAAATAGTAAAACTTGTTTGAAAAAGTTAAGTTCGTATAGTATTCTAAAAAAATGTCAAAAGAAATCGGAGTCAGTTTTACTATTTTTTTTTTACAAAATTATAGCACAATAGTAAAACATCCAACCTTTTTTTCGCTTCATATTGAAGTTAATATATATATAAGAAAATAATTAATCGTGTCACTCGAATATTACTCGACGTTATTTTGTTTCTTGCGTCATATTTTGTAATTAATAAAAATGTTACATCATAGTTGTAAAACTACTCAATGTTCCAATTTATTAAATAAACATACAGTTCAAAAGATATCCAATATTTACCACACCGAACTAAATGTATACGATACGAGTAGTGATGACAAACATTTGCTTTGTAGGCCGCTTGTTTTATAATAAATTATACTGTTTCGATAAAAAAAAAAAAAAAACTAACCGACATCAATATATATATATATTATTTTTATTACTTGTGTAAACATCTTAATTTTAATATTTATTAATTTTGTATCTTATATTTTTTTTTTTTAGAAGAAATTCCTCTTAAATATTCGCTGAAAATTTGCAATGCCTCCGATTCCGTTAGAAGGTAACCAGCCCAACATGAATAACGGGCTACCTCCAGAAGGATCAATATCTCTGTCAATATTGATTGATTTTATTGTACAACGTACTTATCATGAGCTCACGGTGTTGGCAGAATTGTTGCCGCGCAAAGCCGACATGGAACGGAAACTGGAAATTTACAAGTTTGCTGACCGCACCAGACAGTTGTTTGTTCGCCTTCTCGCCCTCGTGAAATGGGCAAACAGTGCTTCCAAAGTGGACAAATCTACTCAAATAATGGCGTTTTTAGATAAACAGTCAATGTTATTCATAGACACGGCAGACATGCTCGCCAGAATATCTCGGGAAACCGTCGTGTCAGCTCGGCTACCTAATTTTCATATTCCATCTGCCGTTGAAGTATTGACAACGGGTACTTTCTCCAGATTACCGGCTTGCATTCGTGAAAGAATCGTACCACCAGAAAAAATCACTCCTGCCGAAACTCGCGAAACGCTATTGCAATTGAATAGAGTCATTCAGCATCGACTGGTCTGCAGTAATTTAATTGGTGAAATGAGTTGTAAAAAAGTGTCAAACGGTCGGGTTACGTTTCGCGTGGAAAACGAGTTTCAAGTGTCTTTGACGTTGATGGGAGATAACCCTAACATACCGTGGAGACTTTTAGATGTTGAAATATTAGTTGACGATAAAGAAACCGGCGAAGGTAAACCGTTGGTACATCCTCGACAGACCCAGTATATTCATCAAATAGTCCAGGCTAGACTGCTGGAATGTTGTAGTACTGGCGGCGAGCCTCTTACTCAGGTCTACATGGTATTGCACTACTTTTGTCAATCGCTGCAATTAGAAGTGTTGTTTTCCCAAACCAGAGTGTTGTGTAAAGACAGATTGGACGGTCACATACACATAACCGAATACAAAGCTGGAAAAAGTTTAGTCGTTTCGTACTGGAGAGAGCTATCGCGCAGCGTGTCCGAACAATTTGGATATTCATTAACCGTTTCTGTGGACGACAAAGAACCCAATAAACCGTTGTTGATACTACATTCACCGTCTTTAGGCACAAAGGATGCGGAGATTACAGAAAAATCAATTGGCACCGATCATTTATCCATGGAACGGCTGTTAGTGCACACAATTCATGTGCGTACTAAAATTCGTTTATCTGAGCTTAAGATAGAATTGGAAAATGTGTTGAAAGATGTCGAGTGCAATTTGCAAGGCTCCCCGGCAATATTGTCAGTCGCTATACTTAACCCTTGCTTACGGGCCGAACAATTGCTGATAACGGTCGATACACATTCGGGTATGCTTCAATGCCACGTTCCTGAATTCAACCCGCCCAGTATAGTTCAGTTACAACAGGCTTTGAATAGCGAACCGTCGAAGATACCAATTCTCCTAAGTGAATTGAGATTTTGGATTACCCAACGCCGCTGTGAGACTACGTTACAACACTTGCCAGCCACAGCGTATGAACGGTTGCCCGTATTACATCATATCGATCATCCGATGTCAAAAATTAGCCGTCATCGTATGTTTATCAAATTACATAAAATATCAAATATAATATTGATTGTGGAATTTGCCGAGAATGAAAAGTCCCCTTGTAGAATTGAATACAAATTTTATATTGCCAGTGTGAAGAAGTCGTCTATTGAAGATAACCCCAACGACGATTCGATTGAAACCGATATACCGAAAATGTATTTGAAAGTCTTGACTTTGCTCACTTTGGAGAAATTTGTAGCGACTCATGGACCGTTTACAGCCGTCATCGAAGAGCAACACGAAAAAATCGATCCGTACAGTCGAAAAAGGAACATCATAAGTAACGACAAACCGAGAAAAGTTCCTAAGCACCCAGCTTATTTTATACCCGAGCTTGCTCACATAGTCGCCTTGTGTGACGAACGATTGCCATTCACTGTGTTGGCACAAGAACTATCAAAGTATGGAATCAGCAATCAAGGTGTCCAAATCGAGGCCAACGCTACTACCTTTGTTTTGAAAATTTTGTCATTACCGCCTCCTTCTGGCATCGAAGCTACAAATCCAAAATGGATATCGCTTTGCAAACGTGTGTTGTCGATATCGATTCGAGTCTATGGCAAAGGTACTACTCGATGTTGGACTACCGAATATGTGTTTTATGGAAGTCCGTTGCCCAGCAGACATAGCAGAGAGCAGGGAGCTCGTCGGCCGGTTTACATAAACTATGATGTCGGCGTTGCAGAAAATATTTCGAAAACAGTCGAGACAATACTAAACGACTGGTTCCAAATCGTACATTTGTACTTTTTAGTTGAAGACCTATCACCTTATTTGCAAATGGAAAAAAACAACTTGCAGTCTATGATAAGTATAAGGAGTTATAATTACTTGAAACTTATCATAGGATACGGCGCCCATAGACGTTCAACAGCGACGATCCAGTGGAACTCGTCGACTAGTGGATTCACTATAGTTTTTGGTTCACTTGACAGTAGTATTAATCCACATAATTTAATTAAAGAACAATTCGAAGGGTACCTCAACAGTAACAAAATGTTGTCCATGCTCATCCACGAAATGTTAGATACATTAAACCCTCTTAGTGCGATTTGCAAATTGCCATCGATACCGCAGCTCTGTGTTTTACAAGTCAGGCCCCAAGTACCAGTAATAACTTTTGGAATAGTCGCCAACTCGACTAATTTGATTAAAGTGATTTACGAAGGACAATATTGTATAGAAATAACATTGAAATGGGGAAACTTGGTCAGTATCAGGGACGGAGCATACAGCAGATATGACAGGACATCTGTGATTTCTGATTATATACCTACTCCAGGACTAAAAGCGTTTTTGTACAAATATGTAGACGAAACTAATATATTTAGAAGACGATCTCAATCAGAAGATGACAATCCACCATCTCCTATTACGATGGATAATATCGAAAGCAACTTCTTGGGCGGCTCTTCGCATAGAGGTCCTCAATCGCCTGCCCAAGGTTTACGATTTCATACTCCGGGTAATACTTCATCAGGAAGCAATCCGCACACGCCATCTAGCCCACATCCCGCTGTCGGAGGTATGTCGCAAACTAACCAACAGCAATATACCAATAGTCCTGCTTCGTCTTTCAATTTGGCTTCTCCGCCGTCATTGCCATCCGGCGTCAACCCATCACCATCTGTGCTTCCACATCCTTCTCCGGGTTCCAGTTTGTTGGCGAGTTCTCCGTCGAATCCTCTACACGTACCAAGTCCAGCAGGAATGTTATCTACGTCTTCTCCCGGTCCAGGTTCGGGCTTTGGTTTGAGCTCTAGTACTCATCCTCCAGAAATGAGTCCTTTTCCTTCTCAGAGTATAACTTCCCCGGCTGCATCGAATTGGCCCGGATCTCCAGGTTTGCCACGTTTATCACCGGCCAGAGCTCAAGGACAATCTCCGGCGAGCCATTCGCTGCAAAGCCCAGATCACAAAAGTGGGTTCACTCATACGTCCAGAGTACTTCCTCAGAAATCTTGGGCAGGAGCCGTTCCTACAATTATCACACACGAAGCCTTGGATTCTCTATGTACACCAACGGCTCACCCGCAAGGACTTGCCGCGCCCAAACAATGTCCCCTGGAACGGTTCTTGGGGTGTGTTTACATGAGGAAGAATCTCCAACGTTTCGTTCAGACGGAAGAAAATCTTGTCTCGTTAAACTGTTCCGAACCGGGTGTTGTGAATTTTAAAGTGGAAAATTTACAATGTCGCATTTTTATAAATATGCAACATTTCCAATCGTTGCATTTGAAAATATCTTGTATCCCGGATCAAAAAGATCCGTGGACCATGGAAGAACTAAGCATATTGGAAAACTTCTTCGAGAACAAAGTGGCAATACCGCCGTGCAAGCCGAACACGTTGCTGGGCTTCACGCGCATGTTGAACTGTTCGTACACGGTACTCAAGGATTTCATACAGATAATCAAATTGGAGATGATTCCGGGCCTGATTCAGCAACATCAAATGAAATGGACGGTACAATGGTGTTTGCGAATACCGCCATCGGCCACGCCAATTGTGCCCGTCGGCAAGGAAGCCCTGCTGATATGTCGCAATAAAATATTGTTTTTCTTGCAAATCACCAGGATCGGCATAACGTACAGCGGCAACGAAGTGCCTTCGCTGGTGTTGCCCCTCGTGTACGACACTGCGACTAACTTGACACAGCTAGCCGAGAAGAGAGATGCCGGTCCAGCGTCTGCCATATCGGCTGCAAGTTTACACATGAAGCGGTTCGCCGAGTTCGCGGTCAATCAAAACGAATGCTCCATATTCCCAGCCGTTCGGGATCTCATGACAAATTTTGTACTCCCTTCAGAGCCACAACCTCAGATGTCGCCTGCCCCGATGAACATGCACCCGCAAATGGGCGGACCCGGTGGTCCGGTGCAGTCGCCACTAATGGGACAACACATGATGAATCAAAATCCTGGAATGGTCGGCAAAATCCTGGAATGGTCGGCAAAATCCTGGAATGGTCGGTCAAAACCCTAACATGATGGGGCAAAATCCCAATATGATGGGACAAAATCCTAACATGATGGTGCAAAATCCAAACATGATGGTACAAAATCCCAATATGATTGGTCCAGGACAAACGTACGGAGGGTCTTCGATGTCTAATATGGGCCCTCAACACGGAATGATGCCACCTCACCAGTAGAAATGTACGCATCGTGAAAACAAATTTATTTAAATTTACAATTTTCTATGTACAGTCTTGGTGAATACTAACTAACTGAATTGTTTTTATTATTTTTTTTTTTTGGTTGAAAATTATTTATCGTTACCTAGTTTAAAGAAAAATAATGATTACGTTATTAAACAACATTGTATAGTATTCAATTATTAGCTAAAGTTTCTCTAACTTCTGTACAATTTAGGTTATTAATGGTAAATATCAATAACTTTGTTAGTAAATTATTTTTATATTAATTTAATTATTAGTATAAGGCTGTAACCGATGTACAATTCATATACTTAATACGCTTTGTAGCAAAATATATTAACATTAGACAAATAATTAATTCCTGTCATTACAAAAAGCAACCCTCGAGCCAACGGTGGGTAGTTTTTAGTCACACTACATTTTTCAAAATTATGATATTACCACAAAGAAAACCAAAATTTCGAGTATATTAAGTATCTTAAATCACATTTCGGGAATCGTTTAAATAATATAGAGCTTTGACTGGTGTTAGTCATGAATCTATTTGTTTATATTTTAGTCTGGACCTGTAGTTTTTTAACTGCTGTCTATTGTCAATTAGTAGGAACTGATATAATTTACTGATGTCTGATGACAAAACAAAATTAAAAATATGTTCATAAGAACATGGATTTGTCTCAATATACAAGCATAGGACCCTGGTGCTTTTCTTATCTATTTTTAGAGTGACCCCCAGCCATAAGACACAAAAATGTGGTTATAATAATGTCAACCATGTTAATTTATTTTCAGGATAATTTCTATAATGTCTAGGGGATAATTTTTAATTTGTACAGTTTTTTCACACGAGTAAAAGCCTTTTTGTTTCTAAAAGAAACCAATTTACACCTAAGAGGCTGACAAAATTACACTTACTTTTTTCCAAGTAATTGTGAAAGTCGATTTTTGAATAGTTAACTGTTTAATTTACTTAAAAGAGCCAATGAAGTGTATACTAACTTTTTGAGAAATTCAAATAGAATTAATTATTTTAGGAAATATCAAAAATCGATTCCCTCAATAAACTTGAAAAGATAAACTCGATTTTTTTTTACAGAATTGAAATCGTACTAACCTAAGTAGGAGAAATTTTGTCAGTTTTTTAAATCTAAAACGTTTAAAAACCTCTTTCAATCCACTTTCAGTAAAACAGTAAAACAAATCGTCTACTTGATCTAAGTAGATTTAAGTAATAAAACAAAAATTAGAATCTAATGATTGAGAGAAGAGACTTTTTACATATTTTGGATTAATTTTCAATTATTCTAAAGCATGACGTTATTTATAGTTAAATGTAATTTAATATTACACTAATTATTAAACTTTTATGTAAATTCACTTAAAAATTTGTTTTAAAGGAACACTTTTTTTTCTAAGCGCAGATTCAGTTTTAAGACTTAGGTAATAATTATTGGTGTTTAGGGTAGATATATAATAATTACTAACATGTAATCTACTTAACTTTGGAAAACCTCTAATATAAAAGCTCTAATATTATCAATTGTAAAATATTATTAAGGTTTAGTCAAAATTGCTACCCATTTTTTCTCTCTAAATAACGCTTTTTATTTTAACTAAACAAAATATGATCACGGGAAATTAGTTAAGTTGCCTATTCAATTACAAATAAGGGGCAATATAATGCCTTATTAAAATATAAAACCTAATATCATAGCAGTGTTAGGTACACAAGTAGCGGATATAGACGTTCTCACAAGTTTAAGTTTGATGATCGCCGAGGTTAGAATAATTGTTTTTTATTTATATATTTCATTAAAAATATGAAAACCAATGAAAAAATGTAGTTATCGTTTAACAATTCATAGTTGGTTATCAATTATAATATGAACTTCTAGTATGTCTCAACTAACGACTGAAATATGTACAATGGACGAGTTAGAAAAATAGGTATGTATCTATTGAAACTATATTTACCGTAGGAGTAGAAGTAGTTAGAAGTTTAGGATATTATCATACAATATAAAAATAAAATAAAACTCTAATTACACGTCTTATGCTCAAAGTAAGAAAGTAGGTATTAAGTATTTAAATAAGTACAGCTACCTACTAATAAATTACTATGACTAATATATTTAAAAAAAAAAAATGCTAAATAACTTATTATTAAATGCACAATATATTATGCATGAAAACTGTGTATTTGTTGTAAAAAATAATAACTAAAAAATACCTTTTATTTAGTAAATGATATTTTATATGTACCTAACAACTAAACTGAAATCTGATTAGATGCTGATCTGTCTGCGAACCTCGTGTTATAAATTGTGGTTTATAGATAATACTCTGATAATTTCAATAATAGTAGTAATAAATAAACAATAAAATAAAATAACATATATTATAAAATAAAATACACATATTTATATGACTTAATTTTTGATTTTTAAATGTCTAATTACATAGATAAAAAGTGATAATTTATATAGAGGATTTTTTTTTTTAATTAGTTTTACTAATTGATAAAAATACCTAGGCCGTGATCATAGTGAACATACTTGTTTTAGTTCAATTTTTTATAGTGATAATTAAAATATTTACACAAAAAATAAACTTCATGAAATTTTAAATCGTTTAAATGTTTATAATAATTTATGTTCCACCACGTTTTTCATATTTTATTAAAGATAAGGAATAAATCCGCCGTCTTTGAGTGTCTAAAAAAAGTTCATATAATAAGTACCTTCAAATCTGAAAAAGATTATTAAATGTTTCTAGTGCAAAAATGAAGAGTTTTCCAGATTTTTTAAAACGCTACACTTTGCGCTCATAACATTTTTGTATTATTAAGCCATCGAGATTAATTTTTAAGTATATTTTAAATTTAAAGTAATGTATTAAAGTTTAATTTTGTTTTTGTTTTTAATGACATATACTTCTATCTAGGTACATGGTACATAATTAAAAAAAATTAGCTTTCTAATCCGTTAAAAACAATGCCCACCAATATTACTATGTAATTTTTGTTCCTCGTTAATATACAAAACACTCAATGATAGATTTTAATTGAGAATTTGCGAAAAATTGCCTAACAGAGTTATATAAAATATGCCTTGTTAACAGTAATTTTTTCTATTAAATAATTGTGTTAGCTTCAAAACCTTAATAAACTAAATCACCAAAGGTAAAATAAAAAATATTATGTTATCCCCTACCTCAAGTCTATTTCTTTAAACCCTATAATTACTTTAAAAGTACTTAATCAATACTGGTTACCGACCAATCATCATTATATCATTCTGATTTACTAATAGGAGTTGCCGTTTTCTTAAGTAGACAGTGTGACTCATCTGTTGCGGTAAACTTATTGAGGGCGTGAAAAAGTGTGAAAAAAAATCCAACAAAAGTATTTCCTCCTTTGAGTGCAATTTCGCTCGCGTTTAACCACATTCCCAATTAAACTGTGTGCAGAAAAACATATTACACTGGTCGCACGTGTCGTTTATGTATTGGTGGCGCGACACTAGGTAATATTGGAACTGTCAATTTACAGATTTCTATGAATTTCCTATTGGTATGTACCTACGATGGATTCGGTTGTGTTCTCGGTGTATATTATATAGTGTACGCGCACTATAAGACTGTCTCACGCTGTAAGGTTGACATAATAATATCAGACATAACAGAAATTTGACAACTCACACGAGAGACCAGTGTACAGCAGGTATCGTTCGAACTTCAATAGGTAAAACTATAGTCGTCGCGTTGTAACAAACATTAAAAAAAAAAAAAAAAAAATGATGGCCTTCGGTAGATCAAAAACGATTCAATATAGATAATAGTGTATTATAGAAAAAAATATACTAGTGTTGTGTGTTCATTGAAAAGCCAACATTGTGGGGTCTAAGCAGTAGCGATAACCTGCACAGTAGCTGAAGTTTATTGAAAGACGGAAGTGATGATTGTTGTTATTGTCATACAATTCGATTTTCATTTGCTACCGACCGACAATGGCGTTTAGTTGTAAATATCATGAAAATATCGTTACCGTGGCAGCAATTCATTATTGCAGTCATTGTGTGGCCCAGGCCAGGTGGAGTGGAGCCATATAGGTACTGTATATATATAGTAACGGGGTGTTGTCATATAAATACATGGAAGAATGAGAGTATAGAAGCCGGCGAGTGGTGTTTGGGGTGTTCAAAGTAAAAAAGGATAACCTCCTCGAGTGTTAACCATCCCAACCTCGTTAGGGTTAACCGTCTGAAAAATATTCACATGGCACACCGGCGCTTCTAATCTATTCAAAACCATAACTTGACGTCTTAAACCACATACATTTTGAGCGATTTCAATGCTTGTTATTAGGTATTATAAGAAAAAATGTCGATTTGATGCCGAACCCACAACGTGGTTGGGATTACTTACTTTGAAATCATATTCCACATTTAAAACTGCAATCGTTTATTCGAACACACAAGAGGGGTCCTTATGAGTAATGCTTATTAAAATTTGTGAATCCAAGAGTGATTCCTTAGGCCTTAGGGTTTTCAAATTTCAATGTACCAGGAACCAAGCAATAGTCAGTAGTAATAACACACGTCTTGTAGTAACAATTAATGACCGAATATGTACTAAAATGGCCAAAAATATATTTAAAGCCTATTATATAATATATACTAAACACATTACACTCCTTCCACAGTAGAGTAAAAAAAAAAAAGGCAGAGCTCTAGGGTCTGTCTAGTCATAGTGGGGACGAAATACAATGGGGTCAGTTCTCAGTAGGGTCGATGTAGTCATAGTATTTTAGGAATATTATTTAAACTAAAAGTGATAAAATCAATTTCAAAAAAAAAACCCGGTTCGATGAACACTTGTAAATGTTAAAAATCATTAAACATGTTAATCAAAACAAAGGCAAATTTTTATAATAATATAATCGTGTTATAAGGATCTCCTAGACAAAAAAAAATTGTTTATTATATTAGATTTACCATCGGATCAGCTTTACAAAACCTAAGGTCCAAAAACTATCTCTAAATATTTAAAATAATTATCCTGAAATATGTTTAAAAAAAAAAGGCTCAATAAAATGTTTTATCCTTACGGAGGAATATGTTGATGGCATTTTTTAAGATTTAGACCTAAAAAAACCTTCATTGTAAACTCAATACTAAATTGTAAGAGTTACCTGTGAAGTTAAACTAGAACACGATATGTTAAGTTTAACATTTTTTCCGAGAATATTATTATTATTGACACTGAAATGTACCCCTTAGAATATATTTTTAGAAAACATAATTTCCCTAACAAATTGACTAAATTGCAAA